CATTAACGAATATGTTTCAGTTACAGGGTCAAAGAATCCCATCAGACACATAACTTTCAACCAGCCCAGCATCGGTTGAGGAAAAAGTTCACCGGGACCAACGAGATGAGGCCATAGTTCGGGTTGTACGACACGACACCAATTTCAACCCGCTGGGTATACCTCGACAGGAAGGAACACATCAAAGACATTCAAAGACTAGGCTCCACTGTGGGCTTTGCCACCCAGGAAATGCAGGTCCCTCATTGTGCCTATCTGCACTGCAAAAGAACAGGTCATTGTGACGTGGTTGGGATCCTATCATAATCCAGTCAGTATCCTCAGGTTTCTCTTGCGCAGTTCAATGTGGAGCCAGAAAAGCTGAAACAATCTTAGAGCAAAACAAAATATTGACTTCCAGTATCTTCCAGTACTCTGCAATATAAAGGGTGCGTGGGCTGCTTAGCTCCGCAAGCCGGTTGGGCATTTTTGAGCATTCCAGGCCTGCTTTAGGCCAACTTGAAGTGATCCAACCTTCCAACAATTCGGATAGGGACATTGCATAAATTATAGCACTACCAACCATATCCCCACTATGCTACACATCTGTACACAGTAGATGTACAGTATGTGGTTTATTCATGTTTATCCCATACCCCAAATATTGGATAGACTTCACTTCCGCATCCAAGAATAAGCTTCATTTCTTATTGGTCCTATCCAATCGATACAAGGTGGTGTCCCGGAAGATATCCCCATGTCCCGTTGAATCGTTGGGTGAATCTCCATCATCTCATCTTCCCATTGCATCCCCATGATATTTTTTTTATATCCCCAGGCACCATTTTGGTTGGTTAAATCATAAATATCCCCATAACATCACCATATATTCCCATATATTTCTTGGTTAATGACCTATTTACCTATTTATCGATATTTATCTACCCTCTGGTAAACTCACCATTTTTAATGGGAAAAACACATATAAATGGCCATTTTCAATAGCTATGTTAAATTACCAGAGGGTATTTTCTATTTATTTTCCACCTCCAAGGCATCCCCAGACAAACGCCCAGACGCTCCAGCCAAGGTCCTGGCAACGCCACGGCCCCCATCCCTGGCACCGGCTGCCGAGGGGATGCTGGATATAATTTTGATTAATGGATGATGAATGAATGATAATGAATGATGTATCTATATGTTATACACTTGTAAATAATTTCACCAACAACCACGAAGAGTTTGATGGGTTTCCATGTGCTGTATGCTTGAAAAACGCGACCCCACAAACCATCATAAACCATCAGCCCAGGACAACCGTTGTCAAGATCCCGAGAGAATCCTCTCTCGAGGTGTTGCAAAAACTGAAAACGTCCGCAACGTCCGCTAGTTCAGGTTTAGATACTCACATGACTCACATTCAAGTGGATCCAAATTGTTTGAACTTCGGTGGCTGGGACTTTGCGATTCTGGGTTGCTCAACACACAGCATGACAATGTATGACAGGTCCGGGGTTGAGCCACCCATCCCAGCATAGTTTTTCCTAATTCCGAGAATCGTTTCAAATAGGACCGTACAAAGAGCTGAAGGTTGAAACCCTGGACATAGCTCTTAGATTCTTAGATGCTCTTAGCTAACGCGGTTGTCGATATCTTAAGCTTTCATTTTTCAACCTGATTCTTGGAAAAGAAAGTGATAGAAATCCAGCCAACTGATTATCCACCCAGCGCTCTGGTGCCAAGTATCACATTCCTGGGCTGCGAGCGCCATGAGTTGCAAGTCCTGCATGGAGTCCCTCAAAAAGGACCCCCTCTTCGCGGTCGCCATGGTCAAACTTTGATGGGCCATGGTCAATCTTTGGAGGGAACAGGGAAACACGGTGATCATGGTGATTTATAGTGATCATCAGAGATCGATTCTGAATGTTTATGCATCTGTATCAATGTATTGCGCTGGGTTAGCATCCACTCCACCCGTTGAGGTTCACCAAAGACCCTCCGTATGTCCAGCTTCAGGAGTCAACTCCTTGGATGGCACGCGGCACTGCCAGAAACGGAAAGTGAAACCACTGAACAATGGAGAAACATGCGCAGCCCTACACATCTGGATGTTGGGTGATACATTCTTAAAACAATCATTTTGTTGAAGTGATATATTCATTTCCATTTTCATGATATTATTGGATTGTGCATTGTTTTTGGTGCATCGACTAGTTTTGTTCAACCAAAACATACCAACACTATGACTTCAACCAAAACTATGAGCCGTGCAAATTCATTAGCTTCCGCACTTCTTAAAATCAAACAAGTATTTTTTTTTGGGAAAAATCCACATGTCAACCATGGCATGCAAACACGCAGCAAGGCCATTCCACTGAAAGATCATTGCACCTTTTCCAACAAGAACCACCGCGACCTTCAACCCGTCTCATCCCCTCTCCCTGTTTCGTATCCTTTCATACCGTTTCAACTTACCTTCCTACAATTAAACATGGCAATGGGCAATCCATCCTTAATAGATGATTTTCCTTTTCAAACCACCATTTATAGGGAATTCCCAGCCATGTTTAATTACTGGATATTACTGGAGGGTATTCTGAGTTTCACCATCTTGGGCCAGTGTCATATCTGGGCTCTGCTGGCACATCATCCCACGTGTCGATCAAGTGTCGATCCATTGTTGGTTTTAAAAACTGGAAAACCGCTGGTTGGCAAGGGGTGAACACGGTGAACATATTGTAACATTTGGGTATACCAGTAGTACCGCACAAGGCGGTGGCGGAAGTTTCAGAATAGGAAACCTATAGGAGACGTTGGTTGTTGTGAATCACGGATGGCAGAGCGAATCCACTGATTGACCGACAGGTGGTTGGAGTTGTGTTTGCTGGAATGGTTGCAATGGTTGCAGTGGTCACCTCACCCACAACTGCTGGATGTAGTGTGATGTACTGCAACTGTAGTTGCAGTTGTAGCGTAGTGGAGTTGTAGTTGTGGTGTAATGTAATTAGTGTAGTGTAGTTGCAGTCATATAGTTGTAGCTGTAGTTGTTTTGTAGTTGTAGTTGTAGTTGTTGTAGTTGTAGTAGTTGTTGTTGTAGTTGTAGCTGTAGTTGTTGTGTGGTCGTAGTTGTTGTGTAGTGTAGTTGTAGTAGTAGTTGTAGTTGTAGTAGTTGTAGTAGTAGTAGTAGTTGTTGTTGTTGTTGTTGCTGTTGTTGTTCTTGTTGTTGTTGTTGTTGTAGTTGTAGTAGTTGTAGTTCTAGTTCTAGTTGTTGTGTAGTTGTTGTAGTTGTAGTTGTAGTAGTTGTAGTAGTTGTGGTTGGTGTTGTTGGTGTTGTTGTTGTTGTTGCTGCTGTTGTCGTCGAAGTTAGGGTAGTTAAGTTAGTGAAGTTAGTTAAGTTAGCCAAGTTAGTTAAGTTAATCGGTGTCTACTTTTTCGACATCTTCACGTCAAAAAAGGCTCAAAACCCTCAGTTTTTTACACTTTTGACTTTGAAATGTGCTTCGCGCCACAACGGCGTGCACTTTTTCGACACTTTTTCGACATCTGAACCTCCAAAAGTGGTCCGAGACCGTCAGTTTTTAACACTTTTGACTTGGAAATGTGCTTCGCGCCACAACGGCGTGCACTTTTTCGACATCTCAACTTCCAAAAGTGGTCCGACGCTGAGGTGTTTTGTACATTTTGACTTGGAAATGTGCTTCGCGCCACAACGGCGTGCACTTTTTCGACATCTCAACTTCCAAAAGTGGTCCGACCTGGTGTGTTTTGTACATTTTGACTTGGAAATGTGCTTCGCGCCACAACGGCGTGCACTTTTTCGACATCTCAACTTCCAAAAGTGGTCCGACGCTGAGGTGTTTTGTGCATTTTGACTTGGAAATGTGCTTCGCGCCACAACGGCGTGCAATTTTTCATCTCTCATCTGGCCAGCTGGCTCCGCACCCGCCGCTTTAGCGAGCCTACTTTTCGACCCTCCGGAGCCACAAATCATTGGAAAAAACACAGTGTTTCGCGACTTTCCTACCTTTTCGCGCATCTGCATCTTCTTTCTTCTGATCTTTTCTCTTCTGACTCTTCTCACCTCTGCTTTTCAACTGTTCATATTGTCGGAAGTTTCACTTCTAAACTTCCTTCGATTATGTATCTTTGGGTCCGAGCAAGAAAGTCTTGCTAAGAAATGTCAACAACATGCTCCGCGGACAATTCAAACCCCAAACCATCCCAAACCTATGCACAGCAAAATCTCCAACAATGATGGGAGCAGATGTACATAGGAAACCGCTCTTTTACCCCCAAATCTAGGGGGAAGTAGGGATAGAGAATCGCACACAGTGATACCACATGGCGCAAACTGCTGACGTGCCCACTCTCCCAGCTCCCTTTGGCACATTCTTGCCACAAACGAATGCCTCCTATTATCCTTAGTGGAACATGGGGGTTTCTACAGATGTTTCTACCATCCTCTAGTGCGAAGGCGCAATGCCATGCGATGAATCCTGACATCCCGAAAACATTGGGGTAGCATGACCTCCTGTCAATGCAACTGGAAGGGGTCATTGTAGGTATGCCGTATACCAACAGCTGCATTGCGTCATGCTCCGGCAGTTTTGGCCTTACCTATTCTCAGCATATCCGAGTCTTGGACTTGGCCCTTGTCACACTCCGAAGCTCGTTCCTCTCAAACAAGCACCATCATATTTCAAAAGAGGATTCAGAACAAATCAACTTTGGGAGGAAGAAGTAATTCAAAAACAATTTTCCAACATTTTCCAACTACATCTGTGCTGGACCAAACCCAAGCAGCGTATACAAAATTATACAAACACCATGCGCTAGGAGGAACTCCCAACTGTACAGCGAAAATTGGTGGCTCCAAAAGAGGCCAGAAAACCCACTGGGTCAAGTCAAGACTTGAACACACCTGACCTCGCCATTTCAAGGTTCCAAGCCGGAATCCATAAATTTCCGACACGACATGACACTACACATGAAAGTTGGTGTTCCCAGCATCATCCGTTGTCTCACTTGCGCGCCCATCTGCTTTTCCGTGCCACCGCCTCTCCAGCCAGCTTCGCCTTGTAGGACACGTCCATTCGAAGCGCGTACTTCACTCCAGACGTGACCATCCCCCCACGATGGTACAACTCGTGATCAAACACAATGGCCTTTCCTGCTATGGGCTCGATTGGCACCAACTGATCCGAGATGAAGGTAGTTTGGCCACCTCCAAAAGATGAGTTTAGGTACAGCTGCACTGTCAAAAAACTCTTGCCATTCTCATCTTCATGCGCACAGTCGGTGTGATCTGCATGATGCATTCCTGGGAGATACTTCAAGAAACGCAGTCGTTGGTTCACGCCCAACCTTGGATTTTCTGGCCGACCAAAAATAATCAAACATACCCTGCCGCTATACAATATAGAGTATGCATCTATCGATCTATCTAATCTAGTCTAGTCAAATCTATTCAAAACAAATCACATCTATATCTAATCTATATCTATCTGTTCTGTTCTGTTCTGTTCTTTTCTATCCTATCCTATTCTATTCTATTCTAATCATTTCCAATCTAATCAATTCTAATCTATCTACCATTATCCATAATGATTTATCATTATCTAGCAGTATATTGATCCATCCATTCATCCGTTCATCCATCCATCCACCCAGCCATGGGAACACAAACAATCACCTACGATTTAGATTTAAGTATATTTATATAAGTAGTACAGTACATGAATATATTATGATACTGGCATTCTATATAATATTCTATATGTTATTCCATTAGGGCATCTTTCTGCATATGGGTGGGGTTTCAAACAAAGCATCACAAACGCAGCACGTCCCGGCAACAGCTGTTGCTTCGATCCCACTGGATACTCCGCCGGAAGCAGCGTGGCCATTCGTCGCGTCAGCGCCTGAGCGATCCGCGGCGCATCCAGGAGGCAGCGATGAGCGTAGCGGGCCATGGGGTTGAAACCCCTGGAGCCTGGACAGAGCACGATGATTTTACAGGTGATAGAGTCATAGAGGATGTAACTGGATATCAATGGGATTTAATGGGATACTAATTTTTTTAAATAATAATTGTCTGGTCATGACACATGGCTGGCCGCGAATTCCTCTCTAAATAGACGTTAGAATGGGAAAAACCTTTATGTAATGGCAGATTTTCCAGCCAGCCATGTTTAATTGGAGGGTAAACCTATCAACTCGCAGGCAAAGCTTGGTTTTGATGGCTAGTGTGGGTAGTTAAAAGCCAACCTACATGTACTTCAGTGTCACAGTACGGGCCCATGATAGTTAAACCATGTTGAAACATGCATAAACATGCCCGCAGTTGGCACTAGACAATGGGCCAAACATGGCCAAACATTTTCAAAAGAAAAAGCTTGGTTTCAGGTTGCACAACAGGAACACTGCTGAGATCACCGGAATTTCTTGCATTTTAAAGCCTCATTGATCTTGGCACCCACAACATCCATTCTATCAATTGCGGGGTCGGAAAAAAATGCGCCAAATGCGTCCAAGCGCGACATAATCCCTCTATATTATATATACTGTATTATAATGTATTATATATATTATGAATTATTATGATATATTATGTTCTCCAATCGACCACACTACAACTTCAAACATCCTGATGCAAGCCTGCAAGACCATAGCCCTCCTTCTCAGAAAGGTCAATGAGCTGTTGGCACTCGCTCTCACTGAGCAGTCCTGGAAGTTCTCGAGCAAATTTCCCGCCGAAGATGCTAGGCTTCTTGGAGGATCCTAGCCGGATCTCTATTCCCGGCCCCAGGGGCGTTTGTATTTCAACCGGGCCCAGCAAGGCCTGCGAGATCTCGGTGGCCACGCTCTCGTTCAAACATAGCGCATGCCGCTGGCCGTCCAACAGCACGGCGGAGCGGCCCTCCAGATATTGAACTTTTTGAGGGAGCTCTGGGACTTCTGGGCCCAAAGCACTAGAGATTTTGGAGCTAGGCAAGCCCAAGGCTGAAGAAAGGGATTGAAGCAATGAAGGCCAGTCTTTCACCTCTTGATGAGTGAACTGCTGCATGCAGCTAATGCAGCCGGCTTGTTTCTGCCGAAGCAGTTCCATCAGCATCCTTTCCCGACAGGGCCGGCCTCGGCTGTTTACATCCACATTTTCGCTTCGCATTCGGTGCTCCCATGCATCTATCCCAGAATTCTGGCCCTGCAGTGCGATGCAAATCTTTCGCCGGGGAAGCACCACGCAGCAGCCAGCCAACTGGACAGCCGCCGCCAAGTCTTGCAGTCGTGTGGCATAGGCTGACGGCAAGCCATCATGAAGGCACTTCACAGGCCAGTCCAAATGAAACAAGGCAACTGTGTGTTCAGCTGGCTGAAGCTGCACCTGTTGCACCTGGAAGTGCTGCACTTTGTCTTTGAGTTGTGCCCTCAGGTCCATCAGAAGAATCCCCAGGCGGTTTTCGCCTTTCTGTGATGGGATGTGGTAGCCCCAAATGAGATCCGGACTGCCCGAATGCCCATCCACCAGTTCAGACTCTCCAGTCCTCAGCAACTTCTCTCGCAGCTGTGGGTCCTGAAACTTGGCCCACAAACATCGCGCCATGACATCTTCGCGGATGTCCTTCCAGTCATCCCTCAAGGGCACTTGTCGTCCCAAGCGCTTGGCATCTCCAAAGCTCAAGCCCGAATCTGTGAAGCCATAGGAGTTGCGCTGCTGGTTCTCACGCAACTTCGCGGCTTGAAATGCATGTTCCACTGATGGATATTTCAAACCCTCAAAGTTGAGCTCAGACCAGAAAAAGTTGGACAAGAACCTGGATTTGCTTCAGGGGCATTAAAACATGCATAAAAACATATAAAAACAACACATATCATATCCCCAATAGATTCCCCAATTGGTGGATTGACCAATGACTCAGCAAATCTAAGAGAACTTGTAGGGTCCGCTGAATCGCTCGACTTTCTGGGCCACCTCTTCCTTCGGATAGCCTACGTGTCCCACGCTGCGACGCACGCGCCAGGAGCGTTGCCCAGACATGCACTGGTGAACGAGTCAGGGGGTCAGGGGGCCAACGCAAGTTTGGAAACATGCTGAAATATCCCAAGCTGCCCAAGCAAATCTTGGTTAACAAAAATATCATGCTGCAATGCTGTCTGCCTGAAGCTGGACATCGAAAAATCCTTGCATGCCAACAAAGACAATATTGTATGATATACCATAGTGACAAATCGATGCAAATCGTCTGTAAATAGGCAACATGCGCCCAAGAAAACACACATCTCTTGTAGGCTCACAAAAACATCTTGAAGCTGATTCTTGGGCCGACAGATGCCAATAGAGTCATTGCTCAGTACATCTCAGTACCATTCAGTAGCAAAAAAATATTTCGATCCTTCTCGAGCGAACATCCTGTGCCAAGGATGAGGAGGCAGCAGCAAAACTTTGCTTGAAAAACGGCTCTAGGATCTTAACAAACTATATATAGATATATCCATAATGATACATACAGTAATCCAACCCAGAAGAGATACTACAAAAATGCTGGCAGCAGCATGATTGTCACGGCTAAACACAGTCAACACAAAGGGTGCCCCTGTCGATTTGTTGGACAAGGTCGGACCAATTGAGCAACCGCTCTCCCTTGGCCAACGCACTGATCCTTATCCAATCTTTAACAGGAGAATCGTCTACAGTCTACGCATGCGAGGTTTCCGACTGCATGACAGAAGCAAAACCAATCAACACCAGGGTGGTGAGGGTCTACTTACTGTCCAGACTGGTCTTATCATCCCATTCATGGACAAGAAAACATAGCAACCCAATATAGCACCCTGCAAAACATCAAATTGGATCAAATTGGCTGATATATAATTGGATAAGCTTTTGGTCCTATGAATAACACTGAACACGTTGAGCACTGTCTGTTCATCTTGGATCACGTCAAGGTGGTTTTAAAGGGATCATAATTGGATCATTCATCCCCCACATTCACCGATTCCCAATATTTGCGCGACCAAAATCCCAGGTATGTGACGATGTGGAAAATAATCCCAAATATATGATAAAGATTGATAAAGTATGGCGTCATTACCTTTTCTCATCCCACCCCCAAAAAAGGTTAAACCACCATGCTGATGGGGTAACACCAAGGGTCCGGTTGAAACCCTTGACGTCGTCACGCACGGGGCACGTTCACCTGGCAAATGGCGTGGACACTTTCTCTGGAGAAGCAAGCTGGTGAACGGCTTGGTGGTTGAATTCCCCTTGAAGAGTATAAGCCGATTGAGGGGAGGATTTGTTTATCATTCTACTAAGCCCCCAGAAACCCCGTATATACTATATAATACTATATATAAGCTAGCCCAATATTGCTTTTCCAATTTGGTTTATTCAAATCGGGCTATTTGCGATCATCATTCCAAACAGGAATGCAATCTTTGAAACCACAAACAATGGCATCTCGGCATTCATCGTGTAGTTTTACAATGTTTTACAGAGGCAAATCATGGCAAATCTGACAATGTGAGCGTCAACTAAGAATATCAGAACGCATTCTTGAGCACTTCATTCTCTGGTAGTTGAATCTGGCTCATTTGAGTTGTGGATTCCTGAAATGTATCCAAATGCAAGAAGCGATTCTCGAGCTACGACCCCGTGCCTTGACAACCCCAAATGGGGAATCATGTGCGGAAATGGGGAGGAAATCTTTGACACTGCAGACAAAAGATCCAACCATGAACTTAGTTGAACAAAAAAAGCCGGCAACAAAAACTTTCGGAAGGCTTCGCCTGTCACGTCTCGTCTGGCTCCAAGCCATCAAAGTGAAATTCCTCGGAGCAAATTCACGGCTGAAAGATGCTGAAAGTCTGTCTCTTTCATAGCGGGTCCAACGGAGAATTGCAACAGAACTGCCTTGCTTTATGGATACGTCATTAGCATGGCCAGGTTCTTTGGCATCAAATGCATTCAAATGCAACATGCCCCACATATGATGGTGCCATATGCTAGCAATACATATGCTATACATATGCTATAGATATGCCATCCGTGGACCATGTGCCAAGCATCAACGGAAGCTGGCTCACGCTGAATGGAAGGCTCAGGTTGGAGCTGCGGAATGGGGAGTTGTACATTTACTGAGAGACTCATTGTACAGGTCCGAAAAATCTGCTTCCAGTAAAGTACAGCGAAATCCATGCTGGATATCGATGTTACTTTGGAGGATTAAAGTACAGTAATCTATAGTATCCCCCCTTCTACGTCCTTCTACTAGATATTTGATATCTTGTTTTTCCATGTTTTTCCGCGCCAAGCTGCGCGAGTTGCAAGTCTTCAGAGAATGGCCACACGTGTCTGGCCACCAGTGGCAAGAAGCCTAAGCCTTGGTATGCCATGTCGCAGGTCAGTTGGTCCAGAATTCAAACCACTGGGGGGCTAGTGCCCGAATAGCCTTAAAATGCTCGAAGATAACGAGTTGAAGTACAAGGGAACGAGGATGTATGAGCTTGTAAACTGTTGTGACATGTTCTATAACTGCTACAACCTGATATATCCTGATATAATATGAGATGCCCTTGCGTAGATGGTTCCAAGATGTTAGCAAATGTTAGACTGTTAGACCATGGTGGAACATGACACCAGATGCATCACATGTCAAACCACCTCACTGAGCCGCCTACGACGTCGTAGACCTCGGTGTTTTGGGGACTGCAACTGGCCTGTAATGGGGTCATGCCACCCAGGTAGACTCCATGATGGCGTTGGCATCGGCACAAATTCTTGACGCGTCAAGCAGCAAATTTCCTTGATGTTACGGAGACAAAAAAAATCAAAAAACAACTGCTGCGTGCATGGCTGAGTTGCAGTATTCTCCACTTCAGCACGGTTATAGGTCTTGAATTGCATCTTATATCGTCTGATATAGTTCTAGCTGAAACCTAGCTGGAACCCAAGGAGTCTATCCTCTGGTAGTTACAATTTTCACCATGCTTCTTTCTGTCCATTGTGGTTTTCCATGTTTTCCCAGCTTTTCTACTGCGGATCATCATTCCAAACATGACGTTTCCAGCGTTTCAACACTGCCCAGGTGCGATGTCGTTCTTCCAAACGCCTTCCACCACATGTGTGAAGATCATCCAACGTCATCTAACCAGGTGTTTCGAACAACCACCATTTTTTGCCCTCAATTGAGACATGGGCCCATTTTTTTTTATTCTTGGGATTTACTATTTAAAATTATTTCTTAGATCTTCTGAATTCAACCTGTCTTAATTTTTGAATATTTTTGACCCATTCTTCAACCTGCATTTTTTCCGACTCCGCATTTGCAGTCAGGCTTCTGAAAAGGAGACCAACACCAGCAGGGTGAAGGGTAGCTCCAAACCTGGAGAGTTCAGAGGTCGGGGGCCATAGGTCCTGGGCAGCCCTGTGTTACATTGGAGCATATTGGAGCCAGGGAATGCCAGGATCGAGTTGAAACAACAACAAAAAAGGACTGACATTTGCTGCTGAGCCACATGCGTTCTCGATGTCAAACTCGCTCTTCACCCAGGACAGGTAGATACCCAGATCAACCCCATCCTGATGTGCTGAGGTTTGTCCCCTACACTGGGTGCATCCGACTGGGCCAAAGATTTGATTCCCCAACTGCCCAAGGAGGTGTGGTCATCATCCGAATCTGCACTAGTCAAAGGGGGTTCAGCACAAAATGATTCGAAACCAGGTGACGATCAAAATGGAGCAAGTTGGTGTGTACGTCTGCCAGGACGAGCCCCAAAACTCCCAATCCAAGGCAGGTATGAAACCTCCACCCATAAAGCAACAACCATAAGTGAAATTACTGGCATTTCACTTGTGCTGTGAGATGAGTTCTTCGAAAACAGTCAGTACCGTACCCGGGGCTCTTTTCTGTTCACTCTTAATCTATTAAATTCTGTTTACACAACATAAATTCATATGATATCATATGCTATGTTGTAGACGCGACCAAACTATTTAGCCCGTGAACCAAGTACCAACCTAACCTGATCATCCCATGTCCGTCCGCAGTTCCTTGGGTTTCTCGGAGTTGTCTGCCTTAGCTGCGCCGAGAGCTTCAGGAATGTTCAGGATAGGAGGGTACCCCCCAGATGTTTGTTGGATTGTAACATTTTTCTACATGTATAATTACGCACATCCAAATACATACATAGACGTACATATGTATATATATATACATATAAGTTGTAAATAAATGAATAAATAAATAAATCCATAAATGAATAAATAAAAAATAAATGTATACATATACACTTGAGAGGGGGAACACGAAAGGTAGGTCAGCAAGAAAGGAACCGAAGAAAAAATAAAGGGGAGAGGGCAAGGAAAAAAAACATGATGTGGAGTTTGGTAAAAGCGACGCGGCCATTTTCTCTCTAAAAACATGAGGTGGAGTCTGGTAAAAGCGACGGAAAGGCTTCGGCGGTGTGGTTGGGGTTGGCGGTGATTGTGGTGTTGGTGGTGTTGGTGGTGCTGGTGGTGTTGGCGTTGTTGGTGTTGTTAATGTTGGTGTTGCTGGTGTTGTTGGTGTTGGTGGTGCTGTTAGTATTGTTAGTGTTGCTGGTGTGGTTGGGTTTGTTGGTGGTGTTGGTGGTGTTGGTGTTGTTGGTCGTGTTGTTGGTGTTGGTGTTGTTCGTGTTGTTGTTGTTGTTGTTGTTGTTGTTGTTGTTGCTGTCGTTGTCGTTGTTGTTGTCGTTGTTGTTGTTGTTGTCGTTGTTGTTGTTGTTGTGGTGGTTGTGGTTGTGGTTGTTGGTGTTGGTGTTGTTCTTGTGATTGTGGTTGTTGTGGTTGTTGTGGTTGTTGCGGTTGTTGCGGTTGTTGCGGTTGTTGTGGTTGTTGTGCTTGTTGTGGTTGTTGTGGTGTGTTGTGGTGTGTTTTGTTGTGGTGTGTTTTGTTGTGGTGTGTTTTGTTGTGGTGTGTTTTGTTGTGGTGTGTTTTGTTGTGGTGTGTTTTGTTGTGGTGTGTTGTGTGTTGTGTGTTGTGTGTGGTGTGTGGTGTGTGGTGTGTTGTGAGTGGTGTGTGTTGTTGTGTGTGTGTGTTGTGTGTGTTGTGTGTGTGTGTGTTGTGGTGTGTTGTGGTGTGTTGTGGTGTGTTTGTGTGTGTTGTGTGTGTGTGTTGTGGTGTGTTGTGGTGTGTTGTGGTGTGTTGTGGTGTGTTGTGGTGTGTTGTTTGTTGTGTGTTGTTTGTTGTGTGTTGTTTGTTGTGTGTTGTTTGTTGTGTGTTGTTTGTTGTGTGTTGTTTGTTGTGTGTTGTTTGTTGTGTGTTGTTTGTTGTGTGTTGTTTGTCGTGTGTTGTTTGTTGTGTGTTGTTTGTTGTGTGTTGTTTGTTGTGTGTTGTTTGTTGTGTGTTGTTTGTTGTGTGTTGTTTGTTGTGTGTTGTTTGTTGTGTGTTGTTTGTTGTGTGTTGTTTGTTGTGTGTTGTTTGTTGTGTGTTGTGTGTTGTTTGTTGTGTGTTGTTTGTTGGGTGTTGTTTGTTGGGTGTTGTTTGTTGCGTGTTGCGTGCTGCGTGTTGGGCGTTGGGGGTTGTGTTGTTGTTGTTGTTGTCGTTGTCGTTGTCGTTGTCGTTGTGGTTGTTGTTGTTGTTGTTGGTTGTTGTTGTTGTTGTTGGTGGTGGTGGTGGTGGTGGTGGTTGGGGTTGGGGTTGGGGTTGGTGTTGGTGGTGTTGTTGTTGTTGTTGTTGGTGGTGGTGGTGGTGGTGGTGTTGGTGTTACCCCTGCAGCTTTTTTTCTCGGTTCCGTAGTGGCCGAAAATCGTCAAATAGGTGGTGTTTTCGCGCGTTTTTCGAACTGTCGGACCAAAAAACACCGTCAATACCAATGTGTTGGGTGGATCGGAAGCCCAAAACCACGGTATTTACGATGTTTTTTGCCTCTGGTAGCAAAAAGTACAATATTTGCAGTGTTTTTTGGCCAGCACCTAGCAAAAACACTGGTATTTACGGAGGTTTCACCATATAACAAAATGTGGTTTCTTGATCCGAAAAGAACAAAAACACTGTAAATTACAATGTTTTGAGTCTGCTCTTAGGGTGCGTGGGAGGTGTGGAGGGGGGGGGGGGGGGGGGGGGGTACTAAAATGACTAGCAATCTACTGAATAATCAGGTAACGGGGCTGGCCGCCCTCCCCTTTACTTCGTAAAGTGAAACTCAAGGTAGCCCCTCTGGAGCTACCTTTCGTGATTTATTTATTTACGTACTATATCTACGTGCAGAAAACATATAAACATATAGGCGCATCTGTCCTGGATTTGCGTATGAACCTGATGAAATTGCTCTGAATCCATTCTGAATCCTAAGTCGCCCAGCTTTTTCGCTCTTTTTTTTCAGCACCGCGCGTGCCGTCCCACTCTAATCCCTGTTTCCATAGCCACGATTGCGCATGCATTGGGTGCCTCGTGCATATCGCATGGCTGCATGCTTCTACCAAGACATCCCTGACATGCTGGGTGAGGATCAAACTGTTGGGATGGCAGAAAAAATAGACGTATCCTGCGCAGGGTGCATTTCACATCTGAGAAAAGCTCGAAGAAAAACAATAAACAAAAGAATTTAATAGATATACACAAAGATATTCACACTATATGTATATGTATATGTACATGTATATGTATATGTATATGTAAATGTTTATGTATATATGTGTGTATATATATATGTATACAATATTAAAAAGAAGCAACAAGAATAATACCAACAATATAATACAATATATATATATAAATACACAATATTTAACAATAATAACAATCCCCAAAATCACCGACTCTCGCAAAAGACAAGCATCTCACGTGGCTCGACGGGCTAGACAAAGCTTTTCGAAAGGCACTAGCAAGTTGAAAATTCCAAGGGACCCGGGGCATAGCTAATGTGGTGAGCTTGGATCGTGGCAACGCAGTGAGTAGAGCCAACACTTCTGAGGCAAGCAGATCACCCTGCACGCCCAAGTCCAGTTCTTCAATCTTAGTCTGAGAATCCTGAGAACAAAATAGGCCAAAATGAGCGATCACTTGGGGCCAAAGCAAATCCCAAATCAGGATAGACATGGCCAAGTAAAACTCTGAAATCCTGTTCTGAGAATCCTCCAAGATCTGTGAGATAGCTTCAATGGCGCCGGGAGTTTGCATCGAGATATCTCGCGTCAGACGGGTTACGGAGCTGTTGGGCAAGACATTTGCCGCGAGCTTCAGTTGTTCGGCGTTTAAAGAGCTCATGTCGAACCAGTGCAGCTTCTGCAAAGCGGCTTCCAAAGCCTCCCACACACGGCTGAGTGTCGACACTCAACACCAACTGCACCGATGCCTCCTAAACTGGACCAAAAGACACTTAGGAATGCCGACATTAGGATTGGATTACCGTTTTGATTGGGAGCCTTTGACGACGAAAGGGGGGCAAGTCGAGGACTGAGGCCAGCCTAACATGAAAGCTACCGATGCAAAGAAAAAGATCACCAACTGTAACAACAAAGCCGGATGCAGAATCACCACTTTTGAATGCTTTGGTCCCTAAAACCGGCCAGATCATCAAAACAGAATCGCTGATCACTATGAATCACTGTAGATGGAGCCAGTTCAACAAGATATGTGTACGGGGTACAGGCAACCCGTTTCTTGGTACCGTTGGGCCTGTGCCCCACCAACTCTTATCACCTTGCTCCACTGCGTGTTCAAATTTGTCAGCTTGCTGCTGGGCACTGCTTTTGCAAAAGCTGTGATCTCCTCTGCACAGCTTCTCTCGTTCAATGGCAGGTTTAAACGCAAGCTTTGCAATTGGCTTCGGGGCAATTCTTTCCTAATTTGCTGATCTCACGGACACACGTGCAAGTTGAATGACCGGAAAGTGATGGAAAAATGTGGAAAGGATGTGCAGTGAAATCAGCAAAACCTTCAAAACACCCGACCCAGGCGCGCCAGAGCCGCCACCCCTCCACATTGAACTGACAGAATCTTCAATTCCAGACTGAGCAGTTGGCTCTTTGGCAATGCATTGGCCAAGGCCTCCAGGGCTCCATTTGACGGTAGGTTGATGGTAAGGGAGAGGCGCTTCAACGGCACCCCCGTGGACAGTGCTGCGGCCAAAGAGGTGGCTCCCGCCAAGTGCACATCATTCCCATGCAATCGCAGGTCATAAAGCCGGCTACCTTTCAGCAATGCTTCTGCAAGAGCCCCTGCACCTTTATCCCCAATGAATTGAGAGGACAAGTCCAGGACCTGCAGTTTGCTCGCAGGCAATGCGTTCGCGAGAGCTCCAACTCCCACGTCAGTAATCCTATTCTTTGAAAGGTCCAAACTGCGAAGTGGACAATTACGAATGTGCCGTGCCAGTGCCATTACGCCAGTATTTCCCAGTTTGTTGCCATCCAATCTGAGTTCATTGAGCTGACTTCCCGCCAGCCCAGGTGCGAATTGGACAACCTCCTGGCTGGTCATGCTTTGATTGTTTCTATCCCTTGGAAGTATGGAATGGAAATGAAGACAGCAAATAGATGGGTAAAACCAAATTATGTCCATGCTGATTAGCACTTCTCATCGTAATGCAGGCAAACGCCAGAGGATGCCAATGGCAAAGTTGGATAATTTGTTGGCTGAGGCTGCTGTCCAAGGAACAAACACAACTATGGCGAGTCTATGAATTCGGTTTCTGTGAACAAAGCTTGCGATGTGGGCGTGCAGCATTTGTGGCTCATAATTTCTTAAATACTTTTGGGGGTGTTTGAAAATAGGGTGCCCCAAAACCCAATGGTGCATCACATATTTTTCCGTATTAACATGTCCATTAAAAACTAGACGACGGATGGCCCGCGAGCGTAGAGGAGCAGGGTCTTCTCTTGTTAGTATGGAGACACCATATTACAAAACAATATAATAAAGATGTGTTACAGGCAGTCGGGAAGAGGAGTATCAAGACAATATAGCACAAGTACAAGACAATAGTTTGCATCGCAAACACTTTTACACACAGAAGCTTTTACACACAGACGCTTTTACACACAAAAGCTTTCACATACAGAAGCTTTTGCACACAGAAGCTTTTACACACAAAAGCTTTCACACACAGAAGCTTTTACATACAGGCACTTTCACACACAGACGCTTTTACACACAGACGCTTGTACACACGGACGCTTTTACACACAGACACTTTTACACGCAGACGCTTTTACACACAAACACTTTTACACACAGACGCTTTTACACACAGACGCTTTTACACACAGAAGCTTTTACACACAGACACTTTTACACCGAGACCCTTTTACACACAGGAGCATTTACACACAGAAGCTTTTACACGCAGACGCTTTTACACACATACGCTTTTACACATAGACGCTTTTACACACAGGCGCTTTTACACACAAAAGCTTTCACACACAGAAGCTTTTACATACAGGCACTTTCACACGCAGACGCTTTTACACACAGAGGCTTGTACACACGGACGCTTTTACACACAGACGCTTTTACACGCAGACGCTTTTACACACAAACACTTTTACACACAGGCGCTTTTACACACAGACGCTTTTACACACAGGCGCTTTTACACACAGAAGCTTTTACACACAGACACTTTTACACCGAGACCCTTTTACACACAGGAGCTTTTACACACAGAAGCTTTTACACGCAGACGCTTTTACACACATACGCTTTTACAATCTTTTACACATAGACGCTTTTACACGCAGGCGCTTTTACACACAAAAGCTTTCACACACAGAAGCTTTTACATACAGGCACTTTCACACACAGACGCTTTTACACACAGACGCTTGTACACACGGACGCTTTTACACACAGACGCTTTTACACGCAGACCCTTTTACACACAAACACTTTTACACACAGACGCTTTTACACACAGACGCTTTTACACACAGGCGCTTTTACACACAGAAGCTTTTACACACAGACACTTTTACACCGAGACCCTTTTACACACAGGAGCTATTACACACAGAAGCTTTTACACGCAGACGCTTTTACACACATACGCTTTTACACATAGACGCTTTTACACACAGGAGCTTTTACACACAGACGCTTTTACACAGACACTTTTACACCCAGACGGTTTTACACACAGACACTTTTACACACAGAAGCTTTTACACGCAGACGCTTTTACACACAGAAGCTTTCACACACAGAGACTTTTACACACAGAAGCCTTTACACGCAGACCCTTTTACACACAGAGGCTTTTACACACAGACGCTTTTACACACAGACGGTTTTACACACAGACACTTTTTACACACAGACACTTTTGCACACAGACGCTTTTACACACAGAGGCTTTTACACACAGAGGCTTTTACACACAGAAGATTTTACACACAGAAGCTTTTAAACACAGAGGCTTTTACACACAGAAGATTGTACACACAGAAGCTTTTACACAGACGCTTTTTACACAAACGCTTTTACACACAGAAGCTTTTACACACAGACACCTTTACACACAGAAACTTTTACACACAGACGCTTTTACACACAGACACTTTACACAGAGCACACAGAAGCTTTTAAGCAGATGCTTTTACACAGACGCTTTTACACAGAAGCTTTTACACACAGAAGCTTTGTACACACAGAAAAAGTCGCAATTTTACCTCAGTTTTTGGCGATCGACCCTCATTTCGTGCGAAAAGGTTGCAACGGGAACCCGGAAATCGCAATTTTACCGCAGTTTTTGACGGTCGAACCTCGTTTCGTGCGAAAGGGTTGCAACGGGAACCCGGAAATCGCAATTTTACCGCAGTTTTTGACGATCGAACCTCGTTTCGTGCGAAAGGGTTGCAACGGGAACCCGGAAATCGCAATTTTACTGCAGTTTTTGACGATCAAACCTCGTTTCGTGCGAAAGGGTTGCGCCGGACAAGTTGAAATCGCAATTTTACTGCAGTTTTTGACGATCAAACCTCGTTTCGTGCGAAAGGGTTGCGCCGGACAAGTTGAAATCGCAATTTTACCTCAGTTTTTGGCGATCGAACCTCGTTTCGTGCGAAAGGGTTGCGCCGGACACCTTCAAATCGCAATTTTTCCTTAGTTTTTGGCGATCGAACCTCATTTCGTGCGAAAGGGTTGCGTTTCGTGCCGTCTCGTTGGCACTGCCCCTGCCCCCGCCTTCAGAAGAGAAATAGAAAAGAAGGAGAAGGCAAGAGGGGCAAGAGGGCAAGAGGAGAAGATGTGAAGATGTGAGGATGTGAAGATGTGATGAAGATGTGAAGATGTGAGGATGTGAAGATGTGAAGAATAGGCCAAGAAGGCAAGAGGCCAAGAGGGCAAGAGGAGAAGATGTGAAGATGTGAGGATGTGAAGATGTGAAGATGTGAGGATGAGAAGATGTGAAGATGAGAAGATGTGAAGATGTGAAGATGTGAAGATGAGAAGATGTGAAGATGAGAAGATGAGAAGATGAGAAGATGTGAAGATGAGAAAATGTGAAGTGAGAAGATGCGAAAGAAGATGTGAAGATGAGAAGATGAGAAGATGAAAAGATGTGAAGATGTGAAGTGAGAAGATGTGAAGATGAGAAGATGTGAAGTGAGAAGATGTGAAGGTGAGAAGATGTGAAGTGAGAAGATGTGACGATGAGAAGATGTGAAGATGAGAAGATGCGAAGATGAGAGGCAAACCCCCACTATTGGAAGAACCCTGCGCTCAGACGCTCTCGGGAAAAATAAATAAAGGGAAAGGGTATACCAAAACTTTGGACAGAGCATGACAGACCCGCTCGGTCTGCACAGGGTGTCACCACACCTTGCCACAACAACCCCGGATCGTGCCGTCCTGGGACCGCAACAGGTTCTTTCCAAGGTCCAGAAATTGCAACTTACTGCGGGGAAGAGCGTTTCCTGACATGTGGTGGCCGTGACATGTGAATTGCATACCACGGCACGTGATGGCACGTGTACATACAAATTACATCCCATTCCATTTTCATTGCGTGCCTTTGCGCTACACTACATTGCATTGCATGACAATGCATGCGCATATGCATTGACAGTTGCATTTGCAAGTATCTTCCGTTTACGTTGGTGTTTACAAGTTGCAGTTGAATGAATTTACGTTATCATTACGTCACTCTACGTAGCATTACAGTCCATCACGCCACGTTACATGACATGAACAGCATTGCATCAATAGCAAACATTGCTGAAACCCCGCGTTCATACATGAACGCATCCAGACATGCATGCATGCATGGATTACAGAAACACAAAACACTATGTGACACAATGTTACACTAAAAATGCATTAATTACAGTAACCTACATTATGTTCCAAGCGAACATGACAAAAACTTAAACTATACCACCATCTGTTAAATTGCCTGACACAAATCTTAAAATATCTTAAAATTACATTACAAACATACATTACACTAAACGACGCGGCATTGCATTACGTTGCGTTGCGTTGCATTACTGAACGTTTCAATACATCATTACATAGACAATCATAGGCACATAGGTACCGCAGAAAATAAGTACATAGATCGTATAAAAATGGAACATAGATACATAGATACAAACATAGTATCATACATTACGAGTACATTGCGTTAGCTTCCATTCGGTTTCACGCCACCCCATGTCATTCCACACGCTGGCCACACGTACCTTACATATCCTACCTACTATACCTACCTCACCAACCTTGTTCATAAAATACATTGATTACAAAGACTACATACAGCAGATACATTACGTACATTACATCACATGACATGAAATAACATTCCATTACGTTACACCACATCACATCACATTGCATTGCGTTACATTACTTTGCATTGCATTGCATGCGCTGCATTGCTTTGCATTGCGTTGGGTTGTGTTGCCTTGCGCTACACCATGGTACAGTGCCCGACATTACCTCACATTACGCTACATTACCTTGCGCTGGATTGGATTAGACTAGACTACGTTAAATTGCATTACGTTACACTACGTTACATTACATTTCATTACGCTACATTACTTTATTACATGCCCGCATTACATCACATAGCATCACACATATTACATCACATTACATCACACTATATCACATTCCATTACACTACATTACATCACATGGCACACACTCGATGGGAATTGAATCCCTCGCGCAAAACCTACAGGACCTATTCTCTATCACAACAGCGGTGGGGACCCGACAAGAAGGAACACCATACGGTGGATCGCTGCAGGTATGTGTTCACCCCTGCCGCTAAGTCTTCGTTGGCCGCAGCTTCAGTGGCAGGTCTGCGGCCTGCGGCCTAAATCCCAATGTTTTGGATAAAAGTTTTACATCTTTTCAGATGTCTTACCTACACACATACATACATACCTACGGGCAAGATGATGAGTGATCTGAGCTCCATCAACGAGCATCCGCTAGCTTCCATCATCTTGCTCTGAATGAGCTTCTTGGATCGAGATTGCAGGGGAAGACAAGTGAGGACCGCTACGTGTTGCCAAGCCACACCAATTCGTCCATAGGCCCATTAGAGTGCTATGGTTGGGGCACACGGAGCCATTGGCTCTTGAGAGAAAGGTGTGGCTTACCGCGTTGCCGTGAGAGAAGCATGGGAGAAAGAAGCGTGAAACAGATAGAACGGAGCAAAGACGGAGTACCTTGCTGGGATGGGGATGGTTGGAGTACGGCACTGGGGGAGCAATCAGCGCCGTACCACCAAGAGGTACTTGTGCAGACCGAAGCTCCTTCAAGAGCTTTTTGACTCCTGAAAACCTTCTCGGGTGAGCTTTCGTGGCGGAGTGCAGGTCCTGTTGGACCACTTGCGGCAGCATTTGGGCCTTCCACAGATGTCCGAAATCGTCAAATGCTTCCTCAATAGCCGCTGCCACAAGCATGAGACCATGAGTAACTACATCACCAGGAAAGCAGAACTCTATGAACGTGCGAGCGTTGCACTTGGTAGAGTCCAGCAACGGTATGAGCCCAACAAGTCCGCAACAAGGTCTCGTGATGTCTCGTGGTTGGTCAGCTGAACAAGCACGACTACCACCTAACTCAAGCTCCAGAACCACCAGTGAGATGCATGAGGCTCCAGATCCAAACCATCTTCCTCAGCCAGGCCTGAGGACTCCTGGCAGCCATCACAAGTGACTTCTCCGTCCAAAGGTTGAAACAAGCAATCAATGGTGTGATGCTGATTTAAAGCGTCGTGATCACGTGATCAGTCCCAACGAGTGTGCTTGGATCCTTGATGAGCCTGATCAAGGTAGTGGATGAGGATTGGGATGGCCCCAACTCTGCCAACTTTGTGGACTGGGGCCTCAATGGCCCCATTGGAAGGAGATCCTGATGGACCCCTCAAGAGTCAAAGCTCAATGTGGTTGGTGCGTGGCCAACATCTCCTAAAGTGTTGGTTGGGCAGCTGCGCCACGCCTCTCAAAGGGAGCACCTCCTTGAAGAACTTCATGATCCTGAGCCACAACCCTGGGACTCCCAGGGTGGCAAAAGAACTGGGAAGAAACGACTTTGACCACTTGTCTGAAAAGCCACCATCAAGAGAAGAGCTCCGAAGAGCAGCTGATCCTGGTCAAGAAGAACACCAAGCAAGCGACTGAGAGGCAAGTCTCGCCCACCACCAGCAGCAGCCCACCAAACATGCCACCACCAGATCTTACTACCGGCAGCAGTAGCGGTTCAACATCCATGACTCACAGGCCATTTTGTGGCAGGCGCACATCGGACGGATTTGGTCGGTGTTTTCCTGCAGAACCGAAATCTCAGGGTCTTAAGATCGCTCAAGATTTTGATCTGAGCCAGTTGCGGCAGTTAGCGTAGCCATCGACATGCCACAGACACGAGCACAGACTGAAAAGATCAAGCTTGAAGGCTTGAAGGGCCTTCCAGCCTATACTTTGACACCTGCAAGTTCCAAGCAGAGGTCACCAATTTCAGAGCAGCCAAGCCCCTTGAAGCCTTACCGAGCCACCTGAAGGTTGATGCATGCATGCGATAATTACCTGGAAGCACAACAGCATCTCCAACCACAACCTGAAAAAGGAAATGTAACTGAAGCTTACTTGCAGTCCAGGCCATATCCATCTGAACTCACCTGTATCCCATGACCAGAAATTTGTACAGCGACGGGTTTAGATGCAAACTCCGTAGTGCGGGTCAAAAAGGCCTGCTACCGTCTTGAGATGGTCGCTGAGAGTGGTATAGATCCATATGCATGTTTTTCCAAACGCTGGGACTCCGTTGGCTTTGGGGGGATGGATATTGGAACGAGACAGTCGTAAAAAAACTCAAGACATGTAAGCGATCTCCTGTTTTCAGGGTCCACCACACACCCTTTGTGGCTGGAGGTTTGCAAGGCCATCCGCAACGACTTCAAATGGTCAGACTGGGAAGGCAGTGAGTACACCGAGTGTGGTTTCTTGGTGGAAGAACATGCCGGTGGTATGTATTCCTAGCCTCAGGAATCCTACATAGCGGAACTAAAATATATCAACCTGCCGAGCAGATTGGCCAAAAGAAAAAGATTGAAAAAGGATATCCCACGGATGCTTGGGAGCAGTCACAGTTACAAACAAATACCCTTAGGAGGGTGCAGCTGGGTGGTGCAGCAAACTGCCGCACACGTGGCTGCTGAGGTAGGGCTGTTGCTTTCGTTTTTCGGAAGTTAACAGTAGTAGCATAGACATCATTAACCGAGCGAACCGTTTGTTGGACCAAGCCAAGGGCATGAAAGGCCACAAAGTCTGGATTCATAAGAACCCGCTGGGCGACATGATGGTGTGTGCCTGGTGTGATGCTGCTGCTCACAACAGGCCTGGTGGCAGCAGGCAGTAGCACTCAGCGTATTGTTGTGGGCATTTCCTTCAAGGAACTGGTCAAGGGAGTGTGCGCCGGTGTCAGTGGTAATGTGGCAATCAGCAAAGATTGGGAGCATCTGTGGAAGACTTATAGTTCTTTGCAAGGTTCCAGTTGTCTGAGATGACAGGTCATGAGGTGAATGTCACGCAGGTCAGCATGGCGGTCAACTCTGTGCCAAGATGTTTGGTCACCGACAGCCGCAACGTATATGACAAACTGGATTTTGAGGCAGTAGTTTCAAAGAGAGGTGGGAGACGCACCGGCCTTCAGTTGATGAGCTTAAAGGCAGCACAACCCCGAAACAACATCATGGTGCGCTGGTAAACAGTGAGGCCCGGCCAGCCAACACGTTGACTAAGGCCAGAACAGCGAGAGTTGATGTTGCTTTACCGAACGAACCACCACTGGAAAACCATGTCACATCTGCAAGAAAACGTAGACTCAAGGGACAGCCGCCCCTGGAAGACACTAAGGTCCCACACATGCAGGACACAACACGACAAGTGTACACTCCACAGACAGAAACAGTGATTCTTGAGGTTGTCTTGCTTGCCCTTTTTCTTGTTGTTTGTTGAGATCGTTGTCGCTGTTGATTGATTGTTCTTTCGATGTTTTTTGGCCCGGTGGGATGGTGGTGCAGCGCAAGATCATGAGTGATCTGAATTCCATCAAGGAGCATCCGCTTGTTTCCATCACCTTGCTCTGAACGAGCTTCTTGGATCGTGACTGCAGGGGAAGACAGGTGAGGACCGCTATGCTTTGCCAAGCCACGCCAATCGGTCCATAGGCCCCCCTTTTCATAGTTCCAAGTGCTAGGGCACACCAGTTTCTGAAGGCCCCCCACCTACGTACATACATACATGCATGCATGCACTCATGCATACAGGTGTTCATGCATGCAGGCATCCGTGCATGACATGGCATGACGTGACATGACGTGACATTACATTACATTGCGTTACGTTACATTACATTACGTTATTCTACGGTGCATTACATTACATTGCACTATATTGCATTCCATTCCATTCCATTCCTTTCCGTTCCACTCAATGACATGCTGTTACATACCATCAAATCACATTTCACCACATGACATTGCAACAACATAGCACAAGGCATGTTCGAACAACAAAATGCAACATTGCACGCCATTACACCCATTGAGTTAAATTACATATCACGCACAGAATATACATGCCAAAGGAAGTTTGGCTAGCAAACTTTCGAGTAAGCAACAAATGCCCCAAGGTATAGCGCTTAGAAGAATTGGGTTGCAGAAGAGGTAGCTCAGCGAAGAAGTAGCTTTGAGGGGGGGGTAGCTCAGAGAAGTAGGTCAGAGAAGAAGTAGCTCAGGTAAGAGGCAACTCAAAGAAGAAGTAGCTGAGAGAAGAGGTGAGACACCCAGCCAATTAATTCATGTCAGTTTAGTCAGTCAGTCAGTCAGACAGTCAGTCAGTCAGTCATGCAGTCATTCATTCACGCATGTCAGTGCGTCAACTCAGTCAGGAGGCATGCACTCATGCATTCAAAAGACTTATATTTATATATTTATATATATACTTTCATGTAGGCCCTTGGTGTCCTATAGTATAACTGCCACGCCACTCTTTCCGAAACTTCCACCCTGGCACGGCCGGGATTCATTTCAAAGCCAATCAGCTATGCAGCTACTCAAACCACATGATCACTTACAAAAATCTGGAGAGGTCAAGATGGTTCGGGAAGGAAGCTCAACAAATTCAAGTGGAAGTGTGCCTGCACGCAAGTGGCAATCAACCCACTAAAGCCCGAGTTGGGAGACGTACGTTTTAATAGCCCCAATCATGACCCCAATCATGACTGGTGGAAAAACCCTGCTGCAGCAAAGCCTCGCAGGCTCTGCATCCATGGGCTATGTCCGCTCGCAGAAACGAAGGGGCAAGCGCTCCTCAAATTTAAGTGTTGTAAGGCAGACACTGGCAACGTGTCGGTGATGCCGGTCAAGGCAGTGCCGCTCAGAGCAGTGTTCTGCAAACTGAGACTTTCAAGGCCCCCCCCAAATTCCGCGATGCTGAAGGCACCTGCCACTTTAATCATTGGGTTGTCGCTGAGATCTAAATGTTTCAGGTGGCTTCCAGGCAAACATGTGGCCAGCGTCCTCACCTCCCTGTCATCGATGCTGCTATCAGCTAGGTCAAGGACTGTCACTGGACAACCCACTAACGCTTGAGCGAGAATCTCCACGGCGTTCCCCCCAAAGGTGTGGGGAGCAAAACGCTTCGCCTGAGCCGTTGCTGAGTGCGGATTCTCATTTTGTGGATTGTGATCATCCCCTATAGTCTCCAACATAACAAGGCAAGTCAATAACCGTCAATAACCCCCAACCATCAACAGGATCCAACCAGGGTCTCTTGCAGCCGCTGCTCGTCTTCTGTGCAGCTTCCGGTGAAAAAGTCGGGGGGCACGGCTGTGGCAATGATCTGCCCCACGGAGTTGGGAAGACACACGCAGCCACTGGTGAGGTTATCCCCTCGGGTTGAAGCTGGACAAACTCGTGCCCGGCAGCGCCCGATCCAAGGAGACCCACGTATATTGGGAGCAAGTGACTTGGCAGTGATTATACCTTGGTGATAGCGGAATTCAATGATGATGATAGAAAAATAGCAGTTAAAGGTTTCACATAGAAATGTGCCAAGATTGTTCGTTAGTTAAGCGGTATGGGTTGAAACCATCGCGTAGCTTGAAAACCAATAGTTGGGACAGAACTAACATCGATGGTCTGGTGGTGAAAGGCTCAAATTGATCCAGCATGCACGCCAAAGACTGGACAAATCTGGCCCATGTCAGTGTCAGCCATCCAGTTTCTGCGATCTAAGTGACATCGATACCGATACCCTTCGATGGGAGAAAATTGATTTTCCCCAAGCAGTGTGGCCACACAAACTGAGGGGTTCTTACGATAGGTGTTAAAGGCAAGGATTTGATCAGGGTGCTCCACCTGGGCCGCGGCATTTTTGCTGTAAATTCTTGCATGAATTTTTTCTTGTGCATTTCGGCTGCGCAGGCTCGGACAAAAGTCTGCACCGCAGGGTTGTCAAAGCATTTTCACTGTAGATATCCATCTGCATTTCGACTGCGCGGGCTGGTCGGGCTCATTTTCTGTGGCAAGCGCAATACTTTACAGACCTCGACAAAAAAGCGGTTGAAACCCGCAACGCCCTCTCCTGACTTTTTGCGCGTCAGATCGCTCTCGTTGTGGCGCGGGGCGATTTTTGACATCGCTCGCGCGGCACTTTGTGCTTGTCGGATCGCTCTCGTCGTGGCGTGCTTCTGATTTTCGCTGATTCTCTATGGTCTTGGTGCTGGCACAGAGCTCTTTTGAGTTCTCTGGAAAATCCTTCTATGCAGATCTTGCAAGAATTTCACGGTGCAGTCTTAGAGGTCCGCACTGTATGAAGATCTTGACCAAGGTCGTTGTTGTGAAGGTCCTGCATGACATCCGTCAGACGTCCTTGCATGATCTTGTGCAGGTCCTCAGGAGGTTTTGTGAAGATCCTGCTGACATCCTCTAAGGTCCTTGCGTGATCTTGCACAGGTCCTTATCAGAAGATCGTGGGGATGCTGGTGAAGTCTTCTCTAATAAGTCCTTGCATGGACTTGTACAGGTCCTTGTCAGAAGACCTTGTGGAGATCCTGGTAAGATCCTCTCTAGGAAGTCCTTGCATGAAGATCTAACAAATGCCATGAAGTAGGGGTGCTTGCATGAAAGCTCTTCCAAGATGCTCTTGGGCAGTTCTTGTTAGGGGCCGTGGCGGGAAGATCTTGGTCAAAGGTTTTTTTTAAAACCATCCTTTGTGAGAAGATCTTGTAGAGATCCTGGTGCAATCCTCTAAGAGGTCCTTGCATGATCTTGTACAGGTCTTTCTGAGAAGACTGTGTGGAGATCTTGTTGAAGCCCTCCTCTACAGGTCCTTGCATTAAGATCTGGAAGATGCTCTCCGTCGGTCCTTCTCTGCAAGTTCTTCTGGGATTCTCATGGGAAGTTCTTGCCGGAAGATCTTGCGAGATCCTCTATATAAGGTCCTTCTTTAATGATCTTTTGAGCTCCTCTATAGATGTCCTGGTGTGAAGTTCTGGTATGAGATCCTGATGAGTAATTAGGCATAGCTTGACATAGCGTTGCTGCTTGTGCCAAAACAAGTTCCTCCTGCTGCTGATGCGATAATGTCTAACCTGTTTTGCTGCTTGTATTTGCTGCATTGGCTTCCTACCCCCCGCACTGTTCGGGGTCTCTTGCCGGTGTAACTTTTTTCTCCTTCCCAAGGCACCGGAATACCCAGGTTCGCAGTCGCAACCCGCGGCTACACTCTCGCCAATGGAGTGTGGAGGGCATGGAGCAGCAACACAAGAAGTGTCTGGTCCCTCTGTCAAGGGTGCGTCTTGGGCGACTTGGGTCTGCATGTTGTTGCCTGGACAAAATATTGGCCGCTGGCTGTGAAACACGTTCGTGTAGACATTATATATCGATGTGAGACGAAGGTGCGCGCCCGCTGGCCCCCAAAGAATGATCATTCTATAGTACCAAGTTCAAACAGTATTGGGATATGTTAACCCATTGCATGGGTTATCATATACGTCCATCGAGAGAAGTTTGAAAGTCAAACTTCTGAAGGAAGGACCAGAGGTGGGAAGAGTCAGAGAAGAGAAAGAGTGAGAGAAGACGATCAGAGAAGAGAAGGAAGAACAAAAAATATCAAAGCATGCGCAAAGGTAGAAAAGTCGCCAAACACTGTGTTTTTCCAATGTTTTGGGGCTCCGGGAGGTCAGAAGGCAGGCCTGCTAATGCGAGCAATTTGGGAGGCTGAGAAATAAAAAATTGCACGCCCTTGTGGCGCGAAGCAGATTTGGAAAGGAAAATGCCACAATCACCGCAGCTCGGAGACACTTTTGGAAGTTGAGATGTCGAACAGGTGTACGGGGCTGTGGCACAAAGCAAATTTCGAAGCCAAAACTTGCAAACCACACCAATGCGGAGCACTTCTGGCAGTTGCGCCGTTGAAAAATTGCACGTCATTGCGGCGCGAAGCACATGTTGAAGTCAAAAAAGGTTGAAACACTTCATCCTCGGAACACTTTTGGAAGTTGAGATGTCGAAAAGGTGCACGCGGCTGTGGTGCGAAGCTCATGTCAAAGTCAAAATTGCAACTGCTCCTTGAGCTTGGGTGCTGCAGCACAAACTGGACTATACATGTCAAAGTCAAAAGTGATAATTAAAGGAACGGATAACCCCACAAGTCAACTTCTTCCAATACCGAGCTTCAAAGGTTGTAGCGGGGACGGGGAAGTAAGGAAAGACAAAGGAGGTGGTGAAGGATCGAGAAGTTAAAACAGTTGTGTGTGACAAAGTGGTATGTGAAAGATGGTGTGTGACAAAGCAAGAAGGTATGTGAAAAGATACTATGTATGTATGTATGTACGTATGTATGTATGTATGTATGTACGTAGGTATGTGTATGTGTATGTGTATGTGTATGCGTATGTGTATGCGTATGTGTATGTGTATGCGTATGTGTATGTGTATGTGTATGTGTATGTGTGTGACAAAGTTGCGTGTGAAAGATGGTGTGTGTGAAAGTGACGTGCGCGCGCGACAGTGCAGACATCTTTTTTTCGCTAGCGCTGCAATGTCATCTGCTCGCCATGCGGCATCACTGCGGACCTGGAATGGGCTGAATGAGGTGTGCCATGATCTTCTGTGCTCCATGTGGTGCAATGAGATGTTCTACGCGACAGCCGCACCTGTCCTACAGCCACGAATCCGACGATGATGACATAGAGGAAAGGTACCTGGCCGCAAAAGAATGTAGCTGGTTGTGAATGCAACTATGAAAGACACGTACAATATATCTAGACGCAGAGTGCATGCCTGTCAAGTCACGACACAGTCGCAGTTTCTTCATCTTTCCAAAAGTGGCAAGCACCATGGTTATGACGCTACCTGTGCATTCTTTTCCCAAATATGTCAACCGCACGCAGTGTGACTGAGATTGGGCTCTTTGCATGTTGCGACAAGCCATTCCGGATCACTGTGTCATCTGCTTGGCATGTCTTTCCACATTGAATCAACAATGCCGGCAGCCAAAGCAGCAGATAAGAAAGCTTGCGCACAGACTGTATACGCTAGCATGCTGAATAGCATCGCAGATTTGCGCGAAAGCCAGATTATTCCAAGGAGAGTCCTTGCCGTCTTCCACCACAGGCACACAAAGATAAACTGGGTCATACAGCAACTTGGCACGTAAAGTCAGTCTTTGCCCTAGGTCGCAGGCCCGATGACGATGCAAGAGCGGAAAAGTACCTGGCCGCAAAAGGACAGAGCACGTATATGGAGCCGGTTTTCAAAGCAACAAATAAAGAAACTATAAAACGGTTCTGCCGCACGAATTTCACATTTTCGCTGTGATCAAAATCTTGACAAGGTCTGTAGCATTTCTTCCCACAGTGGGGCAAAATCCACACATGTCACGAGCTTTTATGAATTGGCCGTCGCGACTCCAGTCTTCCCACATTGAGTCAACCATGAGTCCGGCAGCAAACAAAAGATGCGCTGGCTGTCGCAGGATCTCCTGTGTTGCATTGCCGACCTTCATCTTTAGTGGAGCATTGGTGTAGGTCCCACAAAGGAGCATTATTTATCCGCGAAGAGTTCCGTATGCAGGTTCTTCAAAATATCAATGCAAGCGTCCACACGCTCAAGCGTCACTCGATAGTAGGTCTGCACAGCTACAGTATTACGAGAAGAAATTGATCGTATTTCTTGCTGATCAAAATGTAATTTGCGTCGAGCATCTTCTAAGGTTTCAATCAGAGACCAGACCTCACTCTCTGCCGACATCTGCAGCTGTTGCCACTCCATAAGCTGCCGACGAGCGCGCCGACTGTGTAAATATAAGTATCAAATTAGGGAATGAGAGTTTGTGCCACGCCTGCCACGCAAAACGATGGTAGATGTGAGTTTGTGCCACGCCTGCCACGTAAAACGACTGTAGATGTGAGTTTGTGCCACGCCTGCCACGCAAAGTGCCGCGGCGTCACGGGCGACCAAATCAGACCAAGCGCGCCACCCAGTGCCATCAGTGCCACGCCTGCCACGCAAAACGATGGTAGATGTGAGTTTGTGCCACACCTGCCACGCCACGCAAAACGATGGTAGATGTGAGTTTGTGCCACACCTGCCACGCAAAGTGCCGCAGATGTGAGTTTGTGCCACGGCTGCCGCGCAAAACGACAGTAGATGTGAGTTTGTGCCACGCCTGCCACGCAAAGTGCCGCGGCGTCACCGGCGACCAAATCAGACCAAGCGCGCCACCCAGTGCCATCAGTGCCACGCATGCCACGCAAAACGATGGTAGATGTGACTTTGTAACACGCCTGCCACGCAAAACGATGGTAGATGTGAGTTTGTACCACGCCTGCCACGCAAAGTGTCGCGGCGTCACGGGCGACCAAATCAGACAAAGCGCGCCACCCAGTGCCATCAGTGCCACGCCTGCCACGCCAAACGATGGTAGATGTGAGTTTGTGCCACGCCTGCCACGCAAAACGATGGTAGATGTGAGTTTGTGCCACACCTGCCACGCAAAACGACTGTAGATGTGAGTTTGTGCCATGCCTGCCACGCAAAGTGCCGCGGTGTCACGGGCGACCAAATCAGACCAAGCGCGCCACCCAGTGCCATCAGTGCCACGCCTGCCACGCCAAACGATGGTAGATGTGAGTTTGTGCTACGCCTGCCACGCAAAACGACGGTAGATGTGATATGTGAATGATGGTGTCTGACAAAGTTGTATGTCAAAGATGGTGTGTGACAAAGGTGGGTGTGAAAGATGGTGTGTGACAAAGTTGTATGTGAAAGATGTGAAAGATGGTGTGTGACAAAGTTGTGTGTGAAAGATAGTGTGTGACAAAGTTGTATGTGAAAGATGATGTGTGACAAAGTTGTATGTGAAAGATGTGAAAGATGGTGTGTGACAAAGTTGTGTGTGAAAGATAGTGTTTGACAAAGTTGTATGTGAAAGATGGCGTGTGACAAAGTTGTATGTGAAAGATGGTGTGTGACAAAGTTGTGTGTGAAAGATGGCGTGTGACAAAGTTGTATGTGAAAGATGGTGTGTGACAAAGTTGTGTGTGAAAGATAGTGTGTGACAAAGTTGTATGAAAGATGGTGTGTGACAAAGTTGTATGTGAAAGATGGTGTGCGGGAGGTTGACAAAGAGAGGAGGCGGGAGGAGGCGGGGAGGAGGCGGGGAGGCGACCCGGGATACAGAATCAGAAAACAAGAACCCCACGCAAAGTCGTGGGGAAAAACCGACGGTCTCGGACCACTTTGGACGCTGAGATGTTCGAAAAATGCACGCCGTTGTGGCGCAAAGCACATGTCGAAGCCAAAGTGTTAAAAACTGACGGTCTCGGACCACTGTTGGATGCTGAGATGTTCAAAAGCTTTCTATTTTCAAAAGAAATCTGGCAGAATTGTTCGTTTTTGACGTTTTCAAATTCAAAATTGAGGAAGTCTTGCAGAAATTCTTTGTTTCGAAGCTGTGAGCTTTCACTTTTTGACGACGTCTCGCAGACTTGGCTCGTTTTGGACATGTCAACTTCCATTTTTGATGGAAGCCTCCCATACTTACTTCCTTCCAGATAGAAAAGAAATGTGGGTGGATACATAGATAGACAGACAGACAGACAAACAGATAGATAGATAAATAGATAGATACATAGATAGATAGATAGATAGATAGATAGATCGATCCCCGTCGGTACAAAAACGTGGGGTACAATCCTAGAAAAAAATCGGTCTAAAATGCTGACCCCTAACCTTTGAGAGAGGTTTTAGAGCTTTAAATTCCTGGTTCCTAACCTCTGAAGCCGAAGTCTCACTTCCAACCACCTTTTTGAATTTTCTTTGCTAATTTCCTGGTGCCCAACGTCCAACATCCAATAAATTTACCCCTCTGATATCCAAGTAAAAAAATTATTTCCTGGATGCTTGCGTTGGTAACATGCCATATCTTCCCCCCCTCAATCTGATACGGAAAAAAATGAATTCCTGGCACCTGACTTCCCGGCTGACAGCTCGCAGTTTTTCAGAGTCCACGGATGCCCACGTTAATGCAAAACCCTTTTGCATGGACAAATGTATCTTCAGGAAAAAACGCCTGTTTTGCAATTTGGCCACGCGTTGGAACAAAATTCTTCAATTTGTCCCATCATTTCCTATCTATGGGTGGTTGACCTGGTGATGCGATTTTTTTCCTGTGGGGCCAGCCTTTGAAGATCATCCACAAGAATTCGGCCAAAAGAAGGTCCAGCCCCTTGGATTTTATTTTTGACACCTGCGCCTCGGCCTCTTCAAGTCACCTTTTTTTTGGTTGGTGAAGCTGAACATATGTGGTTGTACCCTTTTGCAAGGACAAATGCATTTTCAGCAAAAACATATGTTTTGTAATTTGGGCGCGCATTGACACAAAATTCTTGAATTCGTCCCATCATGTCCTATCTGTGGATGATTGGCCTGGTGATGCGACTTTTTTTCCTGTGGGCCAACCTTTGAAGATTATCCGCAAATATTCAGTCAAAAAAAGGTCCAGCCCTTTGGATTTTATTTTTGACACCTGCGCCTCGGCCTCTTCAAGTCACTTTTTTGGTTGGTGAAGCTGAACATGTGTGTCTGTACCCTTCTGCAAGGACAACTGTATTTTGAGCAAAAAAAAATGTGTTTTGCGATTTGGGTGCGCGTTGACACAAAATTCTTGAATTCGTCCCATCATGTCCTATCAGTGGATGATTGGCCTGGTGATGCGAAAATTTTCCTGTGGGGCCAACCTTTGAAGATCATCCGCAAGTATTCAGTCAAAAAAGGTCCAGCCCCTTGGATTTTATTTTTGACCCCTGCGCCTTGGCCTCTTGAAGTCACTTGTTTTGTTGGTGAAGGTGAACATATGTGTTTGTACCCTTTTGCAAAGTCCTGTAAAGAATCATACCCCCTCAATTAATCATGGTACATTATTTCCTGGGGTTTGACATTTAGATATGTTCTAGTAAACTCCCATTTGATCCATCCACCTTCAAATTCCTGGCTATTAACCTTGGGAATTCTACAAACTTACCCATTATCAGAGTCATTCATGATTGATTTCCTGATGCCTTACATACACAGACTGATAGATCAACCCCCCCTCAATCACAACAGACAGAAATTGATTTCCTGTCGCTGTACGTCAGGAAGCTTTCAGGAAAAAAAATCTGGGCCGTTTTTGGTATGATATTTTATTCCTGGCCCCATATCATGCCCCGGGACCCTCACCCACTGTCTGCTAGATTTTTGGAAAATAGTGTTTTTTAAAAAGCGCACTGAACCCCCAGGAAAAAAAACTGGTAGTACAGATAGATAGATAGATAGATAGATAGATAGATAGATTAGATAGATTAGATAGATTAGATAGATTAGATAGATTAGATAGATTAGATAGATTAGATAGATTAGATAGATTAGATAGATTAGATAGATTAGATTAGATTAGATAGATAGATAGATTAGATAGATAGATAGATAGATAGATAGATAGATTAGATAGATTAGATAGATTAGATAGATTAGATAGATTAGATAGATTAGATAGATTAGATAGATTAGATAGATTAGATAGATTAGATAGATAGATAGATAGATAGATAGATAGATAAATAGATAGATAGATAGATAGATAGATAAGATAGATAAGATAGATAAGATAGAAAGAGAGAAAGATAGATAGATAGGTAGATAGGTAGATAGGTAGATAAATAAATAGATAGACAGATAAATAGAAAAACAAAGAGACAGTCAGATAGACAGATAATCCGACATTCAGATTGAGAGATAAAATAATATGAAAAAAATAACGAACCATATTACACCAGCACTGTTTTAGTGGCACCCAACCGCTCGGCTTTTTTGCTACGGCATAAACGCAATCTCGATCAGGGCCCCATGCCCACACTGCCATAAACATCTCGCAGCCGGCCCAAGCTTCATAGCGAACACTGCACTCTGCACCCTGACAGCAGTACCCTGCAGCAGCACCCAAGTTCCTAAGATGCAGACAGCCCTTTAACAGTAATACCCTGCACCTGCAACGGCACCGGCAAGCCAGCTCCACAGCGAACACACCATTCCAACAGCAGCACCCCTCTGACAGCAGCATCCTGCAGCACCCTGCAGCGTCACGAGCATGCCCGCCCCAAAGCGCACACACCACTCTGACAGCAGCACCCTCAAGCAGCACCCTGCAGCGGCACCAACATGCCCGCCCCAAAACGCTGACATGCAACTCCTCCTATACTTGAAGTAAGAACCAGAACAGCTTGGCTATCTGGGGAAAAACATCGGCAGATCAGACAGAAAAAGAATGAAAAAGAGGTAGTCAGATAGATAGATGGTCAGATAGATAGATAGAAAGATAGATAGACGCACAGACAGACAGATAGAAAGCTACATAGATAGACAGATGCATAGATAGACAGATGGTCACATAGATAGAACGATGCATAGGTAGATAGAAAACCGGATAGATACATAGATACAGATACACACATATAGATAGAGAGATAGAGAGATAGATAGATAGATGGATGGATGGATGGATAGATGGATAGATGGATAGATGGATAGATGGACAGATAGAGAGATAGATAGATAGATAGATAGGTAGGTAGGTAGGTAGATAGATAGATAGATCGATCGATAGATAGATAGATAGATAGTCAGAAAGCCAGAAAGTCAGATAGACATATAGTCAAACAGGTAGATAATAGACAAATACAAAAACAATTACATAGATAGATAACTCAGAGCCTCAACCACCTTTCGGTCCATCGGCTCGCTCTGCCATCCATGCATCACAGCAACCCACCTCCCCTATAGGTTTCCTATCTTTGAAACTTCCGCCACCGCCTTGTGCGGTACTTCTGGTAGATCCATTATATAGATCCATTATGTATATACTCATATATAAAATTATATATATATATATGTATTCATTTATATTCATATAATTTTATACACTTAATCAATTAATATTACATAATTTTATATTGTATATTTATATTCATTATCATGTTAGTATTGGCTTATGATAAGCCAGAAAAATCCATTGCACCGCCACTGCGTCATTGTCAAACTGCCCAAGAGCTGGACAACCCACTCCACAGGCATATTCGTGCTGATTGACATGCAGCATGTGTATATCATGTAATACATATGCAATATTTACAGATTCTACATGGGAATGTTGAAAATGGACGCTTCATAATTAGTCCTTATAAAAGCCCGGCAGCCCGCAAAAGCCTTTTATGCATCTTTATGCCGGTATTCTGACACGAGGAGATTGAGTGGCATGAGGATGAGCAATGACTTCCTGCCTGCTCTTTGGTATCCCGGACTGCACTGACAGAGCGATTCCGAAATAGGAAAGGAATGTCTGGAGCACGGTGGGCCGGTAACCGTGTTGGCAGCCTCCCCACAGTTGCCAGAATAGAAAGGCACCCAGGCTTCAGCAACGATTTCACCATGCAGTCCTCCCACTGAGACCCAGCATTCCGGTGATTTCTGGGAAGCATCCACCCTTTCGGGACCCACCTAGAATGCCCATGACCCATGATCTTTTCAGCCCGTCCTCGAGAACAGCTGCAACCAGAAGGCACGTCTATCCCAATGGAGAAAACTGGGCATGCCACTGATTCACAGGCGAGAAGCAACATCAGACCGATCGCTGTGCGTTCTGGGCGCCAACATCACGAAACAAATGCAAACTTGTGGGGATCAGGAACGAACATGAACGGAGTCCATATCTTTCTGCATCAAAAATTCACATGCAAAAAAAAACATATCATAAAATATTAAAAGAATCACTATCCTAACCTCTCAGTTCAGGCACTGATTGTTGGATTAAATCCTGGCAAACCTGAGATTTGCTGAAGGGCCCCATCAAAACAACAAATACTCCCTATGGATTTTATATGTTTCTATGCGGTAGATTTCCCCATGGGAAAATCAAAAAATCACCCGGAGCAAACCCACGAAACAGCGGCAATTTGGCGCTTCGCCGGTAGAGTTGGCCGGACACGATCTTGCTCTGCAGCCGCCGCTATAGTACGGGGGACCCACCTCTGGCCGGATCTCCCCTTCGAATCCTTGGAGCTCAGAAATCCCAAAAGCAAATGGCCACAGATGGGCAAATAATGGGTTTAATGGGACATCATCAAACTATATATATATATATTATTATATACTGAGTCGTGGGTTTCCCCAGAAAAAATGCAAAAGAATCACCGACCCAACAAATTTCATTGCCCAAAAATCCTTCATTGCAGGTGCACCCTTCTGAGAGGAACTTGCCGGAAGACGAGGAGTTTTGTGGGCACATCACCGGAATGCAGCTGCCGGAGTATCTCTGCAAGGAGTTGCCTTGACATCTTGGATTTGCCCCAGAAGGGGTCATAACATATCAACAAAAGAGATCCTCAGTAGATTCCCCACTTCTGGTACAAGTAGATGAACTAATGATAACTAATGAAGAAATACAACACATCACTGACTCAGCAAGTCTGACTCGGTGAAAACCATTGGATGTTGGTGGAACTTGGTGGAACCACCAGTGGTGCCCAAATTCAGCAACCCCAAAAGGGAACCCCCGCCAATGATACATGGTTAATAGATGTTAATAGACCCGTATTTGTGGCGGTTCCATAAACCCTCAATGAACATCAATGAACCAGTTGCTCCAGCGAATTTCCCCTGCAACGCCGGCTGGGCATGGCGTTCCGCACTTAGCCATGTGCATATCCTGAGCGTTGCTGGAAACAATGAACTGTCACAGTTGGAGCAAAAAAACCTTCGGATCTGTGGGTCAGTTCTGAGTAATGGTCCGTTCATACCACTAGTAACCAGGAAAGCAGCATAAGGTCGGTTTGCATGTTTTCCTTGCTGTGGTGGTGAAGCACATACTCGAACCAAAGAAACGATGTATAAAGTAATTCAAAGCCATAAAGTCGTGGTTTCACTTGGCGAATTTAATTGCCCCTCGGACTGCAAAAATACTTGTCACCAGTCAATCTGTGGCTGATCTTTGAATCTTGCAACCAACAACCCTGACAAACATGGGCTTCTTCGTTTGACTCATAGCTCTTCAACCCTTGTCGTCAAAGAAAGGAGATCTCTGAAACCACCAGCCAGCATCTTGTCGGCCAATGCTGACGCTGCCAAACTGTCTCACGAGTGCAACCGGGCTCTCCAAGAAAGTTGCCAGCGATTGGACGCGGGTTTGACTGTATGCTCCGACACAGACCTGCTGGAGCCAGTGCTACTGTTGTAGCAGCTGTTGCACTTACTTTCTACCTTGGTATTGGCTGCCTATACCTGCATCATCCTGCATCTGCACCTTCGCATTTGCACAGTGTTTCGCTAGGCCACAACCACTTCTTTTCAACCATTTGTTTTAACATCTTCATCTGGAGAGCCTCAAGCCTGATGAGATTTGGTCGCACCCACCTCGTTGGAATGAAGCAAGCACCTGCCACAGAACTCTGCAAGATTCCCGGTGCCTGCGCCCAGAATGAAGGGCATTGTCCCAGCATCTTGCCAATGCCGACTGATCTGGTCACACCCCGGCGCTTCGCAAAAGCAGAACTTCACCGATTCCCATGCCAGCACCTTCTGGGCCAGGCGCTGACCGCTTTTTTCAGCATATTTGAACAAAAACAGCAACCCTCCAAAGTTCGGAAAGTTCGGCTACCCCCCACCTCACTAGGAAGATTCACCCTGAAGGTGTGGTGAGTCTGGTCGGGACCGTCCCTACCATCATTGCCGTCCCGTTGAAGAAAATACGACTCGCTGGCCGCAGAACCACAGTCCTTGTCACCTGGCTGAGCTAAAAGCCCATCACCCGAGCCCAGGAAGCGTCCCACGATCGTTGCCTCCAGCCACGATGGGTGATGTGGGTCAGCCGCAAAAACCAGTCAAAATATGAATCAAATGGGACTACTACATGGCAAAATCAATATTAATTAATGATCATGAATGCAAAAAACCAACAATCAGCATGAGTCAGTTCCAAATTTTGAACCGGCTCAGTGACAGCATTGCTTTTTGATTCATTCGTGTTTTTCCCCCAGCGAAAATCCACCTCGACCACCGTACTGCCGTTGGGTGGAACCCTCAGCTCCAGGCGCGAGGCCGAAGCATTGACTTCGCCAACCCCGAGGCGAACGTAGCCAGCTGAGAGGTTCATAGGTGGATGGGCCTGGTCCCGTAGATCCTCCAGGCACAGAGGTGCATTTTGGATGGGAAGATATGGGAAGATAAGAAATGACTGGGAACTGGATGGGAGTAAAGGCCGTAAAAGGCCCATTTATTATTGCTGATCTGGATGGGAAATGGGAAATGAACACCTGGAAATCTGATGAGAGCCTGATGGAAAGCTGATGAAGTCTGGGCTTGTTTATGTCATGACATGTCATGATGGGAAGGTGGCACAACACCATGATCAAATGAGCTAAGATGAGCAAAGCCATTCACATCGGGCCCTTTGGAATGCTGAATGCCTTTATCAATTCATCGTCAAGCATCCCTGCCCGGAATTCCACTTGCGCATCCTGCACCAGTTTCAGGAGATCTGGCAAGTTGACAGGGGAACTGAAGGGAGGCATTTCTTGCACCAATGGTGCTGACAGTGGAACGCTCAGCCGTTGAGTGGCCAAGTACCTCAAACATCAGTGGAAACAGAAAGCAGTCTCTGATTAGACTTGTTCAGCAGCATTGCATAAACATGGATTTGCTCCCGCAATTTTGGGTTCAACCACCTTCTGTTGTCCAAATTTCTGGCGTGCTTCCAAGCAGTTGAAAAAGGAACCTACTGCATCTTGCCACCTTCAATGGGCCATCCCCTGTGAATCCTTTGACAGAAACAGGCTGCAGCCAGGGGACATAGGATTCAGGTTCACCACATGGATGGACAGTTTCTTCTCAATGGCCTTCTCTACTCTGGCTTTCCTGTTGAAGGGGAATGTCTGAAAAAAGCTGCGCACATGGCCAAAGAGAGCACATGTGTCATGTACAGGGCACAATTTATTGAATACGTGAACACAACATACTTATCTGCAAACATACACGATATACACGTCTGTTTGACACTATGGCACAAGTGCCCAAAAACAGCTTCCAGCGGATAATTTTCCATCGTTGTTTCAAGTACCGTTCAGTTTCCCGTGGCTGTCGCAGCCAAGCATCAAGGGTTCCCAGTCCTTTCCGAGCAAATCCTTTTCCTCCTTCAGCATGAAGCTGCGAAATTCGGACATCCATTTCTTCAATAGGTCATCTGTCGACAGATGGTCAATCCTGATGACATAAAATCATGGGTTGCTCCCAAGATCCCACTTGTTTCATCTTTTTCCCCTTTTCTAGTCCTTCTAGCTTGTAGCCATCGTTTACCCATCAACGATTGGAACAACTATGTTTGAGATGGACGCAATCACAGTCCTTGGCACAACAGCGAAGGAACAGGTCCAAGGGACTACAGTTATGAATTATATTGCTAATATCTATACGAAAATCAAGGCCCACCAACTTTTTTTTGCCAGGGCTTCTCAGGGGATTTGCCCCACCACACCACCCATACAATCCCATACGTTCCAGACTTGGCGGAACCAGGCTGCATGGGCACAAAATTTATGATGATTCGCAGGTGGTCGTAGAAAGCAGGTCCAAAAGTGCGTCGATATTGTCGTAACATTTGCCGTCGAAGGTCCAGTTGTCTGCGGATGGCGCCGTTGACAACCCAAAGAATCCCATCCTCCATGCAAACGACTCAGCAGCATTTGATTAAAACGTGCAGGACTTTAGGGCAATCGTGCGGGCTAACACCCGTTTTTTCTACTCACATCCCAAAATTCTTGCAGTTAGATCCGTATAATTTACAATCCTTTACACAAATCTACAAAGGGCCAACAAAAAAAAGATACCAGTTGAACGCTAGTCTCCAGCAAAAGATCCTCACCAGTCTGGTTTCGGAGCTGTGTGACCGTATCTTCCCATTGCTTTTGGTCCGACTCAGTGCCCTTGGTATCCGCAAAGCCAGGGATATCGAAGATCTTCAGTCGCGGCATCGTGGCTCGGGGATCCCCAAAAGCCTGTCCGGTCACTTCGATGACCTGCTTCGTGTGAGACTCCGCACTGTTGGAGAACTTGCAGCCTCAAACGAAGACTGGGCACTTAAATGGATATACATAATTCCATACATACATTACAGTATATTACTACATTACATTTCATTACATTACATTTCTTTTCATTACATTTCTTTTCATTACATTACATTTCATTACATTTCTTTTCATTACATTACATCACATTTCATTACATTACAGTACGTTACATTTCATTACATTTCAATGCATTACATTTCATTACACTTCATGTCATTAATTACATTTCATTGCATTACGTTACATTACATTACATGCATACATACATATATATATATACATACACACACACATATATATATATGTATATACACATGCATATATTACACACACACACATATATATATACATACATATATATATATGCTTTTCCCAAGTATGTATGACGGGATTCGTGGTGGGGTTTGGGAATTCAAGGGGAACACTAACAAACAATACAATAAGTGCATATTTAGAAACCTCCTCTGACCTTGAAGTTTTGTATGCCAGGGAGTATCGTAAAATCCTGGGACTCTTGCAGTATGGGCTTTGAGATCTGAGAGGTGTGGAATGGTTCATTCACTGATTTGCAGGACTAGGACTATTGAAGCATGGCTTATTCACGGTGGGTTTTATGGTTCATCTGCATGGCAGAAACTGTGTTTGAATTGGTCCTAGCGGCTGGATTGATTCAGCAGAAAGAAACATGCCGAGGATTTGCCTGCACCTGTCAAGCCAATCAGCAAGAGCCTCTTGGTCCACGGACCTTTGCCATGGCCAACTTTGGATTCCTCAAAGGCTTTTTCCAGCAGCTGATTCCGCCGCTCCAATGCAAGATTCAGAAGACTCGGGGTGCTTCCTTGCATGTGGCGCTCCACCTGATTTTGCTTGTCCAACAATGCTTGCAAATAGTAACCGTCCAAATCCCGAATCTTGACGCCAATTTGCCTCAGCGGCATCCAATGCATTTCATCATTGAACCCGGTTATCTAACCAGCTACCGAAGACCCTCCTGTAATTTGACCAGATTTCACCTGGGTACATATGGAGAATGGATGAGAATGGTCCATCTATAGATGATCTATCCTAAGACATGGTGATTTACCATAGCTATGTGAAATTGCCAGAGGGTACAGTAAACCACTACTGGTTGGCGAACTTAATGTCGTCACCGAAAATCATGGCAGTCAAGTTCAAACCGCCAGTCACTTCCCACGATTTCTTGCCAGTGAACTGGGTGAGCCTAGGACCATGCTCATCTTCAGGGCTCAAAGTCGGCGCTCTGGCCTTCAGTCGTGGCTGGAGTGTGATGTCCAGGTAGATATCGCAGGAACCTTTGCACACCATGGGATCCAATCGATAACATCTCAGCGAACAATAGTTGTCTCCACCTCAGCTTTCAGCTTGCTCATCAAAGGGTTAAAAACGTCATAGCCATCCCTGGCTCTGACCATGTTGATCCCATGGGTATGCCATAGATCCTGGCTGCAAACCCAAGCCATCCCAATGCCCGTCCCGGCATCCTAGGTCCTAAACCATTTGATGCTCCCGCAGTCGTGCCTTAATGGGTTGGGGTTTACCAGAAAGTGACAGCTCGATGGATGAACATGGAAGGCTGTAGGTCCTTTAGGTTTTACATGATGGTCCTATTTTTCAATACCAAGATGGGAAGAAAAAGGAACAAGAAGGAACAGCTATGAAGGCTATGCCATGCCCAGGTACACATGGGATCAGCACATCCCAAACTTCTCATCTCAGTGGTCCGCAAACGTTTGTCCAGAAGTCGTAAAGTGGCCTCCTTGAAGGCTGGGGATCTAATGGGACGCCTCTGTTGGTGACCCGAAAATTAAGGATCTCTGGGTGATCCATAAACACATATGAAGCGCTGCTCATATGAATCCGCTGGCCTGCCGGCGTGTCTGATCGGAAGGCGTTGTTCCTTTTCCTAGTCTTGGCTTGTACTTGTTCCTTTGTTCCCTTGCTACGTGCTACGCGTTTTGCTTTGTCTGAGAAATCACCCCATATCACCCCCTCCCCCTCCTCCCCACCCCCCGCTCCCTCCCTCCTTCCCTTCCCCCTCACCTCCCCCTTCCCCTTCCCCTTCCCCTTCTTCTTTTACTTCTTGTACTTCTTTTACTTCTTGTATCTTCTTGTACTTCTTTTACTTCTTTACTGTTTTACGTCTTTTATTACTTCTTTTACGTCTTTTACTTCTTCATCAACTTTTACTTCTGCTTCTACTAGTACTAGTACTGCTCCTACTCCCACCCTACTCTGCTACTATCCTACTCTCTTACTCCTACTACTGCCCCTACGCGTTCCACTAAACCGGTAGTGCCGGTATCTAGCGACACTAGTCACAGGACCTACACAGTACTGAACTGATCGACCGGTACTCATTTCGTATGCGGTCAATATATAGGTTGTTAAGGTAAGCACTTGCTAGTCCAGCTGCTTCTGATCTACTGCTTTGTCTTCGTCTCTTCTTCTTCTTCTGCTTATTCTTCTCTTCTCTTCTGCTTCTCCCTCCGGCTTCCACCTAGCGTGCACATCCACCTCCCTTGGGGCAACCTCTCTCCGCTCCCACCTTGTCCTCTTCCATTCCATGCAGCGGTCTGCTGTCAAGCCGGAAGCTCATACATAATAGTACCTAGCGCTACAAGTACTTTGCTGAGGTCGGTCGAATTTGGTATCCGGTCAATAGGTTGTTACGGCAAGCACTTGCTACACAAGCTGCTTCCGTTTTACGGCACTGTCTTCGTTTCCCCTTTTTCTTTTCTTCTTCTTCTTCTTCTTCTTTTGCTTCTTCTTCTTCTTCTTCTTCTCTTCTGCTTCTCTCTCCGGCTTCCACCTAGAGTCCACATCAAACTCCCTTGGGGCCACCTCTCTATGGCCGGCGGGCTTGCCGCAGGCAATTAAACATGGAATGGTCTTGCTTGCAGAGTTGGTCGATAGTAGAAACCCAGCACGGAAATCTGGCTGCTTTGGGCCATTGAATGATTGAGGATGATTGAGGAACATCAGCCGTAACCTAATTGGGATGAAAAAACACGTCGAGTCAAAGGAAATCCTGAAACTAATGAAATGAGTTCAAAGTATGATGAAAGAGTTGCAGGAAAAATCCACCTTCCCATCGGAGTGGTGAAGGACTTCCAACCGAGTGGCACCTGAAGCCTTCAAGTGGAAGAGTCTCCAGTTTGCAGCAAGGTGAAAGTTGATTTCTTGAGTTTGCCGCTGAGATCCATCTGATTCCTGAAAAATCTGGGCCCTGCGGAACACCGTGTGCAGGCCATCCTCGGTGTGATCTCCTACTGTCACCAGAAGATGGGAGAGACTGACCACTGCAATGCCAACCGTCCGTTCGAAAAAGCCTCGCATGCGGAAAGAACTGCGCTGTCCAAAGGCCGTTGAGTTCAAGGCCATCTTCACGATGGCCTCATGAGCTCTTCCCAGGTGATTTTCGATCAGAATGGGGGCAGCCCGATTGCAATTATCCAGCGGGCACAAGTAGAAGGTGCTCGCCAACGTGGGGTCCGGCTTCCAGATCAAAGTTACCTCGGCCAGTACCCGGAGCCTTACAGCCTTATAGCTGCTGGTAACGAAGCAACACTCCCGATGTTGTTCAAATAAACACACTTGCATTGCATCGGATCCAAAGGGTTTGTACTTGTCTAGCTAGCCTCTCATCATCGGATTGAAATCACAACAAATACAGCAAGAGGTAAACCACAAATGGGTTCTCCCGACTCATGACTACGAATTGCATAAGCGGCTAGTGCCTTGACTAGTAACTAGTAATTCAACCATGATGACAATTTGGATGCTTCATGACAGTTCATGACATACCTGTCCGGTCATTCCTACTGACACTTCACAGCCAAGCCGCTTCCTTCTTGCCCATCTCTGGAACGATCCAGCATTCAACACCTTCTACAAAGCTGGGACCTGGGCTCCCCTGCAATTTCTGATGCTTGTTGACTGCGGTCAGGTGACGGCCACATTTAGGTGATCCAATCATATCATTTTGAATGTGAGCAACCCAAAGGCCTTCAATCTGGTGTCAGTCATCTAGATCTACCAGAGAAGTCGGACCAAAATCAATGAGTCAAAACACCATACTTGAATAACTTGAATCTACTTGCCACCCATTCCACTTGGAGTTGCCCCAAAATCACCATCACAAGCATCACCGGAATGTGGGCCATGGGATGCCCCCCGCTGAGCCACTGTTGTAACATCGACTTCCTGTGGCCCCAATGATATCCACATCCAGCACCTGTGGCACGAAAGCATCGCGATACAAGTGCGGAACCTCAGCCCGAAGTGAAGTCGACGAAGAACGTTTGCAGAAATCAAACCCAATCCCGAAAATTCAAGCTGTGGACAATAGAGACATATATAATAGAGCATAGTAAAAACAGGAAATGCTCAGACTATACTCACTAATGTGTCTGGAAAGGCACGATATTCAAACCTCCAATGACCATAGCAACGACGAACAGCACACATACACCTCGGATCAAAGATCGGGCCCCCGAAATGGCTTGAGTTCATCAAGAAACATGCAAATACACATAAATGCACACAACATCAAAGACATGCAAAACCTCTATGTACAGTCCATGCAATGCAAACAACATGGAACACACACACACATACACACACACACACATATATATATATATATGTGTGTGTGCATCATCTTCTGAACATTGCTGAACACAACACACATATCATAATTACACAACATCGTATGCCAGTGGAGGGGGGGCGGATGGAGATGGTAATTGTATATATAGCTGGGTGCGAAAATGAAGGGGCGGAAGAGTTCATCAAGGGGACAACAAAGTGGTTAGTGGATATTAGTGGCTAGATTGGTGAGGTAGTGATGTGATTCGTGATCTGATCTGGGTAAATTATAATAAATCACCAACCTGAATTAAGGCCATTTGGGGATGATTTCCCTTATTAGCCATGATTCCAGTGAGGTCGCAGTGAGGTCGTTATAATTTACCCAGTCTGATGGGCTAGTGACTTGATTGGCAAATTGAAAAGCAAAGATCAGCGAGTCGATGAGCGAATGCATTGATGAGCGAGCCAATCTGTGAGCGGCATAAGTTCGATTCATTGCAGAGTTGATGGGGGAATACCGACAATGGTGTGAGAGGACCAGCCAGTTGGTCATAGTTGGTCATTTTGTTGGCCCGTTTCATTGCTCCGAAAAGTGCACAATTCACATGCAAGCTGTCTTTTGATCATGAACAACCTCGCTTAAATAAAGAAACATGGAACACATTGGAACATAAAACGCTTCAATGCGCGCATGCTAAACAAATCCAACAAGGAAACACCTTGATCAAAACTTTCCTGCAAAGGGACAAGTGTGGAACACCATGGCGCCAGGTCTGTCTGACGCCAGCGCTGGAAAATGATAAACCAGGTGAGGAGCGTCTGTTCCAAAGACCTTCTCAAAGGTCCTCGTACGCTGAAGCTCATTTGCTGACAGCGTAGTGCCACTTTGCCCACTTTGCATGCTGCTTGCTCTGGTCTCACTGGGTATGCCAGTGCCAGCGTCCAGCGATCTCATCTCAAGAACTAAGGGCTCTGGATTTTCCGGTGGGCGGAATCGTCCACGGACGGCCTTCCAACACCTATAAGGCGCTGTCAGCAAAGGATTTGCGCCATTTACAATCGTATCTGTTTGAACAAAGCTCTCCATTATAGTTGGTGGTCTTGACATGTTTCAACACATCCTCAAAAACAAACACGCACACACACACACATGAGAATAAATAATGTATACATATAAATAAATACATGTATATATATATATAAATATCTTATTCTTTTATTTTATTGTTATTATTATTATTATCATTATTATCATTATTTGTATTATTATTATTATTATTATTATTACTTTTGTTATTATTATTATGATTCATTATTATTGCTATAATGATTTTTATAATAATAATAATTATTATTACCATTAAAACAATTATTATAAGAATAATAATTATTATTATTCTTATTATATATTACTATTTTTATTATTACTATTATTAATATTATTATTACTATTATTGTTATTGTTATTATTTATTATTATCACTACTTTTACTATTATTATTGTTATTATTGTTATTATTATTAGTATTATTATGATTTTTTTTAATTACCATGACCATTCTCATTATCATTACCATTATTGTTATTATTATTATTATTCATACTATCCCTATGATTGAACGCGCAATGGTGGAAATTTTCACCCCAGCCACTCTGGCAGAGTGGCTGAGTGGCTGCTCCAGCCACTGAGTGCCTGAGTGCCAGAGTGGCTGGAGAGTGGCTGCTCCAGCTACTCTGGCAGAGTGGCTGAGTGGCTGCAGTGGCTCCACTCAGCCACTCTGCCAGAGTGGCTGAGTGGCTCCTCCAGCCACTCTGCCAGAGTGGCTTGAGTGCCTGAGTGCCAGAGTGGCTGGAGAGTGGCTGCTCCAGCCACGCAGTGGCTGAGTGGCTGCTCCAGCCACTCTGGCAGAGTGGCTGAGTGGGTGAGTGGCTCCTCCAGCCACTCTGGCAGAGCGGCTGAGTGGCTGTGGCAGAGTCATCAGCCAATGAAATGGATAAAGTTTTTCAACATTTCAATATCCAAGCAAGATTATATTATATGATATTGACAGCAACTTGGTTTACAAACATAACCTTGTAAACTCCAACTGCCATAGCTACATAACCTTCAACGTATTGATTAAGAACAGCCACATATACACTTTGAACTATAACCTGAAATCACTTAAAAGGAAAGATAGTGTTGATGAACCCTACAAGTTCAGGATTGGAAACAACTATTACATCAACCACAGAGAAGAACCTCTTGAATACAAAATGATTGATGGTATCGATGATGTGATGAGTTTAAAGGATGAAGAGGAATACAGATTAGTTTTAAAAGGCAATGATTTGAACAAAGCAATTTATGAAATGAAAACAGAAGGATATGAACCACAGGTTAGGCACACAGCAGGTAGGGCAATAGAAATCAAGTTTGATTTAGCACACAAGATAGGCAAGAAACAGAAAACGGTAACCTACAGCATTGTAACACAGCACCGTGACCATGATAGAATCAATGATGATATCTTGGTGGAAACAGAGGAATAATACAACAAAGTCAGCGCGACAATGTTCAAGTTTCATGCGTTAATTTTCAGTGAAAATCATAAGTCATACAATAACGAAACTGACCTTAAAGCATTGGATGAATGCAGAACCATTGTTCCTAATGGAAGGTTGTTAAAGGCAAAAGACTATGATAGCAAGGGCTGTGAACTTGTCCTTGCCCCTGAAGATATGTGTAGCATCGACACACGGAAAGCCTACTCATACCAAGCAGCAAAGATTACACACATTCCAGTGTTCAACGATTTTGATGTATGGAAGCCATACTCCAAAAAATGATTTTAACAAATTCAATAACTACATATTGTTCATAGTGAGGGCATGTCAGGGCAACATTTGTTTTTTTTTTAGTTTTTTTTTTAACAAAGAAGATAATCTGGTGTATGGGAAGCACCTGAAGGAATTGATTAAGAGAGGGGTGGCAATGAAGATACTATTTTACAAAGTACCTTCAGAAGATTTATATAAAACAGTGATTAGTGATGACAAGTTTGAGAATCAAACATCTTGAAAACTATTGCTAATTTAGCCTTTGGTTTGCTTGAGAAGTCTTGCAATAGAAAAACGGTCAGTAGGAGTTTTGATAGTCTTAAGGAGGCATTACAGCAGCAGAAAAAATATGATGGGAGGATTTACGCAATGAACGAAGAAGAGTATGAGGAATATTTTAGATGGAGAGAATTAGAAGAAGATCGGACTATGGAAGTTGATGAGAACAACAACCATTTTTTTAGACATGTGAATGGCGGTGCGTGTTTTACAGATTTTGATTATAACGTCGAGGATGGCAAAACCTACTACTGTGAAAATTATTCATTCAACCAAAAGATAGAGAAGAAAAACGAGACCGCCAAATATCATATAGTCAGTGTCAGTGACCAGAGGCAGTTGATGAACGGATTGAGGTATATCAAAGAGCTACTGTTGCAAAATCATAACTTTCATATGTATGATGCATATGAGAAGTTGAAGGAGGCAACCATCAATGTTTACGCTGTAAAGACTGATTCCTTTCACATAGCAAAGAGGGATTTAAAGAAAGCTAAAAAGAGATTGAATTTTCATAATGACATAGGAGGCTGAAGAGTGGAAGATAAGAAAGTCGTTCCTGTTCCCGAAGCCTATGGATGGAAAAACAATGAGATTCCAAAAATACCGATTTACAAAAGCGAAAGGATTGAGGTTCAAGATGAATGGGACACAGAGGCAATTTAGAAAAACAGCAACAAGGAAGAAGAGAGTCATGATTAGGGCAAAATTTGCAGGAAGTGGTAAGAGTTTCATTGGAACACATTTCAACGACCTAAGTTATAGTACACTTTTTGTTGTTCCTCACAATATGCAAAAGCAAGATGTTCCATGCGATGCAGTCACCCAAAATACATTCTTCAGTGTTCCTGTGTGTAAGGGGGAAAGCAGGCTACCAAAGTATGATTACACCGGTTATGATGTAATCTTTCTTGATGGAATCTATAAGTCAAGTCCTTATATCTTGAATAAGATAAGAGTCTTCTGCAATGAAAACCCTTATTTGATTGTAATAGGTGCAGGTGATGTCAAACAACTTCCAAGCATAGAACAACCAAAATGGAGCGGAGTATGTTGACAATTGCATTGACATAATTTTCAAATACAATATCTTTTTGCAGATACGCAAAAAAGAGTAGGAGGTAAGGATGCAGAAGAGGGAAAGGAATAGACCAAAAATTAATGAAATCTATGATGATTTTTGGGAAAACGATTTGGATGATTTTTTACGATATAAGGAAATACACTTAAAAGGATAATACCTTATAATAGTACGGAGAGTAGAAAGTGCACAAAGTGTAAGAAAAATAAAAATGATGACGAGTTCAATGGAATGAATAGAATGTGTATTGAATGCTTGGACAAACAAAAGGAGAGTAACACAGTACATTATAATCAAAAGGAAGTATTCTGCGACATTTGCCAGCAGAATGTGAAACAATGCAGGTTGTCCAAACATCTTAAAACCGACAGGCATATCAACAAGGAAAAACTCAAAAAGGAAGAAGAGAAAGGAAAACACTTTCCTGCATTCATTTGGTTTTATATCTGGTTCCACCGTGGCCTCCTAAAGTCCACCCCGCCGGTGCCTCCCCACAGCTTCCCACATTCATGCGGTTTCAATATGCGTGCAACTGGGCAGGAAGTGCCATGTAGTGTTGTCCTCACAGCTCGAACTGACTTGGACACTCATCCTGGTGAGTTGTTGCTGCTTGCGAGGGGTATGGCCAGTCTGGGAGCCTTGACCGCGCTAGCAGCTAGCATGCAACATGGCAGGAAGCCTTTCCTGTACACGGTCTGCTCCCAAACCATACCCCCTTTGGATAGATTCTCCAGTTTCTGTCCAGCCACATCTTGATCGCAATTCTTTAGACACAGTTCTTGCATTCATCTTCTTGCATTCCAGCCGCGTCTACATGTCCATACGTCCTGTGACCAGATAATAACCAACGAGGCTACATTGATTTCGATGTCGACTCATGTGGCACCCTCAGCTGCGACCATTGCGCCCAGGAGCACCCCCTCGCCGGTACGTTTACACATCTGTCCATGACGGTCTTCGTTGCCTGCTGCCGATGTGGGTTCAATGTCTAGCTTCACCCGTCAACTCTCAGCAACTTATTGCGCTCATCTTGTTCTATCTAACTTTCTCTTCCCCCAATGTGCCTTTCAACTTCCTGCATCCATTTGGTTTCATATGTAGGTTTCCCCCCGTTGGCATCTCCACAACTTCTTGCCTTTATGCTGTTTCAATATCCGAACTTCTCCTGCGCCCCTGTACCTCTCAGCAACTTCCTGCATGCATTTGGTTACAATATCTCGGCTTCCCCTGTCTCTCAACAACTTCTTGCGCTCATCTGGTTTCAATATCTAACTTTCACCCCGGGGCCTCTCATCAAACTTCTTTAACTTCCTGCATTCATTGGGCTTCAATATCTATACTCTCCAGGGGTTGCAGCGCCCATCTCCTTGTGACACATTGGGTTTCACACCTCCTTCCCATTCTGCCCTCTTCTTCTCAATTTCTACTCTTCACACCTCTGTGCCCCACTTGGGAGCATTCACCTGGCTTCATATCTAAACTTCCCCCCCCTTGTGCCTCTCACCAATTTCCTGCATTCATTTGCTTGGTCTCAAGGCTTCACCGCTGGCCTCTTGACAACTTTTTGCATGCATCTCAACTTGGTTTCAATGTCTAAGCTTCCCCCCTTGTCTCTCAACAACTTCTTGCGCTCATCTGGTTTCAATATCTAACTTCCCCCCTGTGCCTCTCATCAAACTTCCTAAACTTCCTGCACTCATTGGGTTTCAATATCTATACTTCCCCCGCAGCCTCCCCATAACTTCTTGCCTTCATGTTGTTTTAATATCTAAGCTTCCTCCCCAGTGCCCCGCAACAACTTCCTGCATTCATCTTGCTTCAATATTCCCGGTGCCCCTGAGCAACTTCCTGCATTCATTTGGTTTTATATCTGGTTCCACCGTGGCCTCCTAAAGTCCCCCCCACCGGTGCCTCTCCACAGCTTCCCGCATTCATGCGGTTTCAATATATCAGCTTCCCCTCGTCTCTCCACAGCTTCTTGCATGCACCGTATTTGGGTTCAATATCTAGACTTCCGCTTGCCTCTTTCTCACCAATTTTCTGCGGTCACGTGGCTTCAATATCTACATGTTCTTCCGTTTCTCTCAACACCTTCTTGCATGCATCTTGTCACAATATCTAAATTCCCCCCACCCTCTTCCGGCATTCATTTTCGGGTCCCAAAAATTTCCCCTGCGCCTCGCAGCATTTTTTTGCATGTATCTTCATGTATCTTCATTTCGTTTCAATGTCTAGGCTTCACCCCTCATCTCTCAACAACTTTTTGCGCTCATCCTGTTTCAATATCGAACTTTCCCTTTCTCCTATGTGCCCGTCAATTTCCTGCGTCCATTTCGCTTCATACATAGACTTCCCCCATTGGCCTCTCCACCATTTCTTACGTTTTTATTGTTTCAATGCTGGAACTTCCCCGGCCGGCATCAACAACTTCTTGCATGCATCTTGTCTCAGTATCTAAATTCCCCCCACCCTGTGCCAGGTCCAAAAAAACGTGTACGGGTTCCAAAAAAGAAGGCGCCAAGGTCCAAAAAACATCCAGCCCAATGTGAGCGCCTACAACAATGGAGTTTCCCCCCCACCCTATGGAGGCAAGGTCCACGAAGCAGGCGCACGGGTCCAAAAAACAGAAACCGAGCTCAAAAACAATTATATAATTTGGCTGTCGAAAAAATTTCCCCTGGGTCCAGCACAAATACATGCAGGTCCAAAAAAAATATCCCCACAGGGTCCAGAAAAAACACAAGCAAGTCCCCCACATTTTTTGTGACCCTAGGTCCAAAAAAAATTCCGGTTAGGTCCAAAAAACATGTACAGGTCCAAAAAAAGGGTGCCCAGGTCCAAAAAACATGCATCCCGAAGAGAAAAACAAAAAGAGATGGAGGAATTCTTAAAAGATGATGAAGCCAGAATTGCAAAATTGAAACAAATCTGGAAAACCATTACACCAAAAAACTTTAAAAGACTTTAACCCCATAATTTTTCATATCATAATATATGAAAAAAAGATACAAACATAGCTTAACATAGGAATGTTAGAGATGGATGATTTAGATTTATCATATTATTTTATGGTATTGTATTATGATAACATATCATGATGACATTTATCATGAAATATTATGATGACATTTTATGATTTGAATTTATGTGATGATGGATGATGATGAACTGATGTGTGGTGATTATGTATGAAATGATGTGGTTTTATTTTGTGTTGATACTGTGATGAAATGATATGAAATGTTGTGAAAATGAACTTTGGTAAATGATGAAATGATGGAGGTGGATGGTATGATCTTAGGTGTGTTTGTGTCTAGCTATATGCATATATATATAATATAATTTCTTTAATAACATACATATATGAAAACATTGGAACTATAACCAAATGTCCCATTCCTTTCACCATGATGATCTGCAGAGACCCACTGAGCGAACCCCTTTAACACAAATGGCTAATGACTTCTTTCTCACAACCCTTTAACACAGATGTTTGCATAACATTCCATTCAATCCATAAGAATTTATTCCCCAGTGCCTACAAGATAAAGGAAGAAACCCTAAATTAGCATAAAACCTCACTTGAAAAACTACCCAGACCTAAGAAAAATTAGGTCTGGGTAATACTGCACTAGCTATTCACCCACTGAGACATTCTGCCACAGTGGCTTGGTGCAGCCACTCAGCCACTCTGCCGCAGCCACTCAGCCACTCAGCCACTCAGCCACTCAGCCACTCCACTCAGACGCTCTGGTAAGAGTGGCTGGTCCAGCCGCTCTTCCAGAGCGGCTGAGTGGCTGAGTTGCTGCTTCGATTTCGCGAGCCGTGTTGCACATCCACTCGTTACTATTACCAGTATTATTACGTATTGTAATATAATACACACACACAGACATATATGTCTGTGTGTATACAGTATATACACCTCACACGGGTTCATAGGGATGAATTTCAACTAGCCAATTGAGCAGCATTGACCCTACACCAATGTGAATACCTCATTATCTACCGTTTTTATTGAACATGGTTACATCAAGTTACATGTGGATATCCCATGATATCACCTTGCCTCCCGAAGTATGCTAGCACGCAGGTCATTCCCCTTCGAAGTTGCTCATCTGCCAAGGTATCGCTTCGCTCTGGTAGCGCCTCAAACAGTTGTTTCACGCTGCAGGGATTTTGCATAAACCCCTGGATGCGAAACCAACTGATCTTGGGCGACCGCGCGATGTCGCGCAAGTTCACCATGTAAAAGAGCAATGGCGCAACGCGCGCCACCAACTCAGCACTCAGCTCCTCCCATTTGAGTTCTTTGGCTTGGAGCATGCTCCAGCATAAATCCGCAAGGAGGATGATCATATTCATACAGGCCAGCAGTATGGTCATCAAGCCCAGCCAGCTGCCCTGTACCTTGTCCAGGGGCACTTGCAAAGCCATCCCCATCACTAGGCTCTTCTCAATGGCCAATCTGCGGGTATAATCGATCACCATATAGCAGCAGCTTGCAAGGAGAGCAGAGAATGAAAAGAGAACCTGATTTTGGAAGCTTCAACATCTTCAACTGATACTGAAGGTTTTTTTTTTGCAACAAATCACCAAACTGGTGGGTTTGGAAACTCTGCCCCAAAAATTGGTGAATATGGCCTGCAATCACACCAAGTGGGGATGGAAATTAAAAATCTTTGAAACCACTAGCCAGGAACTGTTGAGACCAGCAAGCACCTGGAAAAGATCAGAGGATACAGCGGTGTATCTGTCTCAAAGGCCATTGGCACCCTGCTCAACGACTGTTTAAAGACAACGTATTCGAAAACAATGAGCCCTGCCAAGCCCGGACAATGGCTGGCCAGGCTGTATCCAGCATGTTTGAAAAGGCTCTGGCCTTCATAACGTTTCATCTCTGGCCGGGTCAAGTGTGGTGAAACATGTCGACATGGGTCGGAAAGGGCGAAAAAGGATGATCCAGTATAGTGTTCAGCTACACTTTGTGGATGTTGTGCACACAGGTATTCACCAATGGATACCAATGGTCGGTTTCAAATCCTTCACCTGACTGAAGTGTGCATTTCTGTAGTTGCATTGCGTTCTCAAACCGTAGATGCTGAACCTATGCAACACTATGTTGCAGCACCAAGCTGGATAGGACTCCACAGTGCCAAAGAACCGTTGTACAGTTGACGTGTCGGGGGTTTCAACCCATCTCAAGCGTACTGAGACTGCTCCATTTGGGGGTTCATGCATATCTTCATGTATCTTCAATGTTTGAAAGCCTCAACCAGCTGACGGTCACTTGAGAATTCTGGCAAAACTTTGCATGACAAGTAAACTGCAGCAGGTGGGTTGACCGAATGATGTATGGATTTTTCCAGGTGATCATGGTCATTTGAGTCCTGGGAATGTGGATCCATATGGGTAATATGTAAAAACTGCGCCTGTCCCCTTGCGCTGGTTCATGCTGGTTCCCCACAGTGGGTTCTGCTAATGCGGATTATAGCTAGTGCGGCCCTCTGCGTTATCTTGCAAACTCACATCAGCCGATAAGGTTACCTATATGGGGAACATCTGCCAACATTTGCAACTATCGACCAAGAATGAATGGTTTTGGGTGTTTTATACAATCACTTGCCAGCAATTCCGTGCAGTGGTCTTGTCACACTCCAAGTGCTGCTAGGATTACCGTCGACGGTGCCAGCAGCGGTCGCTTGTCGGAGAGAAGCATGGCGACAGCAGGTGTTTGTTATGCTGAGAGGAATGCCCAAGCAAGCACATGCGGAATACCGGCAAATATGGGTTTGCCCACCAATGTATCCTTAAACAATCCAATCGTTGATCATCATTTCGCGTATAAACTTGCCAGGACTTGCCATGAGATGTATAGAGTATAAGTATAGAGGGTACCGGGTAGCCAATTTGTGGATAAAACCATACTGTATGGGGGGAATTGATAGACGGTGGGTTCCTTCTATGTAAGTTCGTGCATCATGCTGGTCCTCCCATGAGAACTACAGGGCCAAACCATGCCAAACCACTTTGAACGGCAGCGCCAAACCACATTTGCCCCTCACATGTGATTAAAACATTTCTATACATTTCTCAGAAGCTTGTGTGGTTTTGTTCGTGGCACGCCCATAGAATGACACTGTCACTACAACAATTGAAAACGACTTCAGATGTTTGCTTTTCCTGCCCACTGGTGAAACCAGCAAATAAAAGCGGGCTTCCAACATCGGAACTACAACATAGGTGGCAAATACCAAATGTGGGCTTCAAACTGCAATCTTCTCAAGCTACTGGCCCTACTTTGGGGCCGTTCTGTTTTTTCAACCGGCCAGCGGCAGTCATTGCAAGTCTCTCTGCCCCAACATGTCATGACAAAATCATGGATTGGTGGTTCAGCCATCCCTTTTTTCTATAGAAAAGGTTGAAAGAAACAAGAAATCTCGCGGCCAAACCATCCTTACGCCCTTACCTTTGATCCACATGGGGTTGTCTCAACACTTGGAACCCACCAAATTCAATCCATTTTTCCATCAGAAACTTCTGATTTATCATCATTTTACCATGTGGTAGTCTAACAGAGTCTCATGTAGCCATGGAACATGGCCATGAAATGGTGGCTCATGGCCCATGTGCGCCTTCGAGGGGTCTATGCGACCACACAAGGCGTCATGCCCCTGCCTGGCCACAGAGCAAATCACTGGGTGGTTTGCAATGCATGGGCCACATGGGTCCAAAAATATTGAATGGTCATCCAAAGTAAACATCTGGTTTTATTGATAAACAACGATAAAAACATGTCCAATCAGTTGTTCAAAACTTGGATTTGCATCTTGAAACTGAGGATTTTCTCTTGCCAAGGTTGGACTACTGAGACTACTGGAGGGTATAACCAGTCAAACCAACATTCTGATTGTGAAATCACATTGTTTTCAATGTTCGATGGTGTTAAACCACAATGTTTTGATGGTAAAATCGGCTCAATATGGCTAAATGAGGTTGCCACAAGCCAGCCACACCCCAACGCGCAGCCCCGGCAGCAGGTGTCAAAAGGCTTGGCGTGTCGCGTTACTCCTGGCCTCATAATGAAAGAACGAAGCAACATGGGTAGCTGTTGGGATTCCAGGATTCATAGTTCACCATCCAAATTTGAGATTTTATCGGGAAATGGGGATGTATATATATAATTATATATATATATATATGTATATACAATTATATACACATATACACTCGGGAGATCAGATGGGGATACCACCAACATTCACCAACACTATCCATTTGATGCCATTTGGATGGTGCGCGATAGGTAACTTGGTCTACAACCAGGTTACCTGAGGATTTATGCGAGAAATATCTACGAATCTGCATCAGTTCCATGCAGCATCAACATGGAATAGCAACATAAACGGGCTGTTTATCAACATCAATGGGATGTGTGCTGACATAAATTAGGGCGGGGCGGGGTAAATCAGGGTCTGGCCGACAAAGATACTACACGATAAATGGTATGTTCACCACTATTCACAGGATGTGTACCGCTGTATATGCACGGGATGTTTACCACTGCACGCGCCCACACACACACAGACCCACTCACTCACTCGCTCGCTCACTCACCCATGCACGCAAGCACGCACGCACGCACCCACCCACCGACTCACTCGCTCCAGCAGCCCAGCCACCCCCCCCCCCCCCCCCACTCACTCACCTCACCTCACCTCACCTCCCTTCCCTTCCCTTCCCTCACCTCACCTCATACTCACCTCATACTCACCTCATACTCACCTCATACTCACCTCATACTCACCTCATACTCACCTCACACACTCACACTCACACTCACACTCTCACTCACACTCACACTCACTCACTCACTCTCACTCACTCTCACTCACTCTCACTCACTCACTCACTCTCTCTCTCTCACTCTCTCTCTCTCTCACTCGCTCGCTCGCTCGCTCGCTCGCTCACTCACTCACTCACATACATGTCTATTACCATTGAACATGGGAATGCTTGGCTATGTCAATTTTACAGGGTGTACCGAGATCAATGGGCTGTCTGATGTCTATTACCATTGAACATGGGAATGCTTGGCTATGTCAATTTTACAGGGTGTACCGAGATCAATGGGCTGTCTACAACATTGACGGGATGTCGAACTTCTCAATTGGCGGGGCGTTTACCTTCAAAATCAAAGCCGAATGTTACACAAAGAAAGGAACAGAAATGGGATGGTCGGGATGGCAAGGCTCCCAGGCTCCCAGCTTCCCAAAAAAAGAGTTACACAACTGACATGAATGGCTTGCTTGGTGGTTAGTGGCTTCACACAATGGACCCCAAGGGTTGCTGTGTGACCATCTTGATCCACCCTGAGCTGCAAATCAAGCCATTCTTGGCCTGTCGCTCTGCTCGGGGTGAATCAAGCCCGTGTTATAAAACGCACGCCATCCTATAAGAAAGTTTGCTGCAACATGATATGAATGAAGGATAGGTGGTGTAAAGCTTCAACTAGATGTAAACTTATCAAGACTTGGGAACTCATTGCATCTCAGCATGATCCAACCCTTGGGCCTCACATCAGCCGACTAAGACCCTGGCGCCACATCACGCCCGCAACCAAGCCTGCCTTAGATGGGCCCCCAAAATTCAACATCCAATGACCAGAAGTTGGTCATTTGCAGCATCAAACTAACCATACTAGTTTAGTTGGACCACGGCCCTTAGACGGCCGTTGCGTTTTGTTGGGTTGGGGTGGGGTGGGGCATGTACTCACGCTCATGTGAACTTGCACATGAAGTAGATGCTACACTTTGGCTGTCGATTGCGGCATGTATTAAAACGTTCATGTGAACTTGCGCATGAAGTAGATGCTACGCTGTGGCTGCCGCTTGGGGCATGTATTCACGTTCATGTGAACGCGCATATGAAGTAGATGCAACGCTGTGGCTGTCGATTGGGGCATGTATTAAAACGTTCATGTGAACTTGCGCATGAAGTAGATGCTACGCTGTGGCTGCCGCTTGGGGCATGTATTCACGTTCATGTGAACGTGCATATGAAGTAGATGCAACGCTGTGGCTGTCGGTTGGGGCATGTATTCACGTTCATGTGAACTTGCACACGAAGTAAACGCTACGCTGTAGCTGTCGGTTGGGGCATGTACTCGCATTTATGTAAACTTGCACATGAAGTAGATACTACGCTGTGGCTGTTGGTTGGGGAATGTACTCACGTTCATGTGAACTAGATCATTTGTCCTGATGGCAACGGAGCTTGGAAAGCAGCAGCGCAAAGCCGTGGCATCCCTGTGCAAGAAGTGTGGTTCATCAAGCGAAGAATTTCACGTCAGAAGGTCCCAAGTTGTTTCCAGGCGTCTCCAACATTGGCGGTACCCAGACGTTGGACCGGTCCTGGAAGTCTTTGAAAGATTTCTTGCCAGCTCACATGGTTTTGAAGTGCAAAGAGCGTGGGCATTCCACTTTGCACTTTGCACCCATCCGTGCGACAATATGAGTTCATGTGGTGCTGGCGATCAACCTTGAAGAATCCAGGTCCTAAAAGGTTCTTGGAAGAAGTTGAAGCGCTGCTGTGAACACAAGATGGCTGAACAAATGTGAAAACCAAGCAGTTGCGGGCTGTGAGGCTGTGAAGAATCCGCAAAAATGCAGGTTTCGTGTAGGCGAAATAGTTCTTTTCATTCTGCTGCCTGTAAATAAGGCGTTGACAAGCTTTACACAAAAATAACGCAAAATCCTACTGGCACGAGCACATCCAATATCATCGGCAACTTCCCATGAATCCAAAAAACGCACGGCCATCTAAAAGCCGTGCTCCTAGTTTCATCATGTTTCATCTAGTTTCAGCATCAAATCACTATATATCATAATTAGAGCATCCAATTTCGTGGTGCCTACAATAATTCTGAGCCATGACAGCTGGGTCAAAGGATGATTTCAGGCCCTGTGGGACATAAGGCGTGATTGGAAAGATTCTGCTGAGGCTGCAAAGATTTTGATATTGAACATGTATGCTGCACAGTAGGTACTGTACTGGGAGGAACGATGGGGAATCCAAGTGTAATGTTGTGATTTCCAATGCCTGATGCCCAATCTCATCAGCAACACAGCTGTTCCATTGATTTGGTGAATCCAAAAAGAAGAAACCATCTCAGCAAGTGCCGCCCTCAGTCACTAAGTTCGTGGCACTTGGGAATCACGCCCCCATGACCTCGATCACCAGGACAACTAGGAGTTGGGGATCATCATATTGAAATTATTGGGGAAAGGATGGGAAGTAGATGGAAGTAGCCAAAAACTATCAAATCCATCAAGCACCTTTGAAACCACTTGGTTATATAATCCAGGTTTGAGCCAACCTCACAGCCATCAGAGCCAACCTCACAGCCATCAGCTTTCCATGGCCACGAAGCTGAGTCAAGGACATAGTGGCCTGGCGGGTCCTGGGAAGCCAGTACCAGTCCAACAAATACGAGGCAAACTTGGAAACCAGCAAAAAAGAAAGCAAACTATACAGAAAGTAAATCAAACACATCAACAAAATGAACATATTTTAAGATGATGCAACTAAATTGAGAAATCGATGGGTAAGTAAGTACGTATCTGTCTTAAACAACAAACAAAGAACAACATGAAACAACAATATTTATATATATATAGATCATAATATCTCTAACTAACTCATCAGGCTTGAATGCACGCTGGGGCGCGCAAGTAGTCCTGGCTTGCTTTAGACTGCAAACTTCCGTGGAAGGAATATTTGAAACACCAGAGATGCTGACATGCCAGGTACAATAAATCTCGAGCCTGCTCCTGAACCTCTCGCCTTACCCTTTCCTTTGCCTCCAGCCTCAGGCTGCGGCTTGATGAGGTGAGCAAGCATGCAGGTTCCACCCATCGGAGAAACCGCAAAACGATCTATGCAGCAATCCAACGTGCACCCTACACACCAAAGGCAATCTTGAATCAACCAACTGGGCACTTGGCTACATGCGACGGCCGCCGGGGAGCAGCTACTTTGGCCACTTCCGCCTCAGCAGCTTTTCTGGCCGCTTCTTCCTCAGCGGCTTTTCTGGCCGCTTCTTCTTCAGCGGCTTTTCTGGCCGCTTCTTCCTCAGCAGCTTTTCTGGCCGCTTCCTCCTCAGCGGCTTTTCTGACCGCTTCTTCCTCAGCGGCTTTTCTGGCCGCTTCGTCCTCAGCGGCTTTTCTGGCCGCTTCTTCCTCAGCGGCTTTTCTGGCCGCTTCTTCCTCAGCGGCTTTTCTGGCCGCTTCTTCCTCAGCGGCTTTTCTGGCCGCTTCGTCCTCAGCGGCTTTTCTGGCCGCTTCTTCCTCAGCGGCTTTTCTGGCCGCTTCGTCCTCAGCGGCTTTTCTGGCCGCTTCTTCCTCAGCGGCTTTTCTGGCCGCTTCTTCCTCAGCGGCTTTTCTGGCCGCTTCTTCCTCAGCGGCTTTTCTGGCCGCTTCGTCATCAGCGGCTTTTCTGGCCGCTTCCTCCTCTTTCGGAGATGAGAAGGGTGCATCTGAACGGCCTTCCAGCGATAACATTATTTAGATTACACCAGCAAGAGGCCCCAAACGGTGCGGGGCGTGGGACGTCAATGTAGCAGAGTAGCTATGGAGCAGTCTCAGTAACAGATCAAGTTAGAAATTGTCGCAACTGCAGGGGCAGTACCTTGTTTTGGCACAAGAAGCAACGCCATGTCTACTCATCAGGGTCTCGTACCAGAATCTCATACCAGGACAGCGAAGAGGTGTTCAAAAGATCGTTAAATAAGGAGCTTCTATATGTAGAGTCTATAGAGGATCCCGCAAAGTCTTCAGACAAGAACTTCCTATGAGCATGCCAGAAGAACTTTCAGATAAGCACCGGCGCAGAGCATCTTCCAGATCTTAAATGCAAGGACCTCTTGAGGAGGGTTTCAGCAAGATCTCCACAAGATCTTCTCACAAGGACCTGTACAAGATCATGCAGGGACCCATTAGAGAGGACTTGCCCGGGATCTCCACAAGATCTTCTGATTATGACCAGTGCAAGATCATGCAAGGACCTCTTAAACTTAGAGGATGCCGGCAGGATCTTCACAAGATCTTCTCATAAGGGCCTGTACAAGATCATGCAAGGACGTCTGGCAGGATGTCAGCAGGATCTTCACAACATCTTCTCACAAGGACATCTGCGACCTTGGTCAAGATCTTCATGCAGGCCAGGCCTCTAAAACTGCACCATGAAACTCCTACAAGATCTTCATAGAAGGATTTTCCAGATAACTCAAAAGAGCCCTTTGCCAGGATCATAGAGAATCAACGAAAATCAGCACTGCGCCACAACGAGAGCAAATCGACACGCACAAAGTGCCGAGAGGGTTGCGCAAGCGAGCGCCGCAACGAGAGCGACCTGACACACACACACACAGTCATGAGAGGGTTGCGGGTTTCAACCACTTTTTTGTCGAGGTCTGCAAAGTACAGCGCCTGCATGGGAACTTTTATGCGAAAATTTGCAGCGATAATGCCGTGGCACAGATGGACCAGCCTTCCGGCCTTTAACACCTACCGTAAGAACCCCTCAGTGTGGACGCACTGTTTGGGGAAAAATCTGTGACTTTGACAAAGAAGAGCACCAGCATCGCCGTTCAGCAGGCACCTACATCTGCTGCACGTGCATCTGCGAGGGCCTCCGGAAGGCCGGGAGGCAAAGCACCACTCTACTTGGATGGTCTGCTTGGTGTTGGCCTTTGACCTTTGATGATGTTGACCTGCAAAACATGGAATGCTGCTCATCTTTGACTCCAAATGCAGCCAACATTTGCATATCTGGATATCAAGCAAGGGGCCCCTTCACAAATCTTCTATACATACACTAGCCAACCCGGCCCACTTCTCCAGTAGAATTGGCTAGTGGAGTTTCAGGTGCAACAAATAGGCTCAAAGATTTCTCCCGTTTCAGTATTTGCTCATTTCACAGAAAGGTCTAATCTTCAACTACTCTTCGCCAACCCCCCCTGAGAATCAATTGGACATTTTGACAGGATGTTCTCCGGTCCCTTCAATCTCCCAAATGCTATAGACTGTAACCATGATAGCTCCCTTATCACCCCAAGAACACCCAACCATATCGGTTAAAAAAACATTAGAAAACACATCTGTTCTACGTGTTCTAACCTCTGCGACTTCCCAGCATCCTTCCAGCATTTGCCTGCCGTTCCTCCTCTTGAGCAGCTCGCAAGGCCGCTCCTGGTGATTCTGTAATATTCTCACAGAGACATAGCCAGGGCTCCAGGGTTTTGACCCATAAATTCCAGAACAACTTCCAGGATCCGCAGGTCATTCAGAAATCACATCACGCACAGCCGCACCTAAACCCAAGTCTTTCAGAACCTGTTCCACCGACTCACATGCGTTGCGACCTCCATGCCATGCAGTTCGTACCCGGGGCAAGAGGATGCAGCTATGGACAACGGCCCATTTGTAGATGATTTACCGATTTCCTACAGGCTATGTTAGTTTACTGGATCGTAAATGCCTGGGCCCGCCGAATAACATGTTACTCTTCCAGAAGCCCCATGCTCCATTGCCCATTCCGCCCAGCAGAATCTAAACATGATGAAGATCAAACTCATCAAACAACCAACTTGCACACCTGATGGTTTCCACATTACCGGAAAAACATGTTTTTCAAAAACCTACAGAAGTCAGTTGGGAAGTTGGAATCTTCCCATTTCTGAACCGACCAGATATAGCTGGCAGCAGGCTGAAACGACCAATCCTCCGGATCCTCAGGATCCCGGACATCCCTGTAACCGTGGATCCCCAGCCCGTTCGGCCGAAAGCCTGCCGTGAAGCGTTGCACACCGTTGCACCGTTTGAAGGATGGGTGCAATGGGAAGACTTTCATTTCAGGCTTCAGACATTTAATATATTTTAATTGATATCATTATAACATATTATAATGCCTTCCTACTAAACACCTCCACTCGCCCCCCCCCAAAAAAATAGTGAATTGTCACACACTGTTTTGAAGGCCCCGAACGAGAACATTCAACACAGGGGATGGGATTCTTGATGTTTGGCTGGTTCGATTCCAAGTTTAGGTGTCTACTCCTGGAGCCTGCCGTGAGCGTTTCCCAAAAGTGGTCCGCGACTTTGCATCCACACAGAACTCATTTTGCTTCTCTGGACGTGGGTCAAACCCACCAGATTCCTCTAGGATTCCCAGCAAAAATTAGCAAAAATTCCAAGCAACAAATCAACATCACAACCATAGAAACCATTAGAAACCCACAGCGCCTGGCAGCATCCAGGATGGCACAAATCTTGGCGGTGCGGTGGCAGCTACCACCTGTGGATGGGCGCTCTTTTGGCATATTTCCATGTAATATTAGATGAAGGAACTCAGGCACTCAAACATGAGGCCGTTTGTTAATCATATAGTCAGACACACACACATATAATATATATATATATATAAATTATGGAGATATTTACATAGTTATATATTGTTATGTATGCATATATATATACACACTATACACTATATATAATAGTTATATTTCATATACCATTAAGACCTCCATATATTTTGCAGGGGACTTTCCACTGCCATGTTTGATTACCAGAGGGTAATTGTTTGCTTAGCAAATTTGAAATCATCAGGGGCCAGGATGGTTCCAAGCCTGTTTTCCAGGCAGGGGATGAGAAAGTCACGACCAAAGAATGTGATCAACTCAAATCTCCTGCATTAAACAGTGTTGAACAAAAATGATTCTTCAGAAGCTTGCCATTGAACACCATTGCAAGGTGTGTCTGAAAAGCGAATTACCAAGGTCGAGGCCAAAGATTTCCTTGAGGCCTGGGACAGGCACCAATGGGCTGGATACCCTCTGGAAGTCAGACATGGCTTGCTGGAAAATCCTCCATGTATAGATGTGTTCCCAGCTAGAAACCTCCATTTGTAGGTGATTTTCACTTGCCACGTTTGATTACCGGAGGGCAATCATGAAATAGGGGTAAATGCAACTTTTCTTTATCTCTTTGGGGTTCCTGCAAGCCATCCATTTCTTGGGTGTTGATAATTCGGACCATACCCATGTCGTCTTATTCCATGCATTCCACCTCCGGGATTTTCATCAGTTTTTCATAGTTCACCAGCTTTACCGATGTTTCAATCCTTGATGGAGCACATCCACCATCAGTGTAGGAACTACAGAAAAGCATGTGTGGCTGGAATTTCCGTTTGACTCAGGAAGCTGGGCTCAAGTATGTTCAAGTTCTTGTTTTTGGTCCACAACGAGGGGACCATGCATGGTCCCAAGAATCAGATTTTGGGAAGAACATTTATGATGTCGGATACTTAATCCAGCAAAATGGGAACATGAATTTCATGTAATGAATGGCATTGCTTAATTCTTTTCACGTGGGATAGTCAACATATTCGACCAATACATGAAGTATTGGTTGACCACGGCCACATTCAAGGAATTAGCCCCCATCCAAGATACATACATACATATATACATATATATGTATATATATATGTATATATGGGACATGGGAGGTTTCTTAAACATCTTAAACATCCCGGCGGGTGGGAAACTGAACCCACGTTCTCTCTGTTCTTGGCGTTCATATGATAGACATTGGATGCCAAACGCATAGTTTTGGCACACATTTCAGTTGATGACATTCGCCGTGCCATTGTCTTTTGTTTTTTTTTTTCTTGCGTTTTGCAATGTTTTCTGCATTCATGAGCTAGCAAAATCAGCGTCATTTTTTTGTATTTTTCTTCAATTTCTCAGGTTTTAGCACACTTCTGCGCGCCATTTTTTCTATCGCCAAGGATGCAGAGCACTTGTCATCCAGACTGGACAGTCTCATTCAAGACTTTGGCAGTCTTTTGAAACAAGCAGGCGCCAGTGTTCTCCCATCTCCATTGCCAGGACCTGCAATGCTTGATCAAAGCCGGGTTATAAGTGTGGCCTTTCTTCAAGGCCAGAGACTTGGGAACAGCCTGCTTCAACAAACGCCAGGCGTTATCGATGGTGCTCGTGTGCGCACTGAGTGCACCACTTCGCCTTCTTTTCCGAAGCACAAACTGATTCTGCGAGTGGTTACAACGGATCAGGAACGTCTTACAAGTTACTGGACGAAGATGTTACAACGTAACAGGAACGTCTTACAAGTTACTGGACGAAGATGTTACAACGGATCAGGAACCTCTTACAAGTTACTGGACGAAGATGTTACAACGTAACAGGAACGTCTTACAAGTTACTGGACGAAGATGTTACAACGGATCAGGAACCTCTTACAAGTTACTGGACGAAGATGTTACAACGTAACAGGAACGTCTTACAAGTTACTGGACGAAGATGTTACAACGGATCAGGAACCTCTTACAAGTTACTGGACGAAGATGTTACAACGTATCCGGAACGTCTTACAAGTTACTGGACAAAGATGTTACAACGTAACAGGAACGTCTTACAAGTTACTGGACGAAGATGTTACAACGGATCAGGAGGCCACAGGACGCTATTACACCCCCCCCAAAACACACCCCCAAAAAAACACACCCCAAAACACCCCCCCCAAAACCTCCTCTTGAAACCATGATAAAATACTGGTTCGGTTTTCCACCCGTAAACATTTTAAAATTGACACCCACAACGTTCCAAACCCCCATGCGTTACAAGATGATAATGGTCCAATGTTCGATGATGTTTTGATGTTTTGGGGATGTCCCGAATTTTCAGACATTTTCAAACACAAAAGAACCCCCGGATACCGAGTATAGGTAAGCAATGCCCTCTCAGGACCAAGCTCCATGAATTTCGCAGCATTTTCTGCCGAGTGTCCTTCTCGCGTGCCGGAAATCAAGGCAGTCGTCAGAACGTCACGCACCTTCTGAGAAGTGGCGAAATCCTTAAAAATGGTGGTTGCAACTGGTGTAAGGTGACTTAAACAACAATAAATGACGGCTTAACCAACAATTTGATGGGGATACAATGTAGATATAACCAACAGTATGAATCAATATGCATGGATTTGTCTGACAATGGGGTATACCCTAAGTGGACCTAAATGGCAATTCTGATGGGAATGATGACAATGATCCATTGGAATTGGGGATACCCTGTTTTCAGACAGACCCATATGACCCGTATGTTTGACAGTGGCTTGATAATTTGATAAGCATTGACCAACCATGGATTAAAATCAGGTTAGTGGCTGGTGCTTTAGAATTCACTTTGATATCTTTGATCTAGATGGGCTTTCGAGCCAGTCATAAAACAATTAAAATCAATATCATCAATTAAACATCATCTGGTTGGTGGTACCTACCCCTCTGAAAAATCATGGAGTTCGTCAGTTGGGATGATTATTCCATTCCCAATATGATGGGAAAGTCATTCAAAATTCCATGGTTCCAGTCACCACCAACCACTCAGCCCAGGGAACATGACCGACTCCGCTCCGCGTCCGCCTGTTTTGACCAACGATCTGCAGATCCGGAAAGTGAGAAAATGGGCAATCCCCAAAGATCCCTACCCTCTGGTAAACGTTACATAACTATGGAAAATCACAATTTTTAATGGGAAAATCAACTATAAATGGCAATTTCCAATAGCTTTTTGTATGTTTACCAGAGGATCCAGAGGGTAAACTCGATTCCACAGGTCGGTAAACTCCGGAGCCTGCCCGATAAAAGCGGCTGGTCCTGCGGCAGCGTCCAGCAAACGCAGAGAGTTGACACCGTAGTGAACACTGCTTGGCAAGTCACCGAGGGGTAGCAAACTATCTTCCCCACAAATGCAACACTGGAAGCAAAACATCCGGCATTTTGACAGATATATATTTGAAGCTAAATTGCGGATATCAATCTGAGTTTCAGAGGGTAAACCCCTTAATTCTTGTGTGCCTTGAAAAAATCAACCAAAACCATTCTTACCGCCAGTGCACCATTGCCCTGAAAAAACACAACAACTTTTGACCATGAGTTTTGATCGAAAACAGGTTACGTACCACCCCTTTTGATGCTTCTAAGTATCATATACCATCATCATGTTTCCATATTTTCCGAGGAAAATAGTAAAATATGCTAATCTTGCCATATATTTTGCATGTTTTCGCCATATATTTTGCCATCCAATGCGGGTAAAATGCCCCACCCACGCAGCCGCCTCACAGCCGTGACAGCGGCAGCACGTCCGCGTGCGCCATGGGGACCCAGGGTTCCAGCCATCGCAGGGTGGGGTCCTCCCGAAGCAGCTGACGCTTCCAGGCCTGGGATCCCGGGGATGCAGGGACCATCCAATGGTTGAATATGGGGGATGGGATTATATGGTTGATGAATGTGGATGAAGATCTATCTATCTATCTATCTATCTATCTATCTATCTATCTATGTATGTATGTGTGTCGGGTTGTATCATGTTATATCTGGCTGTATTGTAAGGTCTTATAGCTGGCTGTATGATATCTGGTTGTATCTGGTTAATCTTGCTACATCGGCATCCCGGAGGTTCAGCATTGGGCTGAAGGCGAGCAGCTGGCCCATCCAAAATCATCCAAATGGCCCAGCAACAAAGGCAATAGCGCATGCCAATAGTTAAGATATGTTAAAATCTAACATAATGAACTATTTACATGTATATATACCTCTATATGCCAAAGTCATGGATGTTTATATATACGTATATAATACATGTGTGTGTGTCTTACCATGACTGTGCTGGTTAATCTACCAAAATAGTTGATGAGTTCCCCCAAAAATAGTTGATATCGATCTGCCCATAGATTTGTAACATTTGTCGCTCAAATGGAAAAACATTGAATGTATGAGGTCTAGTTGAATCACATCCGGATGAATTTTGATGAAACGCATGCACACACTGGCGCGCACACACATACATAAATACACACATACATACATTACCATACCATACCATACCATAGCATAGCATTGCATGGCATGGCATTGCATTACACACATTAGATTACATTACATTACGTTACGTTACATTACAGTTACATTACATCTACATTACATTGACATGACATTTACATGACATTTACATGACATTTACATTACATTTACATTACATTTACATTACATTTACATTACATTTACATTACATTTACAATACATTTACAATACATTTACATTACATTTACATTACATTTACATTACATTTACATTACATTTACATGACATTTACATGACATTTACATGACATTTACATGACATTTACATTACATTTGCATTACATTTGCATTACAGTTACATTACAGTTACATTACATATATTATTATCAATTATATAATGATACAACATCCTAACATTCAAACTCGAACCTGAATCTGGTTTTCCCCAGGGGTTCCATCTAAAGTAAAGACATCCAAAGATCGAAGGATAAATGAAAACAACTTCAAACAGTTTCCAAGGCACCATATGCATCTACAGCATTCTACAACTATATCAGCAATCATCTAGCTATCGGACGCCCTTGTGGATGAACACTCACTCGCTGCTGTCGTGTTTCATCCAGGTGCGTTCTTGCGTATTTTGGCTTGTCCTTGTCGAAAACTTCCCTCAATGTTGCGAGCGGAAGTGAGCGGAAGGACGCGGAGACGAACTCAAACCAGCAAACCAAGTTTGCACATGTTTTCTCAAACAACCCCTCACCATCCCTAGCATAACCAGAATGATTTCAACATTCACAGCATGTTTTGATTTTGAATACAAACCGTTGAAAGAATTAAGGCCTCGGCCTCACCTCTACAGTGGGCACCATCCTCCGTCCAAGATTCTTTGTGAGCTTGCACACCTCTTCGTCCACCAGAACCAGTGGAAGATTCGTCTGCATTGCCAACACTTGAATTCGTGCTGCCTGCTCCAAGAAGTACAAATCATCCTTGGCACTCTTCGAGCTGTGAATGAAAACCGGCAAACCATTATCTTTCCGTAAAACGAAACCCAGGAAGGATCGGATTGATCTTAATATGGCGAAAACAATTATAAATAAATCATCCCCAATCTTAAAGCTTAATTACGATAATTTCAAACGGTTGGTAAAAAACATCCCCAAATGAGCTATGAAAAATACCCCTCTCCCATCTCATTATACCGGCTGGTTAATAACCAATCAACCATCATGTATCAAATACTGTCATATCTTGTATAGTCAAAACCTCATAAAGATATCATAAGCCTCCCTATAGTTGAAGGTGAAGTCCCACGAAAATCCCATCAACAATGGATAACAATGGCATTTCTAACGGCTCGGCAATCCATGGTCCAAGAGTCAAAAGCCTCTGCCACCGTCGAGCCGCAAACGACTACACCATGGTGCCGTTGAAGCCCCACACTTTTCCTGAGCTTTCCAGCCCAACAACTGCAACACATATATAACATTATATAAAACAGTATCAAAACGAAGCAGATTCTGTCTGAAATTGTGAGCTAATGGCAACATTTATTACTACAATTATCTACCAATGTATACAGTGTATACATATGTTTATACAAATATATGTATGTATGTATGTATGTAGATGTATGTAGATGTATGTAGATGTATTGTTGAAATGTAATGTCCAAACATATAAATGCATCATATGCACCCCCAATTGAGTTGCACCACGCCGTCTGTTCTGTCATTGTATCAAGCATGATGAAGCCATATTGCTTTGGTCAGGTCAAATCACACTATTTTGCCTCACTTCAGATCATCTTGGATCCTGTCCTAATATATCGTACAGGCAATGATGCAGGGTATAACGCCACCACTCTGTTTCAAAGTCATCAAAATTAAGAGAAAACCTGAGAAAACTGAGAAAACACAAACAACTCATCTTCAAACCAATTCCTTGAGGGGCATCTTTTCTTCCTGCAATTGTTGGTTCTGTGCTGGGACCTCCGAGATCTTTGTGCTACTTCTTTGAGGCACTCGAGCCCCTGTTGAAAGCAATGCCATTCGAAACCGCATTGGATCTGGTGCTGAAAGGACTGCAATTATGGCTATGGGTCAAAACCCTGACACCTTTCTGTTCACACCAAAATAGGTATTGTTCATGTATGTTCATGCCTGCAAAATATGGTATTTCATAGGTAACTTGATCCATCTTATTCCATCCATAGTTTCTGATGGAATAGTCGAACTCATCGAAGGTCTTCAAAGTTCCCGGGCCAAGTCGAAGAGCCTATCCCCATGGCCCCATGATCATATCCCTAGCCACATCTCCAAATGTCTTGTTGGTTACCACTTGCTAGAAAAAAGGCATATATATATATATATATGTAAGGTTTGGCTGCAGCAAGGGACCCCCGGTTCCGTTCACAGCCTTCACCTTAGCGGCTGATCGCCATAAGCCGCGGGCGCTGCCTGGAGCGCCTACAACACTTGTGCTCTATAGGTCCTGGGCAGGCCTATATCACCTTGGCTTCTCATCTTCCACAACCTCGATTTTGGTCATCTTGGTCCTTGTGTACTTCCACATCGAACCGTTGGATCTTGCACCTTTCGAGTCCCAGCTCGATAAACCTGGGTTAGTGGCTGCTGTTAAATCAGCCCACTATTTTTGGGTGGATATCGCTCCTCACGAGTCTGACTTTGTCCTCGTGATTGACATCTCCCTGGTGCTCATCCCTTTTGATGCCATTGATCTTGTTTGTATTCATTGCCTTCATCTACTTCTTTGGTGGGAATTATTACGCCAACGCAGAGAAGGAGTGCACGTCGTCGCAGAGCTGCGGCCCGACTCCATTGGCATTTGCATCGTCTTGGATTGAGGATACTGACCATCGCGCAGCTGACCTCCTTGAGAAGTACGCTGGCATCACATCACAGCAAAGACCCGAGACTTCTTCGACGTATTACCGCCGAAATGGCGAAGCAACATCAGGAGAACTCTGGCTGGATGTGCGGCACATGCAGAAAGCTCAGGAACAAGAACGCATGGTTTTGCGATCTTTGCGGTGCAGCGTGGGAAGACTGCATTATATACCCGCAGAAGAAATCGCAACAATCAAGATCGAGTTCGAGAAAGATGTCGTATTGGACAGCCCCTCACAACTCTCCATGGGGAGATCAACATGGGGACAAGAGTCCGAGGCAACAGCCCAAAAAGAATCGTGGCAGAGGAAAAGGCAAAGCCAAAGGACACAGCGGCCCATCGCAACAGGCGCTGGCGCCCCCTCCGCCACCACCAATTGCTGGTCCAGAAGGGCTTCAACCTCCATGGATGACTATGCCATTACCGCCTGGTGCAGCAACATCCTCAGCATCCACGGCATTATCGCCAGCGGAGCAAAAACTGAGGGAAGTATCCACGCTGCTGAAGAAGGCCAATCCAGAGTCCTTGACTCCCGAACTGCAACAATTTGTAGCAGACGAGACCAAGGCTGCGACCAAGAAGGACGCCAAAACGCTCTACACAGCAGTGGGTGCACTGACAAAGGCAAGGGAAGAACTGGACACAGCCCTCCTTGCCAGGAGCAACCTCATGTCACAGTGGAGATCCTTCCTGACTATGCCGCTGGAAAGATTCAGGCAGTACACCGATCACTTCCAGAGTCAGGAAAATGCACACCAGGAGAATATCAAGACCGCCAAAGACAAGCTCCAGAAGGCCAAAGAAGATTTCAGCTCGAAAGAAGAGGCAGCTACAGTGATCTCCGACGAAGAGGGCGACGCCAAGGACACCTCGACGAAGGAGTCAGCCGACAAGATCCTAGAAGGACTTGCACATATGACAGAGAGCCTTCAAAAGCTGTCCGAGCAGGCAGCACAGGAGCAAGCGGAAGAGGAAAGGAAGGCCAAAAGGCCGCGCAAAAAGGAAGAAGAACCAAAAGATGTTGTGATGCCGCCAGGAAATTCACCATCACTACAGCCTTTTGGTGTGCCCGGTCACTGATGACTCTTGAGTACTTTGACCGCTGGGCGCCATGGCCAGACTCCACAATTGCTGCGGATGTTGCAGCCTTGCAATGGTCACACTCCATCCTACAGGAGCCCATCTACAAGTCGCCCTGGCAGGCTAGTGAGGATGCCTTGCAATTGGCCTTTGAAATGCAACCAGACAGCCTTGTCGCACAATGTGAGAAACGAGAATGGGGCTTCCTTGTCTCTCACAAGAAATCTAGGAAGGGTCTCACAGTTTCCTTTGACCCGTATGCGCAAATCCATTTTGGGCCAGAGTCCAGTCCCACATGGACATCAAGCAGAGTTCCCACTGCTGGTAATTCACATGGAGAACAGTCGCCGAAGAGCTGCAACTTCTCCCAATCCTTTTGCAACAATTTTGATGACCACACAGCCGAACAGCCAATTTTGACACTGTCATATAGTGCACCACGCATGCACAGGCCTGACGTGACAGAGAACCCGAATTTTCCAGATCCGCCCAGTACATCAGAGGAATCAGATGGACACCGAAGACCTGGCAGAGTACCCATTAGGCACCTGCCAGCCTGGGTCGAATCTCTGTGGAACATTCTCCAAGATGAAGGAGCAACCGAACTCCTGGAGGAGGGACCAGTCATCTACTTGAGCACGTATTACCTCAGCCATCGCGATTGTGTACGGCAAGCTGTTGATCGCCCAATCCGCTTGACCCGTCACTATGAAGAATGGATAGAGGAATTCAAACAAGTATGGGGAGACATGTTCGACAGAGAAGCTGACTTCAACGTCTACCTCGTCCAGCCAGAGCCTCCCATCTCGATCACGCGGGGGATTGTCGGTATTGTCCTCATTGTCCAACATGCGCAACCAGAAGGTGCAGCTATTCTCACAACGGCATTATTTGATGAGTTGCCAACGCCGCGCACCCTGGAGATCGCACACATTGTTGACGTCTGGACGGACTATTCAACTGTCCTCCGCCGTGCTGAAGCTTTTGAGGCATGTCGGGAAGCAGAACGGCAGAATCTTCGACCCTGCGTGCTTCGTGCTGGAGCACATGTTTTCCCGAGAGAACGACCCATCAGGATGCATGATGGCTTAGGACTGGTTGTCAATGTCCCCATGCTCATCAATGAGGAAGAATGGAATGTCTATATTCGACCTCGAATGGAACAATGGCAGGACATTGCTGAAGTGTTGCAACCGGAGCATGCAATTGAGCCTGACCATACTGCCATGATGGCCCGTCGGCCAAGAGCACGCACTCCATTGTCATCCAGCTCTTCAACATCTACTTCGGACTCCATGCAGACATCTTCAAGCAGAGAGCCTTCTAGTGGCATGAGAACCTGGACAAGAACTGTCGTCTACACGATCGATGGCAACGCAGTATCATGCCTTCTGCCTGACGAACATCATCAAGAATTTCAACGACGAATTGCGATCGCACTTGGCCATGAAGAGATCGCTGAGATTTACAACGTCTTGGATCGTCCTGATGATCTCGTTGCAGTTGAACTACAATGTCTTCTGGCGCTTCGCAGCGGAGAACGAAGACCGATATCCTTCTTAAGGCTCACGCTCCTTGACCTTGAGATCATTGAAGCAAACGAAATTCTGCCTGGAATCTTCCGAAGACTGGCAAAGTGGCTCCCGCACACAACAACCATCACTTCGTTATTCCGCATCCTGAACATCGAAACTATCTTTCGCCAACATGAAACCAAAACTTCTGTTTGGCTCAACAATGTTGTCATCGATCCCAAGCGTGAAGATCCAATTGTCATTGAGGACGGGAACTATGTAAAAATTTACATTGGTGATGATGATCAACGATTTCAGTGTTCAGAACAACCAGATGAGATGATGCTCTTACAGCAGTCAGCGGCAATCACTGCCAAAGTTGGTGACAAACAAGTCACGCAACGCACAAGACTTGATTGCTGTGACAGAGAAATTGGCACACGTCCTCGAGCTCCCAGAGTCCCAGTCCAAGCAGAAGAAACTGAACCGGATCTACGTCATCTGCATGACATCTGGAACAGGCCGCATCTCCAAACTCAAGGACCTGACCGAGAGCCCATCATGTACTTTGATACGTGGTTTTTGAGCGCGCTTGACTTCCCAAGATGCTCAACTCCGAGATCTGTTGCTCTTCCTGCTCATGTCCAACTTTGGGACAATGCGCTCAGACAAGTGTGGAGGGACAGACAGCACCCGCACTGGCCGATCCGTATGCAGCTCATATTCCCCACGCCTGTTGGAGCACCAAATGGAGGGCACCTTTTGATTCTACAGCATGAGCACCCAATGGAAGCAGGCATCCTGCTCACGGTCTCTGGAGGGCCAGCGCAGGACCGTTTTGCACAACTCGTACCCAGCATGCTACCCTTTGACAGACTGCTTTGGTTTGCAGATCAGGAAGTTCGTTGTGTGCAAAGAGAATGGGTTTGCCATGCAACCCACAACCATCAGAGACTTTCCACGAACAACCCGTGGAGAGCAGAGAATGGACAACATATCGAACTACATGTTAAAGTGCGTGCAGAGCCTGCATCTTCTTCCTCACATGAGGTTTCTGCCCCACAACCAGCAGTGCCTCCAGCAGCTGATCATCCAAACGACTCCATTGATGACTTTGTCTTTGATCCAATGGCACCAGTCTTCATTCCTGGAGAAGTTCGTCTCGACCACATGCCTGAAGTGATCCAAGATCTCTATGAGGAATGGACCAGACTTGCGTTCAGCTGGCAAGGTGAAGAAGCAAGTGCGGAAGTCACTACTTGGTTTGTTGATCAGCACGACCCTGCACAAAGAGTATGCTGGCAACCCCGCAACATCCAACTGACGTCGCAGTTTGCCATGTGGGAGCACCAAATTCGTCGACTTTGGCATGATAGGATCATTGACGGAGCACCTATTGAATTTGTCATTGTGCAGCCACGTCCGCCACGACTTGGCAGACCGGTTGCAGCTCACGTCCTACTTGTTCAAAGACCACAACCAGAGCTTGTCACCAATTTGATCACCGGCTATGACCTCACAGTCCCACAGCCGGGCCCACATTGGCAGCTTGCTCTGACGACGCATGAACATATTTTCTTTGAGCAGATCATCCATAGCCTTGGGCTCACGCATCGATGCCTGCTCGCAGCCGCTGATCGACACTGCAGAGGATGGTACGGATCACAGCAACTCATCTTTGGACGCCCACTTCAAGGACGAGATGGCTATAGTATTGTCATACAACTGACTGTCAGGCAACCCATCGTTGCCCAACCACATGTTGCGATGCTGCAAACGCAAATGAAGCTCTTGGATCCCAAGGAGTGTAGTGATGTTATTGAAGACGCCTCCTCCTTTGATGACCTTCAGGCATCCAATGACGCTACTGTTGATTCCAATGACCATCAACCACCAGTGCGACTTCGTCTAGCTACATTGTTGCCTGAATTTGAAGCCGTCAAAGTGAAAGCAGCTGATCCAACACAGCAACTTCCACATTTCATTGAGATACCCAAAGACTCTGCTGAAAAAGGAGTTACAGATGAGTTGAAGCATTGGGGGCTCCACTCTCCAGTCTTTGAATTTGGACTTCGGGGCGAGTACCTCTACTACAACCTCCCTGATTCGAGCAGGGGAGCGGGCATCCACTACATGCTCTGCAATGACGATCTCCAAGATATGCAAGGGTCCATCTTACACACAGATGCGCAGATCCTGAACGATCAAGAACTCATGCGACTCCTGCATCGTTTGGGATATGAGCGAGCTGTTGTCCTCTCCAATGAAGCTCTCTTGCCTGATCTCCACCGAGTTCGCTTTTGGAACTGCAAACCAACGACTCAAAGTGATGGCAAATCGGAGCGGCAAAGGACACCATGGCCCTTGAGATCGCCTACAGACTGGAAGCCCTGTCCACTCTTCCAGGTCGACTCGTGGAATGCTAGCATTGATGCTGAAGCATGCCTTGTCAAGACTCCCTTCTCAAAAGCTGACCTGCATGAACTACTCAGTGCTGGCAAGGATGTGCTTTGTAAGGACTTCACAGGACTTGAGCTGCCATCTTTTATCGAAGAAGCTCTGACTTGCACATCACCAGGTGACCTTGAGGAACAATGGGACAGATGGTTGATTTTTACTGATGGCTCCTCGCAAACCAAAAACAAGCACTTCACTCCTGAATATGCAGATGCGATGTCCATGCCAGACACTTGGGCCATGCTTGTGCTCGGTGAACGGTACATCTCGGACTCAGACAGTGAGATTGTCCCCATTGGTTGGGCAGCTCATCCTGTTCGTACAGATCCATGTGGATCGTGCTTTGCTGGCTCGACTCGCATAGGTGCGGACATTGCAGAGCGTGAAGGTCTATTGTGGGCAGGACTCTGGCGTCTGACTCAGAACCAGGTCACGCCTACAGTATTTTGCGTTGACTCCAAGGTCACTGGTGGACAGGCTGATGGAACAGTTGGAGTCGCAGACCCGGATATGACGTACCGCCTTCTCCGCGGCACGTTCCAATGTTTGCAAACTGGACTCCCAGAGCACCATTTGCGCGTGCATCATGTGAAATCGCACGCGGGCGATCCATACAACGAATTTGTAGATCATGTGGCAAAGAGAGAAGCCAAGGCCAGCCATCATCACCCCAGACTCCGGCTGGATCTCCAAAAATGGCGCCAAATCATTCCATCTCTTTGGCTGTGTTTTGGAAGCCGCTTTGGACTACCAGACTGGAACGATGGCTTGCAAGCTTCTGCTCCTGACCTGCCGCAGTCTACGTTCCAAACACATCTGCCGCAGAAGCATCAGACCAGCATTGCCGCCATCTCATGCCAGCTGAGCCTTGCGACTATGAATGTGCAGTCAATCTCCAAAGGACCTGTTGGCCACAGTGGTAAATTACTCTACCTCTATGAACAGGTCAAGGCTCATGGCATTAACATTGTGGGGGTGCAAGAGGGGCGCAATGAAGAAGTCTTCAGCACATCGCATGACATGCTTCGAATTGGTGCTGGACATTGTGGAGGCCTCTATGGTGTTGAACTATGGATCAATCTTGCGCAACCCATTGGCTTCGACAAACGAATGAGACCCAGACATCTCAAAGTGCAGCATTTCCAAGTCTGTCACAAGGACCCGCAAAGACTCATTGTTAGATGTCAAGCAGAGCTCCTCACTTGCTGGATCCTTGTGGCGCATGCGCCACATAGCGGCCATGCCCGTTCTGCTCGACAGCAATGGTGGGAGCAGACAGACCACCTCATCGACACCTACGGAGACGGAATGCCATGGATCTGGCTCATTGACGCCAATGCGGAAGCAGGAGACTGGGATGACACAACGGTATTTGCCAGCGATCTTCCCACCAGCGTCAACACCGAGCTCTTTCGCTCCTGCCTCCATCGACATGAACTTTGCTTGCCTTCAACCTTGCCATGCCACACTGGTACGCGCTCGACATGGACGAGTCCTGATGGCGTCAGCCACCACTGCATTGATTATGTGGTCATTCCTCGATCGTGGCGATGGTTCTGCACTTATTCCAGCGTCATCGACACCATTGATCTTGGTACTATCAACGATGACCACAATGCAGTTGGCATCCAGATGGAGTGGACTGCCGCTGACGCGCACAAGAAGGAACAAAAGGCATGTCCTCAACCCGACTGGAGCAGTTATGATTCACGCACTGCTGTGAGGGACAAACTCACCACAATCTCCGTCTGTCCCTGGCATACAGATGTGGAGACGCAGGCACAACATCTAGCTGCAAGCCTACATTCGGCCATGCGACGAAGTCCAAGAGCGCCACGCATTGCCAAGAAGCCCTACATCACTGAGCAACTTTGGCAATGGCGTACATCAAAACTTCGCTTGAAGAAGAAGGTACAAGAGCTCCAGAAATACATCAGACGACAAGCTCTGCGTGACATTCTTCGCGCCTGGCAACGAAGCAGGGCCAACATTGACCATGGTGAGTCAGCCGAGGAGACGGTCACACTCCTTTGCAGAAAAATCAAGTTGTTGGCTGAATACAAGAACTATGCCAAAAAACTACAACAAGGACTCCGCCATGCGAAGCAAGTGCACCTACGGGAAAGCTTAGAAGCCATCGACGCTGCGACTCCTGCATCAGGAATCCTTCGTTGTCTACGCAGCTACATTGGCCCAACAAACCCCAAGATGTGCAAGAAGAAGACCATCCCACTTGTGCACAACGCGACTGGAACTCCATGCACCACCCCTGAGGAAGCATTGTCCACTTGGGTCGATTTCTTCAAGAGCATGGAAGGTGGCGAGCATATTCCGTGGACTGTTCTGAGACAGAGATGGAGGGACAATTTGTCCATGCAAAGATTGACTGAACTCCAACTCGAATGTACTGACATGCCCACGTTGACAGATCTTGAGATTGCAATGCGTTCCACGTCCTGCGGCAAAGCACGTGGCGCTGATGACATCCCAGGTGAACTTCTCCACTATTTCCCTGCGGAGATGGCCATGCATGTTTTTCCATCACTGTGGAAACTGCTTCTACATGGCCAAGAAGATCTTTCATACAAAGGCGGAGTCCTCGTCCAAGCGTACAAGGGACGCGGGGCCAAGCATCTCTGCGAATCGTTCCGGTCCCTTCTGATCTCTAGTCAGATCAGTAAAGCGATCCATCGAACGATTCGCACCAGCCAGGCGGATATCTTCGAGAAGTTTCTTCAGAGACAACAAGTGGGCGGCAAACGTAGATTGCCGGTCACATATGGCCTTCATCAAGTCCGAGCGCATCTCAGACACGCGCATCGATGTGGTGATTGCGCAGCTATTGTCTTTGTTGACCTGACTGAAGCGTTCTATCGAATTTTCCGCCCACTTTGCATGACAACCGCCATCAGCGATGAGGCGCTTGCCGACTTCCTGCACAAACTCAAGATGCCGGAGTCTGCGCTTCATGAACTTTGGCAACTTATTGATGGTCCAAATGCACTTCACATGGCTGGACTCCCGCAACACTATCAGAAGAGTATTGCAGCGATTCACTGCAATACGCACTTCTGGATGAAAGAACAGCAAGACGTCGTGGAGACGCAATTTGGGTCTAGGCCGGGAGACCCCTTTGCTGATGTCTGCTTCAGCTATGTATGGGCCCGTGTTCTTCTTCGACTGCAAGAATACATGGAGCACAACGATCTTGTTGATCAATACCCTGTGCTGCCACAGCTCAATTTATTCCAAACAGCACCAACTACTGATGCTGACAAAGAGAATGCCAGCTTCATTGGGCCGACGTGGATGGACGACACTGCCGTCTGCATCAGTGCCTCCACTGCAACCTCACTAATTGACAAGGCGACCCAGACAGCTGGCAGACTTTTGGAGCTTTGTGTTGAGCATGGGATGTCTCCGAATTTGAAGAAAGGTAAGTCTGAAATTTTGCTCAGTCTGCCAGGCCGCAACTCGCGTAAGACTAAGATTGAGCTCTTCGGACCCAATGCGGCACTTACAGTGCCAATCCTTACGGAGCACAAGGCATATGACATGCCGATCACCAACAAGTACCTCCACTTGGGTGGTTTACTTCATCATGGACTTGATCAACGAACAGAGCTGAAACGCAGATTGGCATTGGCGCATGCCGCCTTCAACCAACATAGAAAGGTGCTGTACCACAACCAGCAGATTCCGTTGCGGAAGAGGTGTGAACTATTCCAAGTTCTCATCATGACAAAGCTGCTCTATGGCTCAGAGAGTTGGCTGATCACAGATGATCGTACAGTGCACACCTTTCATTCAGCCGTCCTCAAGCTTTACAGACGGCTTTTGAAGGTGCCTGGTGACCAACATTGGTGCACAGAGAAGCTCCTGGCGACCGTTGGCTTGCCATCACCTGACACTCTTCTGCGTCGGCAACGATTGCGCTATCTTGGCACTCTTTTCCGTTGTGGCACGCCACACGATTGGGGCCTTCTTTCAGCAGATGTTGATTGGTGCGCATACCTGGAAGATGACTTGATTTGGATGTGGACGCAGCTACGACGAAGCTCAGATCTCCCACATCCAAAAGATGACTACGCACACTGGCATCGCATCATCAAGCACTATCCCAAGTTCTGGAAGCGCCTGATCCGTCGAGCCACTGAACATGAATCCATGCAGATGCAGAGATCATGGAAGGTGCGAGAATTTCATGCTTACGCTGTTGAGCGACTGCAATTGATCTTCCAGAAGGAAGAGACGGATCAAAATTGTGAACGAGAAGGCCGACAGGAGGAAGATCAGCCTGTGAGATTTGGATGTCTCCATTGCCAGCTTAGATGCACAACGAAGGCAGGGGAGGCAGCACACATGTTCAAGCAGCATGGGCATGTTGCAACTGTTCGGAGATTCTTCACAGAACCGACGTGCCCGGCGTGCCTCCGAGTCTTTCACACGATGCAGAAGACCAAGGCACACTTGCACTATTCTGCCCGATGCAGAAGTATCCTCCAGAGCCGCCCGCCAGCTCTCGAGGTGGCACCAGGGGCAGGATCGGCCATTGATCGCACGCTGACAGATCAACACGATCGCCTTTTACCACCTGTCCAAGCGGAGGGACCGATGAATCAGCCTCCCAGACTGAGAGAGGACCCGAAGATCGACCACGACTTCTTTGTCTACCTCACAGATCTGGTTGAGCCCAGCATGTGCTTGGTGTCCTTCGAGAAGGTTGCGCGGTCCTTTGCCACGGACAATCCTATCTCATGGACATTATGGACAAGTACGCTTCGATTCTTCGAGAATGCCTTCACAGAGAATGATGCGCAGTGCACGCCTATTCAGGCAGACGCAGGCCTGGTGACATACAGTTCTTCCTGGAGAACTTTCATCGAGAGAACAATGATGGGAGCTACGTGTTGCACATTGTGTCAATGGACATCGTCATTGACCAGCAATACGGTGACGCCAGGAATGAAGACACAAGAAGCTACTGGCTGGGGGCGATCAGAGACAGAAAAGTCGTCGCCTTTGTTGCAGGACCACCCTGCGAAACCTGGACGGCAGCTCGTGAGCACAAATTGGACAACGGCAGAGGCGGACCACGCCCTGTGCGTAGCGCCGATGAGCTTTGGGGTTTCGTCAGCATGCAGCTGAGGGAATTGTGCCAAGTCTGCGTTGGCAATGAGCTGCTGATCTTCGCTTTGCAGGCGTTCATCGAGCTCCTGTTCTCTGGTGGCTGTGGTCTACTGGAACACCCTGCGCCACCACCTAAGCTGACTTCCCCCAGCATCTGGAAATTGCCTGTCATTCAGGCGCTGCAGAAACATCCAGCTGTTGAGACGTGTCGCTTTGCGCAGGGTTTGCTCGGAGCTCCTACGCCGAAGCCGACGCAGCTTCTTCTCCTGAACATGCCCAACATGATTTTGGTTTTGCATCAGTGGCGTGTCTGCGTTGAACTCCCGCGCAGTACCGCCATTGGTCTGGATGAATCAGGGTCGTGGCGGACATCGCCACTGAAAGAATACCCGCCGGCGATGTGTGGCGCTGTTGCGGAGGTATTGACCCGCACCATTAATTCATTTCCAATCTGTTCTGCACAGGACCCGCCGACCTCTGAACTAGCATTGTGGGCCAAATTGTGCGCAACGCACTATGGTCAACACATTGGCGCAGATTTTGCGGGGTGAACAGTTGGATAATGGGAGTTTGCATAGGCCGCTGCGAGAGCAACTGGTAGCCGCAAGGAAAAAAATATATATGTATATGTATATGTGTATGTATATGTATATGTATACGTATATGTATATGTACGAATATGTACATGTACATGTATAAGTATATGTGCATATATATATATATGTATATGTGTGTATGTGTGTATGTGTGTATGCATGCATGCATGGATGGATGGATGTATGCATACATGCATGGATGGATGGATGTATGCATACATGCATGTATGGATGTATGCATGCATGGATGTATACATGCATAGATGTATGTATGCATGGTATGTATCATTCATGATGCTGCGTGATGCTTTGCAATGCTTTACACTGCTTTACACTACTCTACAATGCTTTAAGTTCTTGAACATGTTTTTATGATGCTTTATACTTTCTACATTTTTCTACATCTTTACAATGCTTAGGGTGAACAGTTTCTTGATGTTATTGACCTTCCAAATAAATTGCGAGGAGCTCTCTGAAGGTCTCCGCCAAGCGGTTGCCTTCCTGGCGATTTGAGCCATAAGAAAACCAGGGTTGGGAAAGCGCCTCCAAACAAAGGCTTGGCAAACATATAGGTAAACATCCATATTAATCATTATTCATCCATATGAGATCAAGTGAGATACGTATACTGGTCATATCTTGTAATCTAGCTCCGATCTGATATGGTCTAAAAGGGCTAGGAACCCCAAAAAACTCAGAGATGGGGAGAGAGAGAGAGACAGAGAGACAGAGAGCAAGAGTTCAGCAGCGCTGCTGCTGCATGACATCCCATGACCATCCATGGCCTCAGGGTCTAAAACCAAGCCCTTGAAGATTTCATCGTAGGAAATCGCATTCCAGAAGCGCAACGCATTTTGACCTCGGCGTCCGAGCTGGACCCTTCAGTTCTCAAATGGAGGCAGTTGGATCCAGCTTGGGGTTCCTATGAGCCCAGTTTGGTTGGTCATTTTTCGTCATCTTAGCCGCCACAACTCGCCGTGTCGGCGAGGACCCAACACCACCATCCTTCAGACCGAGTGACAACACATTTGCAGCCGTTCGCCATTTGGCCTCAGCTATGGCGTTTCTCATCGTTTCTCTGTTGTGCTCAAGGCTTCCCAATCAGTTGCAGCACAGGAGTGCCCGGAACGCTGAAATGTAATACTCAAGTGTTTCCTTTTCTTCAAATATGTTTTGCATGCTCAAATGCATACTGCAGCTGTGCTTACTCACAACTCACCACCAACCACTGACCGACTTCAGGAACCATACCACTTCTCAAAGCTATGCTTTCGAGCTACAACGAATCATTTTGGACGCAGCATAAAGCAGTCGCATACGGCATGTGGGTGTGCAGCACTGCCCGATTTTTCCTTGCGACATCGCGCGGTTTAAGATGCTTGAACTATCTTTAAAACTGCTCCTGTGACTTATTCCAGTCAGGAAAATTGAAGGTTGTAAAATCGCTGCACTTTAATGCACTTTAATTTGACTGTGCGGGGAGTACTCAACCTCTCCCTTACCCCAATGCTGTGAACGGTCAGCACACACTTTTGCACGGTTGGCAGCTGATTTCCCTTGGCTTTTCATTCATAGTCGGAGTTCTATTTCCCCAGAAAATCACGAGTCATGTGGCTTCACCGGTGGCTTGCACTAACTTTGGCCATTCTCCCCCTTGGCATTCCTTCGCCAACTGTAGAGATCAAACATGAAAGAACACCAGTTCTGGCCTTGACATATGGGCGCAAGTCAGTCAAGACTCTCCACTGCACAGATTGTGGTCATTTGCAGTGCTGCCCACCAGTTTTATCATGTTTTACCAATTCCTTTTCCCGGTTCCCCGTTTTTGAACTGTAAAAACTATGGCCAAGGATTACGTACCATTGTCTTTGCGCTACCATCTTCGAATTACCACTTTGATTCGATTCAATTTCAATCACGTTGAAGAACATGATAAAGTCAGAATAATCCCCTTCTGGGGATGGGCAAGAATCAATACGCAACATGAATACGAATTATATGTATATATAAATATACAGATACATATCATATCTTCCATATTTCAATTTGAATGTTTCAATAGGGCAATCGCTAATATATGGTTGCAACATGTTGCAACTACTCAGCCAACAAACCAATAAATATCAAACATCAAAATTAAAATCAACATCGGTGAAGGACCCCTGGGCGATCAGGAAATTGTGACCCACAGTGGGTTTGTCTGGAAAAAAGGCGACCTCCAAATCTGCTGGTTTGTCATCATCTTCCCCATTAAACTTGCCGCTTTTCAGACACACCCAGTCGGATCTTGTTGCTTAAGCCACTATGACATGCCCGTTTTTCCAACTACTTCGACGGTATTTTTATGGGGAAATTCAGCGTTTTTTGTTGATGTATCCTGATATATCCCCACATCATCAGATATCCCAATATATTCGAACATATTCTAACTATAGTTAGTACATGTTAGTACTAGTTACTAGATGTTACCATCCGGTTATGACTAACATAGCCATGGAAAATCACCATTTTTAATAGGTAATCCATCTATAAATGGGCCATTTTCCATGGCTACGTTAAATAACCAGAGGGTAGTGCCATTTGATGATTTGGAAGGAAACTCCCCGATGACTCCGCCAGGAATCTGTGGGTTCGCCTCGTGAATTGCGAGGCGAATCTGAAAGGCGGTGATTTCAACCTCCGCGGCTCAGTAACTAATAGGGTAGCAGGTCTCAAGTCCAATGTATTGTTTATATAATTGTATATATATGATTGTAAAGTCTATTGATGTATACTTCTAACTCTTGGAATTTCTGAAATTCGGAGTTGTTTTTGGGATATCTTGATGATATCACAGTATCACAGTTATATTGGGGCAACGATTTGAGTTTCTCATCCAATTCATCCGTGCGTGGCTTGATCTATTGAACCCTCTTTGATGGCCAGTAGTCAGGAGAGTTAGTTTATAACTTACAACAATTTTTCCAAGGATTTTCGAGCTCTGTAACTTCAAACAGCCGCACACATAGCAATGATTCTGAAGTCGTCGAGTCTATATATAAATAAGACACATCATATCGTAACGTACTGCAGCCTCCTTTCCCGCACCTTTCCGATGTGTTAGCTCTTGCGTCACCGATTCATTCCAAGAAACTTCTGCAGAAGTATTGTTGATGACCATGCCTGCGTACATGGCCGCGAATGAACGATTGATGGCCTGTGCCCAAGAGTCCCTGGAGAAAGAGTCCCTGGAGAGGTTCAAACCTAAAAGGGCACCTTTCCCAGTCCCAAGCGCAGCCCACATGTTACAATTGCAGTTGCCAGGGCTTTGCAAAGGATTTGTCTTTCTGCATGTGGCCATCCAAATGTTACAAGACTGGTCGGTCACCGGTCGTTCCAACTCATCCTAAACATATGAACCAATTGAAGACCATCGCTTAGAAACGACAAATAGGCTATAGAACACACAAAAAATAAATACTGTAATTAAACCACACGGAAGTTTGAAACATTCTGACACCACCAGCACCGAACATCGCATGGGCCTGTGGAATCGATCACCACCAAATTTTCTGGTGTCACCTCAGACCTGAGTTGGCTGTATGATTTGCTGTCCCCAATGCTCTCACGTACCGCAACTGGTGCAAGACTCATTGCAGTAAAGTAGATGATGGATGATAATGGTAGATGTGACTTGCAATTGGTGGCTTCAAAATCAAAACAACCCCAAGACACGAGGCATTTGGAGTAAATCACTCCAACATACTACCACGCACGGTTTCGAATTAGCAACTATCAGACGATTCCCACACAACAGAGCGCATCTTCATAGAGAATTTCCATGAATTGCCTAGATATTCTTAGTTTTATACCACCCACTCATGATTATCTGCCCCGGTGATATGTCTCACAGGCCAGCTCCAGCGATATCCCAAGGCACCAAAGGAGCCCATATGGGATGACCAAAAATCGATCCGAATAGCCCGGCACTGCTGCAGAAAGATGGTTGCAAACGCCTGACGTTGGCCACCAAAGTCTAGCATGCCAATGGCAGTTTTGGAGCTGCGCATGTCACTCAGCATACAATTCCATGCGGAAATTCGCCCTTTCATCCGTGCCCAAAGGGCCAACCAGCTGATGGCACATTCAGCTCTGGGCATATCTCGAGGAAAGTCATTACTGTATAACCATTTATAGCCCAGAAATGAGCATGTCCATAAAAATCGGACCTCCAAACCAACTCATGTTGGCGTTGAAATGCACCATGTTGGTGGATTTGGTGGTCACCACTGGACATAACTTAGTGGACAAAAAGCACGCCTTCATTCAGCCCAAGCTTGTGGCAAATGCGGTACACTGCAGCGAGATCATTTCGCACTGACGCTTCCGTCTGTGTCATCGCTCTGTCAAGGATGGAAAACGTGGGAAGCTGAGCCAATTTGGTGCAGCGTCATGTCATGATGAACCCAATTTCAACACATTTTAACCATTTCTCTTCAAAAGATGCTGGTTCTTTTTCCTTCCCAGTCTGGAGATCCCTGTGCAAACAACTGATTTTCAACATACCCAATGTCCCAAAAAGACTTGACAAGCATACAAGGAGTCACTTGACTGAGAGTATATAGGCACTAACTGCACCCCAAGAGAAACTTCAGAGTGCTTGCAATGTCAACCCTGGATTAATAACCCCCCTAGGCTGTTTCATTGGGAAGGTACCGTTTAAGTATCAAATCATGACTATTGCGGGAATACCACCCTAATTAATAAACCATGGTTTATTAATGCGGGGTTGACATTATTCCTTCACCAATCCTTCAACTGCCGCGAGCCAGTCCCCACCTTCGCCTTTTTCCCGCGGGCTCTGAGAAGCTGTGTCACAAGCAGTCACAACTTCCGAGCACTTCATGGGACGAGAATGCTGCCCCTGCGCCAATCTGGAGCCTGCTGCTCAATCTGAAGACTTTTTGGGGTAGTTGATGTTTGAGAAAAACAGATAAACACGCAGATAAAATATAAACAGGCATGTGTGTGTGTGTTAAAAATAAATATATATATATATATTATAGTTAGATATACGACGAATAGGCACAGAATAATATCTTTGAAAGACTGCCCTGACTCTTCAAAACTCCACCTTTACATCCTGGTGCACTTGCCACCAGTATGCACAAGCTGGGCAAGTTCAGGCTCTGCTGGAGACTCGGAACCTTTTAATGCGTAGAAATGAGCATTGCTCACCCTGAAGTGAAAAAATGCGACAATCTGGTCCACAATCAATAGGAGAAACCAAAGACTTTTGATTCCAAGAAAATTCCATCTGTCAAATGGACGCTACCCTCTGGTAAACTAACATAACTATGGAACATCACCATTTTTCATGGGAAAATCCACTATAAATGGCCATTTTCAATAGCTATTTTGACATAACCAGAGGCTATTTTTAAAAAACGCCTGGAAGTACTTTTTCAGGGCTGCGGTCGCCCTCACTTTGGTCATATCCGCCTTTGGCTTTTGGCTGGGCGAGCCATTTCAGGGTCTTGTCATCTCTCGACAGCTCCCTCTTTCTTGCCTGGAAACATCTGGTGGTGTTAGCCCTCTGAAAAAAAATGAAAGTCAGTGGGGACCATCATCCCATAATATCCAAGTATGTCCAAGTGTCAAAACACTGAATCTTTTGATTCAAAACATGCCAAGTTCACAACATATACCGTAGGTAGATTCAAAACATGGGAAAGTAATTTATGGGAAACATCGATTCAAAACATTTCAACACCAACCAATCTTTGAAGGCTAAAAATGGCTAAAATCAACAACCATTTTTAGGTGTACGGGTCAAACATGGTCAAACTACCAATGTTGCCGGGGATCTTCAGCCCTTGAAAAACACAGCATATCTTTGCCCCAACCAACTGGGCCATCAGTCGACCAAACAGAGATCGATTTGGGTTCTCTAAGGTGTCCGAGTTGACCAAAACGGTGGCAGCTGACCAACAGCACATGGAAAATATACATAGACACTACATTACTTTATATTACCTTAGATTACTTTACATTACTTTGCATTACATCCATAACACACACACACATATATATATATATACATAGATAGATAGATAGATATATTCCCGTATATGCCCAACAAATGGAGGATGATCATTTCCCACCAGATGAAGCCCCAATGCTCCCGGTCGAGTCGGCCCAGTCGCGTCCAGATGCTGCCGGGCAAAGTTCTCCCGCTCGCTGTCGAAGGCTTCCCTCAGTGAGCTCTCCCCAACTGCTAGGATTCGCAAGAGAAACACGATTTGATACAAGATGCAAATAGAAATGCATACATGTGTAAGTGCATATACAGAGATAGATAAATAGATAGATAGATAAATAGATAGATAGGATAGGATAGGATAGGATAAGATAAGATAAGATAAAATAAGATAAGATAAGAAAGAAAGATAGATAGATAACTAGATAGATAAAGATAAAATAAGATAAGATAAGATAAGACAGATAGATTAGATAACTAGATAAATAATATAAAATAATAAAAGAAAATATAAGATAAGAAAGATAGATAATTAATGTAATATAAGATGAGATAAGAAAGAACGATAGATAGATAGATTGATAAATAGGTTAAGATAAGATAAGATAAGATAAGATACGGAAGATAGATAAGATAAGAAAGAAAGAACGAACGATAGACAGATAATTAGATAGATCGATAAGCTAAGCTAAGACAAAATAATATAACAAACAAAGAAAGATAGATCGACTAGATAGATAACTAGAGAGATAGATAAGATAAGATAAGATAATATAAACGATCAGGAAGAAAGATAAGATAAGATAAGGTAAATAGATAAGATAAGATAAGACAAGACAAGATAAGATACAACAAGAAATAGATAAATAGATAGATAGATAGATAGATAGGTAGATAGATAGATAGACAAACAAACAGACATACAGATAGATAGATAGACAAACAAACAGACAAACAGATAGATAGATAGATAGATAGATAGATAGATTTGATAGATAACTAGCTAGCTAGCTAGATAGATAGATAGATAGATAGATAGAGATAGAATCAGATAGATAGATAGATAGATAGATAGATAGGTAGGTAGGTAGATAGATAGATAGATAAGACAATACAAGATAAGATAAGATAAGATAAGGTACGGTACGATACGATAGATAGATAGATGGATAGATAGATAGATAGACTGACTGACTGACTGACTGACTGATAGATTGGATAGATAGGATAGATGAATGGATGGATGAATATATAGGTAGATAGATAGGTAGACAGATAAGATAAGATGAGACGAGATACTGTAACATAAGCATTATATGGGTGGAAAATGTGGAGGCTTAGATTTTAGTCCGATAGTCTGATTTAGTATATTTTAGTGTACTTTAGTCTTTTGCTTTCAGTGATCAAAGTTTTCTACTTTCCGACATCCCCGCCAATCAACAAATTGCAGCAAGAAATATCACGCAGAAAGTTGTTTTTTGACTCGATCACCGCTGCCATCAGATGCTGTCCAAATCGCCACACCAGTTCTTGGGATTTTCTTTCTTCTCTGATCTCTTCTCTTCCTCCATTTTGTTCTTGTTCTGCTTCTCATTTAATAAGATAGGTAGATAAACAAGAGACAGACACATAGGATAGACACATAGATAGATCTTGTCTTTGGGTTTGCCATGGGGTGCCCTGCTCCTTTACCCCTGCTGTGCAAAAATGGAGCCAAAGGTCTTGACTGACTTGCAAACATCCTCATCCACCAGCGCCAAAGGAGCACCCGTGGACATGGCCAGCACTTGGACTTTGGCAGCTTGCTCCAAATAGTAAAGGTCATCCTGAGAGCGAAGGACGCTTTCAAGCCGAAACTCAGCACCACTTTGAATGCACCCTACTGTATGTATAGTAATAGCAAGCCCAGGTCCTGGCATTGCCCAACGAGTTTGTGGGGCCTATGTTTGGTCACCGTCAAAGGATCTCTTTGGTTTGGATGAGAACTGCTTGCATGTCGATAATGAGGTGCCATATGGGTATGTCAGTATCAAATCGATGGCCTGTTGCCCTGAAGATCTTTCTCATGCTCTCGTCAACGATTGGCACAACAAACGACAAATGACCATGATACAAAGCCATCTATATACATACAGTAAGCACGATGTTGTAAGAGGTTTGACAACCACGGGTCACAAACACTGCTGGGCATGTCTGGAAGCCTCTGGTTATCTGTGCGTAGCAGAATCATGACCCAACAGTGCCGGCTGCTCACAAAATTGTCAAGCCAGGAGTCGAAAGCCTGTGCCAGCGTCGGGGCACAAATGAACACACCATGGTGCTTTTGAAGACCCACTCTCTTCCTCAGTCTGCCGACACCGAAGCACCAGGCAGCCCATGCAAGGTTGGTTCCTATTGGTTAGTTGATAGCAGGGTTGCCTCTTGGTGTCTAAAAATCCACCTCTCCATGAAACATGGCACTGCTTGTCATAAAACAGCCTACCTTACCTGGCTGATGGGTTATGCATGGCTATGTAACATCTTCAAATTAGATCATTTGGGTCGGATATATCTCACGCACAGAGGTATACATATTCTTGAATTAAATATGGCGTCTGGCGTATACTCCATCACAATCTTGGGCTGAAGATCCCCCAGTCTTCCTGGAATTGCGGTTTCGACTTGGCCAAGAATCTCCTTAAGCCCTGCGGCGAGTCGGAGGCCTTCCTGTGGCTCTTGGGGTGGGTTTCCAACGGTTTGCCCCAAAAAGCCATTGGGCCATTGGTTTGGTCTATGGGAAGAATCTATAAGGAAAAGCCACGTGTTCTGCATCTTTCTGCCCTTCCAGGCATGGAAAACGGTTTCCGGTAGACTTTCCATTAAAACAATCCAATGATCATGAGTCCCAGCTGCAAAATCATTTAGATTAAATCTACAATATTGCATTTTGGGTTTGGGTCCACCAAAAAAGCAAACCCAACGGGTTTTGCGTTTTTTCTCACTCCCCTCTGAGGCTAAAAATAATTTGACACATTTTGACACCCTCCAGCAGGCAAAACATGGCAATCTGAAATCCCAGTGGGTTTATCAGGAAAATCATTCATAAATGATAGAAATCTGGCTGAATTATAAGAACTCACTGACCCGAAAAAAAAATGAAATAAGGCCCTCTCTCTTCAGTCTGCCCAGCTATTTGGGGATGATTCCCCTTACTATCATTCCAGTGATGTCACAATGCGGTCATTATGATTCATCCAGATAAATGGATATCCTGAGGATTCTAGGGAGATTTTCTACCACCGAAAGATCTCTACCGCCGCCTCTGGGTCCAGAACCCAGCCCCGAAAGATCTCGTCATAGGAGATGTCGTTCCAGAAACGCAGGGCATTTTGACCTGGGACACTTGAAAACCAACAAACATCAGGTTCCTGGTTGGTTCACGTAAAAAAAATCAGATTTTTCATCTCCAGTGGCAAATCAAAGGTGGTAGGCCTGGAAAGGCCACAAAAAAAACTGCATCCCGATGAGCCGAGTGGCAGCACATTGCAATTCTTTCTTTGTTGGGCCTCAGGCACTTGGCCAGGCTGGACAGGTATGGACTCGCACTTCTCATCTATGAACCGCCTGAAACATTTGACGCCAGTTTAGTAACTGGATGAAATGGATTTATGTAAAGCAATCCCTAGAGAAAATAGACAACTGTTCCAGGATATCAAAGAATATATATATCCAGGCTTTCAACTATTCTATCTGTTTTGGGGTTGTGCTATACACACACATGAATATATATATATATATATATATGTATGTATATGCATATATATATATATATGCGTGTGTGTGTGTGGTTGGACCGACGATCCGAAACTAACACTGGCAGCAGTGACCTGATGAACCTTGTCCTCAAGGTTCATAGATGTTTCTCCCAACCACAAATGGATCACCGAGATCTGGATGCAGTTCAAAGGCTGCAACATCTCTGACCCCTATTGGAAAATCACAATCGGAGGCTGGAAACGAGACTCAGGCAAATTCACATATATATATATTTATACACATGTATTTGCAAAGTTGAAATGCTGGATTGTTTTGCAACAGGCTTTTTGCAAAATGCATATATATAAGTTATAAATGCCACCAATTGTTTGGCGTAGACTCCGGCTACAAGGCCACGCAGGAATTGTATGGAATTATAAACATCTCCAATTGTTTGAACCAACTAGTAACTAGTGCTGTACGCTGGGATTCCGAAATTCAGAAACCTTGGAAATAGCCAATGGGTTGATTCCAAGAAAATTAGCCCAGAGATACGGGGGTCCTGTAGATTTTCCTTAAACCAATTCCAGGAAACAAAGAAAAACGAAGCACCGAGCAGAATCAACGGAAGCACATTCTCCCACACCTTAAATTGTCGTCCAGGCCACAACGTGTCGTTCTGAATGACGCACAGAGCCGTGGTATACGGCATGTGCGTGTGAAGCACAGCAACGTTTTTCCTTTGCAGCCGGAATGAAAAAAGACTCACCATAGACATGCCGACAACATGTGGTTCCACTTGGTTTCACAGGTTTGAGCTTTTGGCACCTGGTACAAGTACCACTGTGACAGGAGGGCCCGCCTCATTACAATGGGAATTTCAGGATCCTAAAATGGAGGTACTGTACCATATAAGGCCATATTCTGTGGGGATATTCCCTTACATAGCCCTTACATAGGCCTTATATATGGATATATATATATATAATTACATATATATGGTAGGTACCTCCAGTTTAGGATCCTTGAATTCCCAGTGGGCCTTTGCAAAGCCTGCTGCCATGCGAAGCTGCATCCATCATCTAACTGGTCTGAATACGGGTTGCCTGTAACCATCATGAACAATTAGATGCAATCATATATGTATATATATATATATAATTTAATTATATATACAAATCATAAAATACCGGTACGGGCATATCAATGGCACATCATCAGCATGTGATTGCTCTCCATCAATTGATTCCTCACCAGCCGTCCCGCCAGGATCACGTCTTGGCACATCTTGGTCCGTCCCGAGATTTCGCTGCAGTGTCTGTTACCAAGGCTCTCCGGGTTTACCGCGTGCATGGCAGAATGAATCTCGAAGGCCGAGGTGTCAACCTGGCCGGCGGCCGGAATTGCTGGCAAGAACCAGCCTCTGGATCCTCTGGTTATCAAACATGGCTGGGAAATCCCACTGTAAATGTGCTACAATCGTCTACAAATGATTGCATGTTTGATGACCAGAAGGATCCAGCAGGTTGTTATTGAGAGCTTTGACGGCAAAGCAAAATAATGCAAAGACTTTTCTTTTTGGCGGCCGAACTGTGATTTTTCTTCCTTGGGTTGTGACCGATCAGAATGGGAAATGGGTAACAACACACCCTCTGGATCCCCCTAGTATCCCCCTAGTAATTCAACATTGCTACCGAGTTTCATCATTCGAATCATTTGCAAGAAGTAAATCCAAGTTCACCCACTTTCATCCATTTTCCAAGGCGATGCGAAGTGACCGGAGGGCAACAACTCAACCATTTGCGACGTCCGAGTTGCCGCTCCGTCGCCGACGACACGGCCCTTGGGATCCACCAGCACCAAGGATTCAGGAGTCACCTCTGACCTGGCCAAAACCGTCGAAAACCGTCGGAAATTTCGATGAATTTCCTCAGTTTTTTTCTTCAGCAGAAAACGATTTTCTTATATGTTTTTTGGCCGTGAAACCTATAAATCACAGTTAAATATTGCGGGCTGCCCGGCTTTGAGCCATTTTGGGAGTGAAATCGCGCATTTCTGTCCAGGGTGCTGAAATTCCAGCCAGGCATTTTTCAACATACCATCATAATATGCCATAATTGCAACTGTGGAGCATAACCAACCAATAGACCGGATAAGTCTCAAAACAATGGTGGAGCCAATCAAAACATCATGAAACATCTCTGATTGGCGTAACCAAACTTTTCTTTAAGGCCAACGCTGATGAAAAGATTGGCAAATTCCCGGGAGTCTGTGACATGTTTTGGCCATAGTAACAGTCTTTGCTGGGGCCAACCCCACCTTTGCCTCGAGATTTAAAGACAAACAGCTTTGGGGAAGATCACGGCTTAAATACAATTTACATATAGAGCTCAGAACCTGACGGTTCCACTTGAGGGACAAGGATAATGCAGGAAACTTCCGAACTAAGATGACCCTTGAATAAACCAAATGCCTATGATACGTGTAGTGTTGCATAATGTGTCATAACCACTCATGACCACTTACAACTGGGATATCATTGGATAGACCACCTCTCATAAGAATCTCTAATTTGAGAGATCATGTCATACTGTTGGCTTTCATAAGTAAGGTGGCAGGGTCGTATTTAAGGTCTGTTCCCGGAAATAAGGTACATCAGTATGCAAAATGCATCAAATCAAATGTGAGGGAGTCCTTGGCTGAAAAGAAGGGTGCGAAGCTAATGCTCAAAAGTGGCACCTGTGGCGGGCCTTTTTTTAGAGATTCATAGTTCTTTTTTGGCAGCCGGCAAGGTTTCTGCCTGCAGGAAATAAGATGTAAAAAATACATTTAAACAACATACAATTAAAAGCCTAAGGCCAAGAAAAAAGTAACATGAACATAATGAAACACAATTTTCAAACAAAAGCGAAACTAATTGAAGAATTGAAGAATGTAGCACATTTCTCAAATGGCTGCTTGCCAGCAGCTGACAATGGTAATGCCCAAAACCAACAGCTGCTGCTGTGGAGCAAGCCCAGTGAGCTGTTTTAGTAAGCTGTTGTAAAATGTTGTAAGTATTTGTTTGATGATTTCTTTAGGTGCCTGCATTCGTTTCTTTGTGGCTCCTGTTGTCTCTGCGCATACTTTATTTTGGCCTGCGCTGTGAAAATCTACTAGTTTTGTCACCCAAATTCTTCACAAAATGAGCCATGTGGATGGCTGCAGTTAGGTTGTACATCGTTATACAATTTGCTCAAAAGCCTGTCAAACTGGATTTCAATCTAAAACTGTTGGTTTGCAAACATCCTAAACCTTATTTCGGCATAATTCCCTTATTTCCTTGAATTATGAAAGTTTACATCTCATAGGACCATACGACGTCTAAATTCGCAGCCAGGGACCAAAGAAGGCCATAGGGCGCCACCAGAAATCGATCGCTGGTCCCGGGAACGAGCACTGACATGTGGTTGCAAACACCTGGCCATGGCAAGTACCCTCTGGTAATTTAACATAGCTATTGAAAATGACCATTTATAGTGGATTTTCCCATTGAATATGGTGATTTTCCATAGTTATGTTAGTTTACCAGAGGGTAATGTCATCTGCAAGCTGAGGTTGGAGATATGCCGCAGAGTGGCACCAGTTTGCAGCGCAAAAACCGAATGGAACTGGAAGATCAAAACCTTGGCGCCCTATAAAACCAGCTGAGATTCATGAATGTTCCCCGAAATTCCCATCATCCCATAAGCCATCATAAGCCATCATAAGCCCATTATACCCTTTGGCAATCTAAGATAGCTGTGGAAAAAGTGGCTCAATGTGGCACATCTATAAATGATCTACCGCTTGAAATGGTGACTTTCCATAGCTATCGATAATCAAAGGATATCCACAGATATCCCTTATTTCCCCATCCCCATTCCATTCTTGCAGTTATTGCACCTTCATTCAGGCCGAGCTTGTGGCACATGCGATACACTGCCGCCAGATCGTCGCGCGCCGACGCTTCTGTCTCTACTTTGCCCATGGCGTCCGCGGTGCTAGCCGTCCCTGAAGCTGGGAGCCTAAGACTGAAAGGGGTCCAAATCACTGATTCAAACGTCCGTAATTCAATCAAACCAATCAAATTCAATCAATGATAATCAATTATCACAATTCATCCATAAATTCCATTCATAAACATGTCATAAACAATCACAATCTGTTTTGATGTATACCATCGATGGTTTTCCCATTGAGATCTGTTGAGCTGCAACCGGCCTCCTCCAAAGTCTTCAGCAGGTTGATCTCTGCGGACCTTGGAGGGCCCTACTCGGAACTGGTAGATGGTCACAATGATCAATGATTCATTGGACCTGAACAATATACCTATATAATTATATAAATATATAAATATACCTGCATATATATATATATATGGTACCCCCCCCCGGTACCTACCTTTCCTTGATTTATACTGTAAATTACAGTATAATTTGCTTATTTTCATATGTTGAATTTGATAGGTTTTTATATTGAGTTTCTTGAGACATGAGTTCAGACTTGAGATCAGACTTGACTTCAGACTTGAGTGTCATAGTCTCGATTCCTGCTACCCAAGATCCAAGATCCAAGATTTCCAGAAAGCTTTTTATATTGAGTTTCTTGAGACATGAGTTCAGACTTGAGTTCAGACTTGACTTCAGACTTGAGTGTCATAGTCGATTCCTGCTACCCAAGATCCAAGATCCAAGATTTCCAGAAAGCTTTTCTTGGAAATCTTGGGATAAACCCAAGATCCAAGATCCAAGATTTCCAGAAAACTTTTCTTGGATGCACTTGCAGAATCTTGGATGCACCCAAGATCCAAGATCCAAGATTCCCAGAAAATTTTTCTTGGATGCAGGCTGGAAATCTTGGATGCACCCAAGATCCAAGATCCAAGATTTCCAGAAAACTTTTCTTGGATGCACTTGCAGAATCTTGGATGCACCCAAGATCTTGGATCTTGGGTTTATCCCAAGATTTCCAAGATTTCCAAGAAAAGTTTTCTGGAAATCTTGGATCTTGGATCTTGGGTGCATCCAAGATTTCCAGCCTGCATCCAAGAAAAATTTTCTGGGAATCTTGGATCTTGGATCTTGGGTGCATCCAAGATTCTGCAAGTGCATCCAAGAAAAGTTTTCTGGAAATCTTGGATCTTGGATCTTGGGTTTATCCCAAGATTTCCAAGAAAAGCTTTCTGGAAATCTTGGATCTTGGATCTTGGGTAGCAGGAATCGAGACTATGACACTCAAGTCTGAAGTCAAGTCTGAACTCAAGTCTGAACTCATGTCTCAAGAAACTCAATATAAAAAGCTTTCTGGAAATCTTCGTAACTACATCTGTGCTGGCAGCAAGTCATTTGCAAGAACCATGTGGGTTACATGCTTGAGGGAGCGTGGGTTCAAAAGGATGAAGCTATGAAGGCTTTGCACAAAGTGCTGCGTTACAAGTTCTCACTTGGGCAAACTACAGCAAGCACTTTGCACGAATCACGGTCACATGCTTGAGGGAGGGTGGGTTCAAAAGGATGAAGCTATGAAGGCTTTGCACAAAGTGCTGCGTTATAATTTCTCACTCGGGCAAACTACAGCAAGTACTTATATATAAGCAAAATAGTTTCATAATATATATATATAAGCAAAGTAGTTTCATAATCTATATATATATATATATAAGTGTATATAAATATATAAGTTACAACCACCTCACTGCGACATCACTGAAAATGATAGTCATACAGACAAATTAGTTATATGGTGAATCATTGCCGAATTGCCGCAGTTTACGGGTTGGTGAGCTGTGACTTATCCAGATTCATTGATTGAACGAGTGCTTGATTTATTGAGAAATTGATTAAGAAATTGATTGACAAATCGATGAATGGTACCCTCTGGTAAACTAGCATAGCTATAGAAAATCACCATTTTTGATGGGTAAATCCACTATTTCTATGGCCATGTTCAATAGCTATCTATGTATGTTTACCAGAGGGTGTGATGATTCAGTGATGATGGTTCTTGATGTGTTTTCACAGGCTTTTCATCCTACCTTTCCACTGCAGGAGATCCCCTTGGTGATATGCCCAGTAGAGGTATAGGATCTAACATGCCATAAACCACGAACAATTGGGATTTGGATGTCCTGTTTTTGTGAGCACGTTTGAACACCGTTTGAAGCTGCCTACCGGCAACGAATGCTCGGGGATGTTACTTGCAATAATTATTGCGGCAATTGAAATTGATCAAGCATATGACCAGCAAGGTTCTGTACAAAGTGGGGCCCCCAAACGATAGCATTCTGTTGGCGAACATAACTCCAATGTCACTATGGTTTATGGTACTTATAATGAACTAGTTATTTGGGCTTTTGATAACCAACTTATAACTAGGGGGCCCCACATTGTAGAGTCATTTGTAACGCTGGTATTCCAGCTAAAGCAACAAAAAAACTGGATATCACGCTTTTTCATAAAACGCAAAAAAAATAAAGTTTCACCCACATGTTTCTTTAGCCATTAAACGGAGTGTGCAAACTATGCTAGTGTTTGTTGGTTGGAAGGCCCCGATTTCTGTCCCAGAGTGATACCACAAGGTAACAAACAAATCGAAGCATTGTTGCCACGTATGCATTGCGCGCAGACTTTCTGTCCAATCATCAAAATGCAACATGTTTTTGCTTGGTTCATCAACCAGTTATTTGGGTCGTCCATCCATTTTGGATGGTTTGCCACCCAACTTTTGCTGACTAAAAGAACTACTAATTTGTCTGTATGACTATCATTTTCAGTGATGTCGCAGTGAGGTGGTTGTAACTTATATATTTATATACACTTATATATATATAGATTATGAAACTATTTGTAACTTATACATGTATATATATATATAGATTATGAAACTATTTTGCTTACATATATATATATAATGAAACTACTATGCTTATATATATATATGTATATATATATTATGAAACTATTTTGCTTATATATAACGCAGCACTTTGTGCAAAGCCTTCATAGCTTCATCCTTTTGAACCCACCCACCCTCAAGCATGTGACCGTGATTCGTGCAAAAGACTTGCTGTAGTTTGCCCAAGTGAGAACTTGTAACGCAGCACTTTGTGCAAAGCCTTCATAGCTTCATCCTTTTGAACCCACGCTCCCTCAAGCATGTAACCCACATGGTTCTTGCAAATGACTTGCTGCCAGCACAGATGTAGTTACGAAGAAAGGAAGGAATTAACAGTAAAAAGTAGGTATCAGGGGGGGGTTAGCATATATACATATGTATGTATGTATGTATGTATGTATGTATGTATGTATGTATGTATGTGTGTATGTATGTATGTATGTATGTATCTTGTATATACACCTATATATGTAACATTTTTGTAATAATGTTGTCCAGCCAATAATGATACCTTGTCAATAGTAGAAACTTTTTTCCCAACTCCAGTTTTATCTCCAATACTAAAAGTCAATTAGCCTAATTTACTTTTAGTATTGCCAGAAAACTCATGTTCTGACCTTGTCCAGAGGGCATGGCCAATAGTGGACCCAACATGGCAACAGTAGAAACTTTTTTTCCCAACTCCAGTTTTTCTCCAATACTAAAAGTCAATTAGCCTAATTTACTTTTAGTATTGCCAGAAAACTCATGTTCTGACCTTGTCCAGAGGGCATGGCCAATAGTGGACCCAACATGGCAACAGTAGAAATTTTTTTCCCAACTCCAGTTTTTCTCCAATACTAAAAGTCAATTAGCCTAATTTACTTTTAGTATTGCCAAAAAACTCATGTTCTGACCTTGTCCAGAGGGCTCCATAGGGTTCCAGGAATAGGGGTTCCAGGAATTTACTATTGGAATGCTGACCCCCCCCTAAAAAAAAGAAAAAATCAAAAATTCGGGGGGGGTGGGTTATTATTAGGCAGCCTGCATTATACCTATTCATGATATATGCTGATGCACCCAAAGACAAGCCTCTTAGCTCTGGCAAAACAGCCACGCAGCCGAAGCTGCGTGGAAACCTCCCTTGGGGCCCTGCTCCAGCTTCACTCGGCTGCCCGTCTGTTCCACTCGCCTCAAGCGACTGAACTGAGCAGAAGTGGCATTCAATTTAGGCCTGCTTCCCAGCCAAGTTGTTGTTGTTGGTGGTGGTGATGATGACGATTCACACGGGTAGCACACACACCACATCAGCAACATGATTCCGAGAGATCAATTTTTCGATCACATGTTCAACTCAAACACCAGAACTTTGGTTTGGTCATCCCAAGTGGCATGGAAAGCAAGAGATTTATATTCTCTAGAAATGGAAATCCATGGCAAGCTGGGAAACTATCTGTAAATAGAGGTTTAATGGGAAAATATGGGAAAATCATCTAGAAATGGTGGGATCTATACTTGAAACATCTTGAAACCTGCGGACTCATCTGCTCCAGCACCTGCCTATATGCCAGCTCCAAATTGCCCAGTAGAGTGTCTACCCCTGGCATTTCCAGCATGGATGGCCATAAGATGCCATAAGTATCTGGTGCAAACCATGGTGAGTGCACCAGTATGATCTTAGATTTGAACCACGCTATAGCACTAGCAGGACTATAGCATTCATCATTTGAGGTATTTGTTACTAGCAGGTGAGTCCATTTCACCCAGGCATCGGAACAATGCAGATGGATACCGGATGCCTTTCGCAGAGAGCGAGGCCATCTCGGGAGGCGATGCATTTACCCATTGAGTCGCACGTTGTAATTATGAATTGATGGTTGTGGTTTTTACAGCAGCTACAGCAGGATGTGACTCATCCCGTTGGATGACAGTGTCTACACAATCCTACTCACACATATATCATACAAATACATACACATGAAATGTGATGAAACCCATCCAGATCTCGAAAACACAGGAGTGCTGGTGCTGCCGGTGCCAGCTGGTGCTGCTGGTGCTGCTGGTGGCAGTAGGTTTACATTGTTGGTTTCATGGTGGCATGTCTGGAGCCAAAGCCTGTGATTTTCGTGAACTGGAAGGGAAGTAATGTGGCCAAACCACGAATAAACCCATCAGCGGGGTATCGTTGCCATGAATTGGAGGTGCCTTACCTATGACACCTACGCAACATCCTTGTATGCATCCGCGAACATGGAGAGAAATATGCTGCACAATGATGATGGTCAAGATTTCGCTCTTAATGAATCCAACGAGGGGTTGACCGATTTATGGTGGGTTCATTGAAACCAGTGTGGATGATCCCACCGAAGAACATGCCCTACCATGCCCCAATCCATAATGTAAAACGATGTCTGTATGTATATATATATATATTTATACACCTAAATTACGTTACATTACATTACATTACATTTCATTACATTACATTACATTTCATTTCATTACATTACATTACATTTCATTACATTTCATTACATTTCATTACATTACATTTCATTATATACATTACATTTCATTTCGTTACATTTCATTACATTACATTACCTTACCTTACATTACATACATTACATTACATTACATTTCATTACATTACATTTCATTACATTTCATTACATTTCATTACATTTCATTACATTTCATTACATTTCATTACATTACATTTCATTACATTACATTTCATTACATTTCATTTCATTTCATTACATTTCATTACATTACATTACTACTACTACTTAGGACTTAGGACTTAGGCCACCATAGTGACATAGGATTTTGTGCACCAAGTCCTAAGTCACTGGTGTTCTTACCAGGTGATTTGTGTGCACCAAGTCCTAAGTCACTGGGGTTGTGATTGGATTCAAGCACTTTTTAGGGTAAAAAAAAATAAAAATTCTCTTAATAAGTCATCAGAATCTACATACTTACATTACATTACAGTACAGTACATTACATCACTACAATACAGTAAAGTACAGTACATTACATTACACTACAGTACATTACATTACATTACAGCACATTACAGTACATTATATTACATACATGCACAGGACTTGGTGCACAAAATCGTATGTCACTAGAGGGACACAAGTCCTAAGTCATCAGAACCTACATACTTACAGAACATTACCGTACAGTACAGTACATTACACTACAGTACATTACATTACCTTACAGTAAAGTACAGTACATTACATCACACTACAGTACATTACACTACAGTGCATTACATTACATTACAGTACAGTACATTACACTACATACATGCATAGGACTTGGTGCACAAAATCGTATGTCACCAAAGGGGCACAAGTCCTAAGTCATCAGGACCTACATACTTACAGTACATTACAGTACAGTATATACAGTATATTACACTACAGTACATTACATTACATTACAGTAAAGTGCAGTACAGTACACTACAGTACATTACAGTACAGAACATACATGCAAAGGACTTGGAAATCGTCTGTCACCAGAGGGGCACAAGTCCTAAGTAATCAGAACGTACATACATATATTGCATTAAATTAAAATACAGTACATTACATCCCAATACCTTTTTCAATATTTTCAATTTATTTACTTGCTTTAAAATACTGTCTGTATATAAATCGAAGGAAAAAAATGGAAAATCACAGATTTTTGTGAAATATTTTTTTTGGAAGATGGGCACAAGTCCTAAGTCATCATTTTTTCAACGATTGGCTCGAGGACTTCGACCCAACGACGGGGTAGTGCAACGGGGACCACAATAGGGAAGCACAACGGGAAGTGGGAACCCTCTGTGAAATGACCTCTCCGTCATCTCTATAAATGCTTCGTAAAGCATCTTGAAAAATGATGACTTAGCACTTGCGCCCATCTTCAAAAAAAAATATTTCACAAAAATCTGTGATTTTCCATTTTTTCCTTTGATTGATATACAAACAGTATTTTAAAGCAATTAAATAAATTGAAAAATATAAATATTTTTTTTCACTTTTCATTTTTCTCTGTTGTTTCCCGTTTTGTTTCCCCGTTGTGCTTCCCTATTGTATTCCCCGTTGCACTACCCCGTCGTTGGGTCGAAGTCCTCGAGCCAATCGTTGAAAAAATGATGACTTAGGACTTGTGCCCATCTTCAAAAAAAATATTTCACAAAAATCTGTGATTTTCCATTTTTCCTTCGATTTATATACAGACAGTATTTTAAAGCAATTAAATAAATTGAAAAATATAAATATGCTTTTTTCACTTTTCATTTTTCTCTGTTGTTTCCCGTTTTGTTCCCCCGTTGTGCTTCCCTATTGTATTCCCCGTTGCACTACCCCGTCGTTGGGTCGAAGTCCTCGAGCCAATCGTTGAAAAAATGATGACTTAGGACTTGTGCCCATCTTCAAAAAAATATTTCACAAAAATCTGTGATTTTCCATTTTTTCCTTTGATTGATATACAGACAGTATTTTAAAGCAATTAAATAAATTGAAAAATATAAATATTTTTTTTTCACTTTTCATTTTTCTCTGTTGTTTCCCGTTTTGTTTCCCCGTTGTGCTTCCCTATTGTATTCCCCGTTGCGCTACCCCGTCGTTGGGTCGAAGTCCTCGAGCCAATCGTTGAAAAAATGATGACTTAGGACTTGTGCCCATCTTCAAAAATATATTTCACAAAAATCTGTGATTTTCCATTTTTTCCTTCGATTTATATACAGACAGTATTTTAAAGCAATTAAATAAATTGAAAAATATAAATATGTTTTTTTCACTTTTCATTTTTCTCTGTTGTTTCCCGTTTTGTTTCCCCGTTGTGCTTCCCTATTGTATTCCCCGTTGCACTACCCCGTCGTTGGGTCGAAGTCCTCGAGCCAATCGTTGAAAAAGTGATGACTTAGGACTTGTGCCCATCTTCAAAAAAAATATTTCACAAAAATCTGTGATTTTCAATTTTTTCCTTTGATTGATATACAAAGAGTATTTTAAAGCAATTAAATAAATTGAAAAATATAAATATGTTTTTTTCACTTTTCATTTTTCTCTGTTGTTTCCCGTTTTGTTCCCCCGTTGTGCTTCCCTATTGTATTCCCCGTTGCACTACCCCGTCGTTGGGTCGAAGTCCTCGAGCCAATCGTTGAAAAAATGATGACTTAGGACTTGTGCCCATCTTCAAAAATATATTTCACAAAAATCTGTTATTTTCCATTTTTCCCTTCGATTTATATACAGACAGTATTTTAAAGCTTTTTCATTCAGCCGCTGTAAGTTCAGAACTGTGCGGACATGCAAGAAAACCAGCAACCCTATGTGCCTATAGGGTGTTCCAACTGACCTGAGCCTGAATGTGTACACTAAACAAGGTTCGAAGGCTGGTAGTCAGGCAGGAACGTGCCAGTATTTTAAAGCAATTAAATAAATTGAAAAATATAAACATGTTTTTTTATCCCCTTGCCAATACACCCGTTTAACCTGGGGGCTTCAATTTTATAGGGGGCCCATGCCCATCCTTTGAAAATGTCCAAATGGGACCACTACAAAATTAAAGTTCACACATGCACATACATAATCAGCCCTATAAAATCACAACCTGCTAGTAACCCATCAATGTCATCAAACCCAAAAACACTACAAAATTGCAGCACCCAGGTTAAACGTGTGCAGGGTATTAGCTCCAAATGGACCTCTATAAAATTAGGGCCATCCAAAATGGCTTGATCATAGGTGTTTTTTAATTAAAATTTGATAAAATTTGGTGTCCCAAGTCAAATTTTGGGGGCTATTTTCCTTCGATTTTGTGGTCCCCAATTTTATCTCAGTTAAAGTAAGGCCCCAATTTTGTAGTAATCGAACCCTTCAAAAATAATCAAAGAGATTCAGAAACCATCCAAGCTCACGAGGCACCGTTTTTGCCCTTGCGAAGCTCTGGTAGCTTGCGCATGCTGGCGCCGTCAGGCAAATGACAGCAAGAGATAAAGAGCGGTTCTAATTAACCTACCTCAAGAATACCAATGGTATCCAAAGGATTCCCAAGGATAACCCTAACATACCCTACTGGGAGCCTTCACACCTGCAAAACCAGCAAGCAAGATGTGAGGCTGCCAAACAACATCCAACCCAGCACATTTTCTGTCTGAGTCCGCCTACGACACATGAAAACACGGGGTTCGCAGTACCAAATTTGGATAATCTTGAAATAAAATTGAATAAAACGGAACAAACATGAATAAACAACATCTAACGAATCCATACGAATCCTCAAGAATCCCAAAGAATCCTAGACATAAAAATTGCCAAGAATATATACTTGAGAATTTTTCAAGAATTGTCAGTATTTCTTACCCAATTTATCCATTTATCATTCGTTAATATCCTTTATCCATGTTTATCCCACTTTCACGATTCAAAGGCTCTTTTTGGTGTGCCTGCAAATCCCGACAATTAAATCCAACCACGGTCTTCGGGTTTTAGCGCTCATCACTTGGGCAAAATGCCCATAAACCTTCTCTCCCCACTTCTGCACGTTCTGAGTATCCCCAAACCTTGGAGATGATGGGAGGCTGAATGAAGTGTAAAGAATTAGCTGATTAACGTCCCACCCAGGTCCCCAAATGTCCCCAATTCAAATCAATTCTGTAGCTTGAGGGTACATGAAAGATCTTGAGACCAGAAACTTTCTCATGAAGTATTCGGGGCTTCTTGCAAGTATGTCTGTCCATGTCACGCCGGAGCATTCTGCAACCTTGAGCCTGCACTTGCCATCAGAGTCAAAAGCTGGATTTTTTGCGTTTTCCTTTGAGTCTTTGGCATGCAGTCGCTGCATTGTCTCCTTGATCAACTGACGCCCTGTCCAATTTCTGCGGAAGTTGTCTGGGACACATTTGATGGCTTCTGATTCCGTCACGGGTGGTGGAACCTTTTTCCTGATCAATCGAGACACCTTGAATGATGTTTTGGCCTTAGCACGTGCCTTCCTGACCTTCGTGTTGGCCTTCTTGCCTGCACCATTATCCTTGGAAATCACTTTTCTTGCTTTTCTTGGCTTTCTTGTGTGGCGCCTGGTGTCGGGACCCCCCCCAAAGGCACTGAATGGAAACTCGGCCTCAGTATCCGGAACAGGAAACCAGTCTGGAATCGTATCCATCTGGCTGGTGATAGTCTCACACACATCAGCAAGCCTCAATCGGATCCCGTTGGGAAGGTTTTGGGTGCTCTCAACATCCAAAACGCGAACTATGCTCATTGGACGAACGATCATGGCCACTGAGGTGTCTGAAGCCTCTGCAAATAAATGCCCTACCTCACTCGTCAGCCCAAGCTCTACAACACGAGCAGCCACACAATGCTTCATGTCAATTGCCGCTGTGGAAAGCTTGGGTTTCCGGGCGCACTTCCACAGTGTCATGACCAATCCCACAGATGCTAAAAGCTTCTTCTTCATTCCTGTCTTTCGGACAGCGAGGAAAATGATGACGTTGCCATGCCTCAGCAATTTGAGCGAGAGATGGTCAGAAAGAAAACATCAGAAAACGTCACTTGAAAGGATATGAAAGGGATTGAAAGGGAATGACAGGATAAGAAAGGGAGCCCTCCAGAACCATCAGCACATATCAAACCATCTGGAGAATCAAATTCTATCAAATTCTGACAGCACATCCGGGTGTCTCAATTCTGTTGGGGACCACGACTCCCAGCTGTTGCTCTTCCACGGCTGCCTGTGCAAGACGCATCCAGCCGTCCAAACGGCTCGCTCGTTTCTGAAAGCAATTCTCCTCCTGCTCTTTGGCAATCTCAGCTAATCGACGAGTGTTGAACCTGAGGCAAGCGCTTGTTGGTTCTTACCATGCATTCCGAACACTTCCCCTGATCATAATTTCAAGTGTGGATCTCCCAAAAAAGATCAAAAAAGTGCACACACGTTTCCCAATATTTCCAAAAATGGTTTCGAGATGTATTGACATGATGGGGATCCAAACATATCCAAACATTCTCAGAACATACTCAAACAACCCAAGGTGCTGAAACCAGCTCAGTTTTGAGCTCGCACGTCGACTTGATCGTGGGTTCGGCACCCAATGACAATCACCACCTCCTTTCCTTAGAAAGGACTTTACGGCAAGTGCAAGCCTATAAAATTGGAACCTAGATGGTTCTGGGCAAAAATATGCCTATAAAATTGAATCCTTCAACCTTCTATGAAAATGGTGGATGAAAGGGTTCAGGATACCACTTCCAATTTTATAGGGGCTCCTTTTCTATGAAAATGGTGGATGCAAGGGTTCAGGATACCACAGGTTCCAATTTTATAGGGGCTCCTTTTCTATGAAAATGGTGGTTCCAATTTTATAGAGGTCAGATATGGTAAGATACCAAAGGTTGCAATTTTATAGGGGCTCCTTTTCTATGAAAATGGTGGATGCAAGGGTTCAGGATACCACAGGTTCCAATTTTATAGGGGCTCCTTTTCTATGAAAATGGTGGTTCCAATTTTATAGAGGTCAGATATGGTAAGATACCAAAGGTTGCAATTTTATAGGGGCTCCTTTTCTATGAAAATGGTGGATGCAAGGGTTCAGGATACCACAGGTTCCAATTTTATAGGGGCTCCTTTTCTATGAAAATGGTGGTTCCAATTTTATAGAGGTCAGATATGGTAAGATACCAAAGGTTGCAATTTTATAGGGGCTCCTTTTCTATGAAAATGGTGGTTCCAATTTTATAGGGGTCTTTCATGGTCTGTCAAGGTCCTCCAAAAATCATCAAAAATCATCAAAATCCCTCCCAGACATTCCCAGACTTTCATTATCTTTCATTCATCTTCATTTTTCCCACTGCATCCCATTGCTGTATAATGCTGTCAAAATTCCAGTATCGGAGGTACATTGTGAGGCGAAACAGCTGGTCGAAGAGGCCTATTTTGCAAGTGCGGTCAGGCAGGTCAGCAACTGCTTGGTGCAATGTCTCGGGGTCCTCTTCCCTCTCTACCTTGTCAGGCTGTGCCTCCTCAGGCTCTGAAGCCGTCAGCAATTGACGCAACTCCTGTGCGTCCGGCAAACCATCAAACTCCAAGTCAGCCGCGTCTCCATCTTCCATCTGGTCATCCTCCTGCAGCTCAGTCTCATCAATTTTGGCTTCTTGAGGCATAAGGCCAAGTGCAGCATTCACCTCCTGCGGGTTGTTGTCACCATTGTCATGCCCATCTGCCCCAGCTCTAGGAACGTCATCATCCTCAAAGGGATGCAGCGGCTCCAGCTTGTCCGCTCCATTTGATCCTTGGCATTGAGCTTCGTAGCAAGACCTCAATGAGTCCTCAGTCAGGTTACTGCAAATAGCCACCAACCTCAAGGCTGCCTGATATGCACGCTTGCTGGCAGATCGAAACTCTTCAGCCGTCAAAGGTTGCAGAGTGTCTGAAGGCGGCTTGGTATCACCTGCACGGGTCTCTCGGACTAGCATTTGCTTCGCCGAAGCTTTCCAGAAGGATCTGGCGCTGTGCTGCGCGCTTGAATTCTGGGAACGGACATGGCCAAAGAATTCCTCTATGGCGATTTCCCCCAGGCGGCAGTGGCCGTTCCGCCAGGGGTTGCCAAGTGGCTCTTTTGTTTTTGTCACCACTATCAAATTCAGTGCCACTGTTTGCAGGAAGTTCTTTGTTTGGTTCGCCAAGAAAAGGGACCCTTTGCCAACCCCCCTGGAAGTCGCCAGCCGGTCTGCGACCAGCTTCCATAAGTCAAGGAGCACGAAGCCACACATGGCATTCTCACACCTCTTCCACAATTCCATCGTCTTGTGCAGGGTCGGCCCCTCAGTTCAAACCCAGTCATACCCAATTCATACCGAAGATTACCCAAGGCTTTTCAAGTCTTCGGTTCAAATCCACTTTGGGAATCTTTAGGACCGAAGCAGACACGAGACAAAAGAATACAAAGGAAACATAAAGAAATACCGTTGAGCTCCATCGTGGAAACTCATGAAAATCATGGGGCAATACAAGAATAACCATCCAAACTCATCAAAATTCAAAATATGAAATATCATTGCCCTGACCCCCCTCCTGCAAACACTGCACCGAGCAGCAAGGCATAGGGCGGTGGTCAGATTCAGGAGAAGCATGCCTCTCAGACTCCAGTCCACGATGGCTCTCCTGCCGGCAATGTCCTGACAGCAATGGCCACTATAGAATTGGAGCCAGGAGCGACCCCCAGCTGGAGGCTGCTACAAAATTAGGATACAGCATCCATCAAAATCATACCACATCATACCAAACCAAGATACCACCAGGATGCAATTCTATAGTGCATCCAAGTTATATATAGTTATATTACTTATATATAATTATATTATATATTATTATAGTATATTATAAGAAAAATTTTCCGTTTCCAAAATTCTGAACTAGTTTTAAGCGTCTGGGCTTTGGATGCTGAAGTAGGGGTTCCACAACAAGCAGTTGAGTTTGTCACTCATCGCTTCTGATCTCACGTATGCACAAGGTGGCAGACCATGTGCTCGTGCCGCCGACGAATCGCAGTAGTACACCCCCATGTGGATTGTCCTCAAGACACTGTTCAACTGACCGGAGACATTCTTGGCAGCATGCATTGGGCCCTGAAGAGGCCAAATGACCTGGCCATGGTGCTTGCATACCTTAACTGGCAACCTTGGCAGGTCATGGCAAGGGAGATCTTCCCATGTGAGATCCCGAAACCACTCCGTCTGGCCCAACTCTTCCTCCACCGATGCATCAAACACCCCCATCAAAGCAGATCTGAACCAATTGTGGGCCCCATGGCCATCAAAAGTCAGTCCCTTGATGATTTTGGAGCCAGAAGCCATCAAACGGCCCACCACTTGCAGCATCTCCTGAGAATGGAATGGATGAGGGCAGGCTAGCTGGCAAGCCTACTATAGAATTGAAATCTGTGATGCATGGTGAAAAGTGACCCCTATAAAATCAAAACCTTTGGAAACCATGAGGGCAGGCTAGCTGGCAAGCCTTCTATAGAATTGAAATCTGTGATGCATGGTGAAAAGTGACCCCTATAAAATCAAAACCTTTGGAAACCATTGGAAACCAAGAGTCTCTGTTTCCAGCTTTGCGATCTGGGTGCTCGGAAGTGAGCGTGTTGAGGGTGGCCTTCAGCTTCATCGGCATTTCAGCGCAGCTGAAAGTGCGGCGGGTCTGGGTCATAGGATCCCACACCAAGCACTCCAGCATGAGATTTGCCTTGGGCATTTTGGTTGCCCCTTCCGGCAAGGAACTGAACGGCATCCATGCCGCTTCCTCTTCCATGGCCGTCCAAAAGCCGCCCACCAGGCCCGCTTCACCTTTCCAAGTAGCCTGAGCAAAAGATTTGACCAGGTAGGTGTGGTCAACCGCGCAGATCAATCTGCACGGCGAAGCCCCTGGCGGGCGGGGGAATGCCTGGTCTATGAGCTGGATGTTCTCTTCCAACTGTTCAGCCGCTGTGGACATGAGGGCCAACATAGGGTTTGGAAGCCCCCGCTCAGAAAGCTTTTCGAGAACTATTGGGGGAGGCTTGGTGTTTTGGGCCAAGGTCTTGGCCAAATTGCGGTTCCCGGCCAACATGCTGATCGTGATCGCAGAGTCAGCAGCCAAACTCCTGGCAGTCTCAGACAAGGCTTTTCTCCGTCCTCTCTCACTCACACCCCTTTCGCTTCTGTCCAACTTCTGCATAAACTGCACCAACAACCCTTGTAGCAAGGGTTCTGCATCCATGCGGCCCATGACGGCAAAGTCAGCCACAGCAATGTTCAGAGACTCCAGCTCCGTCAAATCTCGATTAGCCAGTGCATTGGCAAATTGCATGGACAGTGCTGGAAGCTTGGAATTGATTGCCGTGCAGTTCACACGCAGGCATGGTGCGACTATGCTCTGAGTAAAATCTTGCAAAGCGGGCGTCATCTCTTCGGCATCCGTGTGCTGGAAACCAGTACGAACAAGTTTCTGCAAGTTCAACAGAGGCAATTCCAACAGCTTCTTGCAGTACTTGCCATGCCGCTGGCCCAGGACACTGGTCTTGATCTGCTCTACCACTTCCTGTACTTGCTTCTCCGTGCAAAACAGCTTTGCGTTCAAGAGACGTGCTGCGAGGTATTTGGAGTAGAAGTTGACAACTTTCCTCTGGATGGCCCTGGGTTCTGCCAGGATTGCACACGCATTGCACCGCTTCAGGCCCTGGTCTATTGTCTGATGGCACTTGCCAGACCGCACAAACCATGCATCTTCTGACCTATTCCACCAGAATGTGTTGGAGACCGTGCGGCCATCAAGTTTGGAAAAGTTGGCCCACAATGAAAACTCCTGGGCATAATGATGCAAAGAACCCACTGTGGAATCCCCCACGCGGAGTCCGGGGCATGGAATCTTTTCCACTTCTTCTGGGGGCTTTTCACAATTCTTTGCCTGTGATTCCTTGAATTGAGAAAGTTTGCCCTGGTGCGTGTCGCCCTCAATGTGTTGAGTCAAAAACCGTTTCACGTACAGCAGCTTTGGCTGAACTAGTGTGTTCAACTTTCCTTCGGGCTGAGCACGAGTCACACAAAGCCTGCACCTGTAGCCAAATCTGTATCCTTTCTCATTCCCATCGCCCTCCACTAGCTCGATGTGGGGCGCAAATCTTTTCACATACTCTACACACAGAGCATACTGATCTGCGGCTCTGGCGGCTCCTGCATCATGTCCATCTTCCTCTTCTGCCTCTCCTGCAACCTTCTGGCATCCCTCAACTTCTGCAACCCCTTGTGGGGGATCTGGAACTTCAGGTACTGACGGTGGGTCCAAGTCCGGGCATGGTTCCAATCCTTCCTTGACAACCTTTTGGATCATTTCCATGGTCAACCCCTTTTGGTCCAACCACAGCAGGCATGACTTGCAAGAAAGTGGCTTTCCGATTCTCAACTTTTCTCGAAAGGCTGGAAACCCTCCATCTTTGCATGCGGCAGCCTTGGAGAGCTCACAACGCCGTTTGTGAAGAGTAATGAAGCAGCCGTAGCTCAAGCCTTGCCTTGCCAAGAATGTCTTCAGCCTCTTTTTTTGAAGTTCTGCGGTGGATGGAATCCTTTTGCGGCAGGATCTGACATGCTTGGCCCTCCCCTGCCCGCCTTCAAGTGAGACCAAAGCTTGCTCGTTTGAAGGATCCTCAGGTTCTTCTGCCGGAACCCCTGCCAAGGTAGCTTCATCAAGTTCCGCGAGGTCGACATCAGCCAGCGGGTCTTTCTGAGAGGGACCTGGCTTTTCATCAGCTTTTGGATTTGGAATTTGCATCTTTGGCTTTTCATCATCTTTTGGATTTGGAATTTGCATCTTTGGATTGTCATCATCTTTTGGATTTGGAATTTGCATCTTTGGCTTTTCTTCAGCTTTTGGATTTGGAATTTGCATCTTCAATTCAGAAAACTTCTCCTCAACATTCAAAAGCTGTGGTTCCAAGAAGTTCGGTTTTTTCCCGTTCTGTCCAGGAAGTCGCAAACCATGTTCTGACGAACTTGTCACTTCGGGTGTGAACAAATTTGCTGGTCTTGCATCCCCCACATGAGTTTGAACTTCAATTCTTCGCTTCTTTGGAGGGCTTGGGCGTGGAGGAGTGGTCGGAGAGCTTGAGCGTGGAGGTGTGATCAAATCTATGGGATCTCCGGCAATCTCAGCTGGCTTCTTCCTCGGCGGAGTCACATCCATCGCATCTGCTTTGCAAGCACTGGTGGGAGGATGGTGGCTCAACACCCCGTGGGAACACATTCTGAAAAGGCTTTGCCAAACTTCATCATGCTGAAACTCAAGCCATTTTTTTTTCAACCCTTGGCGAATCTCCATCATTTGGACAGCACCATCGGGGGAGTTGGGGTCTGGGGCTGCATCTCCTAGAAGCAGCCGTTGAACTGACCAAATGAGGCAATTTCCATCACCCGGCACAGGAATTGGGCGGGCACCCAGTTTCCGAACACGCTGTTGTAACAGAGAAAAATTGCGAAGCCTAGGCTGCAATATCACAAAAGATCATAAAAGTATACAAAAATCATGAACATATATATAGCAAAATAATAAAAAATATTTGAAATATAATAAAACAAATATATATATATATATATGATTAATTATGATTAAATATATGTGGTTAATTATGATTATATATGCCCAAATAAGATCAAATAAGGTCAAATAAGAATGCTGGCAAATTCACTCAAAGCTACTCTGTCAACTGATCCTCCAATGATGCTGTCATAGCATCTACCTCATCTGGCTCTAGATCTTCTCGCATAACAATCTCCGAGATTTCTTCTTGCACCTGTATTTGTTCTCGCATCATTTTCCTCCTATCTTCACTCAAAATCGCTTGAAAAGCCTCATAGCCCCCCAACTGCTCACTCAATTGGACTGGAATCCAATGGTTGTAACTCTGCTTTGGGTCGTACAAGGAATTGCAAAACAGTAGAGCTAAGGTGTTCGGCGATGCTCGATTCACGATTTTCTGATCCTCCCTAAGTTCGAAAGAACCCGAAGCGATCGCCTGCATGTGGGCACCACATGTTTGCAAAGTAAAGTTCCCTTTCTCTTCATCAACGATGAAGGCAATGTCCTAGAGTACCAGGTTCCCATCCACAAACCGATCTGGCCACCCGAATCTTTGACTTGTGTAATTCAACTTGAACCAATGACAATTCTTAAAGAATAAGCTTATTATATCTCATTATATCATATTATAATATATTATATCTCATTATATCTCATTTACATTCACATACCGTATGCAAATTTAAGCCCCCCACAAGATTCACAAGAATCAAACCAAACATCTCCAAATTCTCCTTGTCCAACACATTTCCAACCATCGTAGCATCCAGCAAATCCAGAAATTCACCCGGTTGCGATATCTTCTCAGCATACTCGCGGATTTGCTTGTCAATTGGTCCTGGCGCAAGGGGCAAACAAGCCAACAACATAAAAATTTTCAGGGAGGAACAGGACAAACAAATACAAACCCATTGGAATCAGTAAGGATGCAAAAAATAAACCCCTATAAAATTGGATCCTTGGCTGCCTAGCCCCTATAAAATTGATTAAAGTTGGATCTTTGGATATCTCATCCCTATAAAATTGAGAAAATTTGGTTACATTGGAGCCCCTCCTGATCAACAGCCCCTGGTGTCCAATCCCAAAGCCCTATAAAATTGGATCCTTGGCTGCCTAGCCCCTATAAAATTGATTAGAGTTGGATCTTTGGATACCTCATCCCTATAAAATTGAAAAAACATGGTTAAATTGGAGCCCCTCCTGATCAACAGCCCCTGGTGTCCAATCTCACAAAGCCCTATAAAATTGGATCCTTGGCTGCCTAGCCCCTATAAAATTGATTAAAGTTGGATCTTTGGATACCTCATCCCTATAAAATTGAGAAAATTTGGTTACATTGGAGCCCCTCCTGATCAACAGCCCCTGAAGTCCAATCTCACAAAGCCCTATAAAATTGGATCCTTGGCTGCCTAGCCCCTATAAAATTGATTAAAGTTGGATCTTTGGATACTTCATCCCTATAAAATTGAGAAAATTTGGTTACATTGGAGCCCCCCCTGATCAACAGCCCCTTGTGTCCAATCCCACAAAGCCCTATAAAATTGGATCCTTGGCTGCCTAGCCCCTATAAAATTGATTAAAGTTGGATCTTTGGATACCTCATCCCTATAAAATTGAGAAAATTTGGTTACATTGGAGCCCCTCCTGATCAACAGCCCCTGGTGTCCAATCTCACAAAGCCCTATAAAATTGGATCCTTGGCTGCCTAGCCCCTATAAAATTGATTAAAGTTGGATCTTTGGATACCTCATCCCTATAAAATTGAAAAAACATGGTTAAATTGGAGCCCCTCCTGATCAACAGCCCCTGGTGTCCAATCTCACAAAGCCCTATAAAATTGGATCCTTGGCTGCCTAGCCCCTATAAAATTGATTAAAGTTGGATCTTTGGATACCTCACCCCTATAAAATTGAGAAAATTTTGTTAAATTGGAGCTCCTCTTGATCAATAGCCCCTGGCGTTTCTTTTCTCACGACGTATTGGGACATAACAAGAAAGCCTTGCTACCGTCCAACCCCCTGCAACCTTCTGGCAATCACAGACATGAAAGAAATATAAAGAAATTACCCTGCAGTTGCGCAGACTACCTGACACTCAAGCTGCTGGTGTGCTTTACCCGTGTTGCACAGGTTCGGCATGGAAATTTTGCTGCTGAATGTAGAAGGCCGCCCAATATTTACAAACTGCAGTGCAAAATCGGGTTGGATAAGCTGCAGTGCTCTGCAAATCTTTCTGACCCGAAAATGTTCGTTTTATCTGGCCATCCTCAGTCAATTTTTGGGAAGCAGTGTAGTAACTCTTGGCAACTTTGCCACGGCGCTGCATGCGCTGCTTCTTTCGAGCAATGCGAGCATCGAATTTGGATTTGGCCTCTTTCGTTGCAGTCTTGGCAAGCTTCTTGAAATTCCTGGAACTTTTGGAAGGGCATTGAACAGAGTGAAAAATATTGACAAACGGTCAAATATATTCTAGAATTGCTTCAACAGAATCAAAAATCAAGAAAGATCAAGACAGACCCAAAAAAATATGTAAAAAAGTAATATATACAGGCAAGGATCGGTGCATTGGTGCAAATATGGGTCCCCTTGAGCAAATCCAGACCAAAAAGTCCTAGGTAAGTTAGTACTATGAACAAGGCATGGTTCTTGATTAGCTCCTTGAAGTAGTCTTGTTTGAACATGAATGATCCCTTTGGCTGCTCTATGGCAACCACTGTAGAGGGCCGAAAGCGCAAAGCCAGTTGGATGAGCACTACCGTGTTGGAAGCAATCATGTTGCTCATCCGAACTTTTGCATTGCGCAAATTTCCTTCAGGACGCCAGTCCTGATTTCAGAACAACCCTCCATTCAGGTCTGAACGTGCTATTATATATTAATATATAATAAATGTTAATAAAATTAAATAAATTATAGATAATTAATGATAATTATAGTATAATAGTAAAATTGTGGCATATTGTTGCTAGTCTTTGCTGCTCTAAGACTTTAAAACCACCAGTACTTTTTCAATATTGTTCATAATTTTTCAAAAGTCATTTGCAATCAGACTTTAAGATACTTTAAGTACCTCACCCTTTGCATCCCTTTGCGGCATTCGGCCACCACATCCACCATCCACATCCATCATCATCCATCCACATCCACCTCCCTGCCTTTCAATACCAAGCTGCAAAACGACGGTGTACTGACTGTGAAATCGGTACAAACAAACTGCACGGAGGCTGTGCAAATAGCATCCCGTGGTCGTATAGCCTCAAACAGATCATGTCAACGGGACTCTGGAAGACTGTAGCATCATAAAACGGTATGGAACAGGGGTGTTGGTCGCGTGTGATTGTTCAATATTATGAAATAATTTGAATATATTTGAAAATAATCTAAAATAGTATAAAATAAGATAAAATAATTGTAATCTGTAAATAAGTAAAAAATAATAAAACTTATTGAAAATATATAAAGATATAAACATCGGATAAGATATGCTTGATATGGTTTGATCTGATTTGACTATGCAATACTAGTGTAATTCCTGTATATTCCTTTGACCTCGTTGATTGCCGGCGAAAAGCTGAAGCACAAGGTCCAATGCCCTGTAGTAACCAGGCTCAGCCAATATGTCCTCTTGGCGGCTTGAATGAATGTCATACGCCTGGGCTTTGAATTGCATTTTGATGAAGGCAGATGACAGCCGCTTGCTTGCAGAGAACAAATCCACCAAATGCAAGCATCTATCCCCATGCCAACATTGACAATATGCCTCAAGCTCAGGGAAATGCTTGGAGGCGTCGTACCACTGGATCTCATCCACGCTTGCTGCCACATCCGGATGGTGCTGGGCAGATTGAGTTGCCACAGCAGCACCCACAAGGACCGCAACAAAGCGCCACGGCGACATGAGCGACAAGTCACGAACGAACAGCCGCAGGTTGCACCCTGAGAAAGATGAAAAGGAAACTGCGGCATATGAAACCGTTTTACTTGTAAAAAAACATTGAAGAAGAAAAACGTAGCCTCCATGCACAAGTCACCCCGTGTCAGGCAGCTGTACTCAAGCCTTCGGAAAATGTTTGAAAAATATTTTTAAATAAATATAAATAAGATTAAATAAGGATAAATAAGGCATGGGGGTCCAATGATTTCTTTGTGTGATCCACACCACACACACCACAACGGGCCCCCAGAAGTCCTGACTCCTCCTTCAGCTTCTTGGGTCTCTTGTTCTGCGCCTGGTTGGGCTCCAACTTGATCTCGGACTTCAATACCCTCTTCACCGCTGGATCACGTTTCACTGCGTTCTTGGTTGCCTCGGACGGCGAACGATTCAAACTGTTCCTATCTCTGGCATCCTCAAGGGGCTCTCAACAAAATTTCATTTGAAAGGGGTCCTCAAGGTGAAAGGGGTCCTGGCCTAGAAGCCTCCAAGATTAATTTCGACCGAGTCCTAAATCAACTCTAAATCATATCAAATCACCCCAAAGTCCACCAGCCACATCCAACCAAAAGGGCCCAGAAAGGATCCCACAAGGCAAAGGCACTGTGGGAGCAGCTTTAGAAACACCAGGGTCCACGGCAGTCTCTGCAGTGTTGGGCCTCTCTTCCTTGGCATGCAGCAGGTTGCCAATTTTATAGGGTGTAGGAAAATGATGTAATTTACGTCCCTAATTTTATAGTGGGGAGATGTGATGATATGTGGGTTTTTGATGGTTTTTGATGTTTTTTTTATGTTTTTTTTTTAAATGTTTTTTTTGAGGGTGGAATTGAGGGCTGCAATTTTATAGTCCCTAAAAACTGCCTTCGATCAGGGGCTCCAATTCTATAGGGGGGTGCTCTCCAAAAGGATCCAAAAGGCTCCCACAAACACCCCTGCCAGGGGTAATTTTTTGGGATGGTTTTTGTCCCCCAAAATGTTTTATGTACTTTAAAGATCTTTAAAGATGAGAAAAGGGCACCTGAATTTGAGACATACCCATGTGGTTAAGATATCTTAAGAATTCCTAAGATATCTTTTAACCAAGTAAAGTTCCTTCCAAATCCTCCCAAATATCCTAAATCAATCTAAATCATATCAAATCATCCAAAATTCCACCAGCCACATCCAACGAAAAGGACCCAGAAAGGATCCCACAAGGCAAAGGCACTTTCGCAGCAGCCTCAGCTGCAGAAACAGCGGTCTCTGCAGTATTGGGCTTCTCTTCCTTGGCATGCAGCAGGTTGCCAATTTTATAGGGTGTAGGAAAATGATGGAATTTACGTCCCTAATTTTATAGTGGGGAGATGTGATGATATGTGGGTTTTTGATGGTTTTTTTATGTTTTTTTGAGGGTGGAATTGAGGGCTGCAATTTTATAGTCCCTAAAAACTGCCTTCGATCAGGGGCTCCAATTCTATAGGGGGGTGCTCTCCAAAAGGATCCTGTTTGGTGCCAGCGAGAGCTAGCCAGCTCAGTCCCACCTCTCAGCTATGGCCCTGGAGGCTATTAGTGCTTATTAGTGCCTAATAGGCCTTTCCCTGCTGCCCCCCAACCCCCCACTCCCAGCTCAGTACCCTTCCACCCAACACCATTCCAATCCACCATCCCAGCCCCCCAGCCTCCCAATGCTGTGTTTGGTGCCACTGAGGCCCCCCAACCATCCCCCCACTCCCAGCTCAGTACCCTTCCACCCAGAAATTTCCCTTTTTCATGGGAATCCATGACAAAACAATCCTGTGGATGAAATGTATCCTTTTCGCCCGCCTGTTCTTACGCCCGCCGGGCATAAGAACAGGCGGGCCCTTCATCGAACAGGTTTTGGGCCTAAAATGATGAAAAAACAGCCTTTACCCTGCCAAACCTGCGCTGCCAAAGCCCCGCCTGTTCTTACGCCCGGCGGGCATAAGAACAGGCAGGCCCTCCGGCTTCAGCTTTCCCACCTACCATGGTTGTCAGGGAAATCCTCCCAAATATCCTAAATCAATCTAAATCATATCAAATCATCCCAAATTCCACCAGCCACATCCAACCAAAAGGACCCAGAAAGGATCCCACAAGGCAAAGGCACTTTCGCAGCAGCCTCAGCTGCAGAAACAGCGGTCTCTGCAGTATTGGGCTTCTCTTCCTTGGCATGCAGCAGGTTGCCAATTTTGTAGGGTGTAGGAACATGATGGAATTTACGTCCCTAATTTTATAGTGGGGAGATGTGATGATATGTGGGCTTTTTTTGAGGGTGGAATTGAGGGCTGCAATTTTATAGTCCCTAAAAATTGCCTTCGATCAGGGGCTCCAATTCTATAGGGGGGGGTGCTCTCCAAAAGGATCCAAAAGGCTCCCACAAACATCCCACACGGCAAAGGCACTGTGGAAACAGCCTCAGCAGCTGCAGCTGCAGAAACAGCAGGCTCTGCAGTGTTGGGTTTCTTTTCCTTGGCATGCAGCAGGTTGCCCATTTTTTAAAGATATATATATATATATAATTATATATATATAAGGCGTAGGAATATGTAAGAGTTTAAGTCCCTAATTTTATAAGGTGATACAGGGATATAATGGGATAATATGGGATATGTATAAGGTTCCATGAAGTCTCTGGAAACCATTTTCGGGAAGAAAATGGCTTCCAGAGACCTCCATGGAACTTTATAATATATAGGGTTGGTTTTTTTTTGTGGTTTTATTATGTTTTTATGGGTTTTAGAATGTTTTCGCTCATCTCCTATTTTGAAAAATACCACGAAGATCCACGAAGTATACTTCAATAAATTTGAATAAAATTATTATGTACTAATATTACTTGAGAGGGGGGGGACGAAAGGTAGGGGGGGGCAAAAGAGAGCAACAGGAAAAATATTGCCAAACTGAGATTGATACTTCTCTTCACTCAAACCTCCTGCAGAAGAAAATGTTAGCCCCCAAAAAAGCTTTGTGGGAATAGAATCAGAAACATAATGTCAAATGTAAAGTAACTTCACGCGCGCGCGCGTGAACCATCCTGCATGCACGCATGTGCGGGACGTAAACATTGCGAGTCTCTATTCCCCGGCACGGCCTCAATGGGACTAGAACATCCACGATAGATCGATAGATCAATACATCGATAGATAGATAGATAGATAGATAAAACTATAAATAAATAAATAAATAGATGAATAAATAGATAGAGAGATAGAAGCATCGATCGATAAATAGATAGATCGATGGCTACCTTGATCGATAAACAGATAGATAAATAGATAGATCAATAGGTAGATAGATAGATAGATAGATCCAAGGATAGATAGATAAATACATACATAGATGGACAACTAGATAGATAGATATATCGATAGATAGATGGATAAGGAGGTAGGTACAGAGTCAGAGAAAAAGAGAGAGAAAAAAATGCGGACCAGGGGGGAATCGAATGGGGGGGGGAGGGGGGGGGCTGAAGAGGGGCCCTAGCGTCTACTTCAAGATCAGCTAAGGCGTCTTCCCCAATGACAGCACTCTTTTACTCTCAGCCTGTTGCCGGTCAGTGCTTGTCTACAGGGTTACTCTATATACCTCTTGAGCCTTGAAGGGCGCATATAAATGTGCTCAATACTCATGCATGTACCTATGTAGGTATTAGGTCGAAACAAAAACACAGGCACAAATTCAAAAGCAATGAGTAGAGCACTACGCCTTGCCGTACCCAATTGGTATTAAGAGTATCTTCCTGACTTCTCTACACAATGGCAAATAGCAAAAGAAACCGGAGTTACGCAGTGGCTTCGAATTGAAAAACACGTGAAAGCAGCGAATGTCCTAAGGACATGTCGAAAAAGAACAGCGGATTCGCTAATTTTTCCAGTAGTGACCAATGGTGCTTCGCGCACGGTCTCTCCACAGGCAAAATGCCTCGCTCTACCGGTGAAAGTTCGAATTGAAAAGTTCGGGTTCGCAAGATTCAGAAATTTCAGGTCATACGAAAACAATTGACCAAATCACGAAATAAACGGAAATAGCGGATCTCCAAAGTTGCTCATTCAAGCAAACAATGGACTGAAATCGAAGTTGGTAAATTTTTGAAGTTCGCTCCATTCGGAGTGGTCTGCTCGCCGGATGATTCATGGAGATAAATGTATATAGTATCTCTATTTACAAGAGTCTCTATTTTACATTAAATTGAAGTTCAGACACTTGTGGCATTATCTCTATCTAAAAGAGTATATGCCATTTGTGTGAAATAAGTTGAACGCACAGAAAAACTGTACACGGCTTCTCATGCTGTGTTATCTTCAT